TCTTCACAAAATGTTATCTAGTTGAGGATGACAACTTCATGATTAACCACTTCATTTGATTTAACTTCTACAATTTTGTCGAGGAAAGTCTCCTTTATACTGATGGATTCATGCTTGTGAAATTTGTTGCGGCATCTCTAGTAAATGTTATCTAGTTGAACAAAGGTGAACAGAGTATAGTTTTAACATTTGACAGTCAAATGTTCTTATCTTCTGCATTAAAAACATGAGTTTAGAAGATGTGTAATTTCAGTAAAAGTACGCAGAGCTCCTCGCCTAGTTTAAACACAATATAAGATGAAACATCTATTCATGCAACCATTCGATATAGATGCAAAACACAATACGATTTGTCTGATTCATTGTGTAAGGTCTTAGATAGGAAGGTTCTGCAATATTTAATGGCCATCAAATTTGCAGTGCAGAAAGTATATGAAAGCACATCCACACGCAGTGGATGTGCACACTAGTTATATAATCATATTTATCCATTTTTAGTCTATTTAAAAATAATAAATTCTTACTGTAGATACCTGATACTAGTTTGAGACAAAGCTGAATCACAATACTTTGCTCTATCTGACTTCACATGAAAATTATTACTTTCTTTGCAGAAAATAGACTAGACGTATAGTCTTATATTCCAAAGAAATTCACCATCAATCCAACCGTGGACCTTATTCAAGCTTAATCTTATATTCATGAAACGTGTTTTTCAAAGAAATTTTGATATAAATTTTACTCAAACTATACATTTCCTTGCTAAGTTTCTGATTATAATCATCATTTATTTTTTGAAGTAAAAAAATAAATATTTTTTTGAGCTAGATGATACTTCATCAAATAAGCAAATCATAGCTCACAAAAGTTGTGTCTAGAATAAAAAATACCATCAAAATGGAGCAACTTCAACGTTCGCAACAACAAATTTTCAAAATGCAATCAAACAGAGCAAAATCATGAACGTAGAGAAAAATTTCTCCTATATCAAGCACAAGTAATCACAAACTACTTCAACTCAATTTTTGAAGCAAAACAATACATAGTATATCAAATTTGACTTCTTAGAACTCCGAGTGATAACGACACCAAAATCTTCAAAGTCCAATCTTAAATTTGTTTCAAATGTCGTTTTGTTGAGAAGTCAAGACTTTAAAGAAGATATAGAAAACATCATGTAGACACGTGTTGATACATTTTCTATACTTTTCATCCAACAAATCTAATCATCTATTAATTTATTAGAAACAAATTTATTCATTAATGAAATAGATCTAATCAATGAATATTGAAAATTGATAAGCTCAACTGGCAAAAAGCACAACATGAGAAGACCAAAAGCATAAAGAGTATATGCATTTGACATCCGAGTATAATTGTTGTGCTAAGTAATATAGCAGAAATTATATCCGAATCACAAGATACATAAAAATCAGCAAAAATTAAAACTTTTCTTCTATACATCTATAATCCAAATTTATTTTTGATGATATATTACAACAACTTATTACATTGAATTTCAAACCAGAAAATATGAAAAAAATAAACACAATTTTTGAATTGAAATTGCATAAATTTTTTTGATTTTTCTTTTCTATATCTATATATACATACATATCAGATGGCGAAAAACATTCAATGAACCTTTTGTTAAATTTATAATGTATTTATAATTTCTTATCTACAGGCAACGCAAAATTCAAATTCATTCATCAGATTTGACCAAAAGTCGAGTATTAATAGAATTCACAAAAAGATCGATATTGAGAATAAATTTGCGAGGAATAATAATTGAATGTAACAATATCAAAACAAAATTGATTTCATTTCGATAACTTAAAAAAATCAACCAACTCAATTCTATAATGAACCGATATGAGAAATAAACGAAGAAAAAATCTGCAACACACCATGAAATATTCCAGATCAAATCAAACATACTCTAAAGTGGAGAATACCTTCAAATCAACATTTAATTTTGTTTTTAAAGTGTCCACATGCACAGGAAAGAAGAAGTCGATTATTTCGTATATCCTGGAATACGTCGTCTCCTCACGATAGTATGTTTGTCAGGTCAGCATGTTTGTAGACGGCGTGTTCTGGGTTTTAGGGTTTGCAGCCGAAGAACCTCACGGGCCGTCTCATTGGACCTTCGAGCCGAGCCTGGTACAAGTATCAGCGCTGCTCCGGGAGTAAGCATTGTCTACAATCGTGTCAGTTCATTCGTTTATTCTCTCGATTGTAATTCAGTCCGGTACTCCTATTTGTTGTTGATTTTACACTCGTGCTGTCCGTGGTGATTCATCTTCGAGGAGTGACACAAGGTCGTGATTCGTTGATGGAGCTGCGAATCTGAAATGCCGGCTGGTTTAGAAGATCCGAGGACTCACTCGACATCTTGCCGTACGACATTCACGTCCGAAGCTCCGTCAACGATGTGATGTAGTTCAGAGTTGGGAGCGATGAGAGACGTGTGAGGCGCAGGGTATGATATTCAGGCTTTGAGTTGTCAAGAAACCCCGAGCTTCTGGATGATGAATCAGTTCCAATCACGACGGTCATCAGAGCCTTCGGGCACTGTTGATAATTACTGTAAATACTGTCTGACGGCGAGCTCGTGTTACCAGAAGAGTGTGGAATTCCAAATATCCCTTTAGAGCCGAGTAGTGATCGAAGTTATATCTGAGTACGCTGTCTGGAAACGCGCTGAAGAGGGTGATGAGAAACAAACATCATTTCAACACTTGGACTGAAACCTCATGTTGAGAATCTGTCTGCGTTCTTTCTGACTCTTCAGCTGCCATCTTCCACCCGTGTCCAGTAAACACTCTCTTCAGAGAAGGTGCTCTCAAGAAAAGCCGAAATGTCAACTCTAGATATCAGTCGATCTCAAATTTGTCGAAGCAGCCGCAGATCAGATATAGGACCGGTCAGGAAATTTCAAATCCATTAAAAACATCAAGGAAAGTCTTTTATGCTGCATACTCACGGCTGAGAACAATTAATGTAAGTTACTGTATGCGTAGTAACTTAATCTGATGAGGATGTCCTTTCCATCCGAAGGTAAGTGTCAGTCCTTAGCTACGAATTGCACTCGAAGACAGACCTCGGCTAGGTGCAAGGTCTCGCCCAAAGGCACCTGCCACCATCGTCCAGGTGACTCTGGCAGGCTTCTCATGGAGAGGAGCAAAGCAATGAAACAGAGTACTCTTGGGAATCAACAGGAAAGACAGAAGCCAAGATAATACTTGTATTGGATGTCCCCAAAGGAAAAAATCTCAAAAATCTAATATCGACCCAAAAACTTATTCGAAGTATAGTACGATGTGCCTCTGCATACATCTTTGACAGTTCGCAGGAGAATTAGAAGGACGGAAAGTGGGACAGTGCGGTCACTCCTGATGGTGAGGGTGAAAGCGTCAAATGAAGGAAATAAGCTCAAGCTGACTGGGAACACCTCTTTGAGATCAGACTGGACTCTGCAGAGATACACTTTTCAGCAACTAAAAACTCCGTCTCATAAGAACATGACAATAGTATGGTCTAATTTTGTTACATAAAGACAAAGCTCTGGAATATGGATACCAAACCAGATAGGTATAACCATACGTAATTTCGGTATCCATATTCCAGAGCTTTGATACATGTAGCTCTAACTACCACTCAGAGATACATGAGACAGAAAGAGATCTTTCAACTCAAGAAACTGACTGTTCAAACTGTTTTTTCATAACAGGCAGTTTGTGTACGAACTGGGGCAAGTTGTCTTTGTGTCATGCCCACAGCTCTTGGATGAGAAGACAAGTCTAATGACTTAGAAAAATTCCAAAACCTCAAACGTTGCTCTTCTAAGACATATCTAGCGTCTGTCATTTCGTCGAAGGCAAAGAATCAATGTGTGAATAAGAAAACTGATGAGTTCTGCACAGATCTCCTTACTGTATTTCACGTAATGAAGTTCTCAAAAGCATTTGACTGAACCTTTGGTGAGCAGTCATCAGGGGATGGAATGTGCTCATGAAATGTAGAGAGCTCGTCATTTCTCGCCCAATTCGAAGTTCTAGACAAGGGGTGGGCATCAGAAGTGACACCAATTCCCTCAATCTGCGATTAGTTCGGAGACTTCGGCAGAGCTTCCCGCTGGCTCATCAGATGGCTGTTTCACAAGATGCAGCAGATCCAGCACCAGCAGCTACCTCGGATCGTACTCGGAATGTGGGAGAAGTCTCTGAACAGCTATACGGGACCGATTATTGTCCGAGGCAATTTGTATGGGATGAGAACCTCCGCACTGGGGCACAGAGTCTCGAGAGCGGGCTTTTTCTACCTGTTATGGACATGTTGAGGATGGAAGCTGGAGGAGTGGAGGCTGTAAAGAAAGAAATGACAGACGCGACGAGAAGTGGGGCTTCTTTCAGAGATTTAAAGGTGGGGGTTTCTGATTACCTACCGTCCAATTATTTTCCATGTGTACCAGCAAGACAATCCACAAAAATCACTGCAATTTCGCCCACGGCCGTACAAGTGACTAAAACGGGACACTATATGTTGTGGTCAAGTGGCTTTTCATCCGAATTGGTACACCAATCACGATAAGTGATTGTTATCTGTATGTATACTCCATCCATCACCTTAACTCAGAGGATTTTTTTAGACATCCTCCCGTCCAGATATATTCACATGAATTGTCAGCTGTCATAACTGTCGATTCTGGGTTGGAGACGACGATCCAAGTTACTACAGTTCGTGTCCCTGGTGATTATGTTGTTTGTAAACGTTCAGAAAGTGGCAGTATACGTGAAGAACGGGGTCCATCGGGGTCCACCTTGTGTACCATGCAACCGCTTACTGAACAGGCCATCCTCAAGAAATTTAGGCTTCATGAATCAACCCCGGACATAATGAAGCTATTGGAATGCAAGCTTCTGTACATGGTGAACGAGGAATATATTTCTGACTGAATCCTTATCTGCCTCCCACCGTATTTGACAAGCTCGGTGCCGAGCGAGAATCTTTGCAAGTGAAATAAACATCTGGCGTTGACAAGATAATAGGAGACGACACTGAATAAATAAATGGCTTGGTAATGGAACAGTTGGGTGTAGATATTCTTTGTTACGTTTACAAGCACCTGAAATCTTCCCTCTTGAATGAATCCTAAAAGAAGACGACGAGCAAAGTCTGGAGTTCGAAGAAGCGAGGCAGTACTCTGCATGATAACTGTTCTTGGTCCTGGATACTCTGATCGACTTACCGACTTGTTCATGAGATTTGTTCAGCATCCTGCGAACAAGTATCTATATGGGCTGAACGGCCACCATCTTCAGTTATGTCTTCATGTTCTTCTCTTTCTTGTTTCAATGATTTTCTATGAGTACAAAAGTTGAACTAGTGTTACACGGAGCTGCTTGGCGATGGCTTGTAAGAACTGATGAAGAACCTTACAGTACAGCCGGAGCTGAATCCACGACTTTGATCAACTCAGTAAGGCTGCACATCGTCCACAACGAACAGGCACCGACTTTAGAAGGAGACTGGTCAACCTCATTAAGAATGCCCACAGCAACAAACCACATTGTGCATGTAGATCAAAACCACTTGCGGAACATTGAAACTTGCGTCGTGGTTCGTTGTTATAAAACCATAGTGTTGTTTAAAAAACTTCTCCTACCTGACTCCTCCGAGATTTGGATAAGATGCCGACGCACCGGCGAAATCCTGCAGAAGATGACGATTCATGAGGTTAGGACAGAATTCTCTTGCTGAGCACAACTGGTCTCCTTACGACGACCATCAGCTGTGGGGACCAAAAACCATGAAGGCAGAAAGGAGATGATGTGTCAAATTCACGGCTGTAGTTCAAATCTGGAAACTCTATTTACCTGTTTAGAAGTGGAAGATGTGTACGAGATCACGCAGGTCATGCCAGCTCCGAGTGCAGCCTGTAGTGATGAAAGTAGTAAAAAGTATCAACTATTGAAATCGGCGAGTTTACAGATGCATGAATTTAATAGAATCTACACGTAGCCGGATCAACCTTGCTGGTCTATATAACGCACTGACAGGAACCTGAAGCATTTGACTTTGAGCAGAAGCACATATCTGCTGAAACAAGCTGGAAATCGTCAATGGAGAACGTAGAATATAAGCTTACCTGTAATCCGATGACACTGTCTTCTACCACCAGGCATCTTCCCGGATTAGCCCCTAGTTTCTGCAAGATATGAGATCTCACAGTGAGGAGGAGGAGAAGAAGGCATCCAACTATTAGGAATTTATGTAATACGTAAGACTTGCTTATAGAGAGAATTGCTAGTTCGTCAAAGACTGGTTCTGTGTGCAGGGCTGATTGAGCTTAGTTCAACTTACCTCAGCAGCAACTTTGTAAATGGACGGATCTGGCTTCTTGTTTTTCACGTCGTCGCCTGTGTAAAACATGCAGTATAAGGAGATCGAAAATGTTCAATGTTTGGCAGTTAATTTTCACCGACATCAAGTGGCAGATTTCTGACAACGCGGAAACGAAAACTGTGATCGAAGCAATAATGGAAAGGTAAGGGACCTGCTAGGAACCTGCAAGGAAGCAATCAAGTTGTTCGAATCGCTCCTGACATCCACAAAATGACAGCCAACACCAGGAGATAGGCAGTGTTCGTCAATTTAGTTGCCAGCTTGTCTAAATTTTTACTCGAAGCGCGGAAAATCTTTTAAACTTGCAATGTCAACACAGCAAGTGAAGACGTGTATACATTTTGGTAATAAAAATATTTAGCACAACACAGAGTTGGAATCCAAGGCTTGTCAGCAGCTAGCTAATGAGAGCGAAGGTTCCATACCTTTCCCAAAAGGTTGGTCAGACAGAACACGACAGAGCTCTTCGTTGCTGCTGAGCACACTGCCAACTTGATTCCCTGCACAGCGGTACAGTGTCCGGTTACACAACATGGAAGCTTTATAATTCATACTTCATGTTTTGTCAGTAGGATATGTTGTTTGACTAGGCAGGGAGCAGTGCTGTGAGAGCAGGTGGTAAACAGAATCGACTGAACTGAATAGTGCTCGCTATCCAGAGATTCTTATAACCAGATCAATCATCTATCTGATAATCCCAACGAAGCACAACACGAAGTAAAATCTAGATACAGAAGATTGAATTATGTACCCAGCGGCAGAAAACATCGAACACTCTCGTCTCTACGCATGAAAGGTGGCAACACCAACAAGCAGAGTACATGACGAGAGAGATAACGATATAGCCTCCATAGGAAGGAAGCTTCATATAGAGGGGACGTATGATGGCAACGCCCTGGTCAAATTACAGCGCTACAGACAGCAAAAACGTAATCGAGATCAAAATGATTGGAGATAATGAGAGATCATACCATGGAGCGAGCTTCATCCATGAGTTCCAGTACTCCTGGTCTTGGCTCCTGTCCACACAGATGCGACTCCATTCAAACCATGCTGCTAGCAATTCATCTGCCTCCAGAATTACAGAAAGAGAGATTTCAAAACCCAATCAAAAGACGGTGAGAGCAGAGCCTGAGACCCATCGGATTTAAGTCCGAGAGATCTTCTTCATTTTTCTTACAGCTCCTGAGCGAATGAGGTCTTTGTACTTCTCGGTCTTCCAGTCCTGCATTGCACATTCACATCCATCAATCCCAAGCCTCTCGCTAGTGCATCGACCAGTCAAGGGGATGAATGTCTGCCTGATGAAAAAACGAGACCCTAAAACCACAACGAGTTATTATGTCACAAGCTTCTAATCTGCTCTGAGAATTTCGACCGAGGTGGTATAAGACCCGGGAATTTTCCACCACTCAAGGAATGGCTTCTGGGTGCTCTGCTGTTCGTCATCACACGAGTCTTGAAACGATCCTTCGGTCCGATTGCATGAACAGGAGTGGCAAACTCAACGAGGTGGCACCTGAAGGGAGTCGATGAGCGTGGATTGGTCGGCCTCGCTTTCTGGCGCAGTTTCGAACAGAGAAGAAGTGGGCCACCCGTTCCTGGCAAAGTACCTGCACGCGGCCATGCAGCATATCAATAACAGTCTCCCATTCTTTGATTTCCGAGGATTATTCTAATCCAGCCGCGATACCATTTCTTCCCTTTTGCTGGATGCAGTCACGAGGGCCGTTTGAAACCACCAGAACAGGAGGAGGAGGAGGAGGAGGCATTCATGTGGAAGGATTGCAATAGCTTAGAGACGACAGTCTCTAGCCTCAGCGACGACACTCTTCCTTCTGTACAAGCCAAATTCTGCTAAAATCGCAATCTCAGAAAGTGGAATGCTGGATTTCAATTCTCAACACCGAGTTGAGAAATACAATGAGTTGGTCTGTCAAAAGCCTTACTCTCGCCGAGCATATCGACGGATGGTTTTTTATTTGTACATCCAGTTTTAGAAGGAACCCGGAATGGCGTGATACTCTAAAATTGAAGAGGAAGAGCAATGTTGTGTCTCTGAAAAGAAAGAGGCGGAAGTGGTCTGCCATTCCGACTTCAGGGAATTCTGTTACCGAGTACAATTCAGCAGGAGACGAGAGAATTACCAGCGCATTTTGGGCTTTCCGCCTCCGATAGTGTTCTGCAGCACGTCGTAGAATTCCGTATCCCAGTCCACGAGCTTCGAGCCACACTTGACATTGAAATGCTCGAAGGTCAAGTTGTAAGCGCGCCGGTGGAGATCCTCCGATTCCAGAATGACCCCATCGCAATCGAAAATCAGAGCATCCAGAGACGCTTCACAGCACCCACCAGCTCGTCTACCCTTCGCCGCCGCAAATTCCACCTTCCCACCGACAGGAATTCGCAGAGCTTTGACACCTCCGCCGAGAAATCCACTCCCTCCTCCGCAGCTCCACGAGGGCCTCCCAGCGAGGACATTCTTCTCTGCTGTTGCGAGCGAGCCTACGACTCTGACTCTCCCGACGGATCCTCTCGGAGAAGTGGCAGACGAGTCGTGGACTCGAGAATCAGCGAACGTGCGAGAGGCGACGAGCAGGCGGGAGGAGGTCGCCATAGCTCTCTGATTCTGCCACAGCCGTCGAAAAGCAGCGAGTGCTCGGAATGCGGGGTCGGGGGGATAAGAGCCTTGACGCGCACAGCCGGTCTGCCCGGTCACCGCTCCACTCTCCGACCGGACAAGAGGCGGGAAGCATTTGCGTCCATAAACCCTTTTCTTCGGTGAGGATTTGGGGATCTCTGTCCGAATTACCGGGAGTCCCTGTTCAGTCACCGAGGTCCACCGGCAACACTAGGTCAGTCCAAATCCTTACATTTCCAGAGCCGCAAGCGTTCGAGTCTTCGTCGAGAAGAGAAGGAGGGTCCTTACGACGTCCCCAGAATCTGCAGAATGATTTCTCTTCAGCTCGAGTTCGTGCTTGAAATCAGATTATGATGGGGTAGTTCTTGCGACTCTGGTTTTCTTCAGAGTGTACGATGGATGCTCGCTGTGACTGAGGGAGATCACCAGAAAAATCAGGAAAAAATTCTCGCTGACATTGAAGGAGTGGTACATGAATTGAAGGAAGGGAGGAATTCAGATTCGCATGAAAGTCTCTTCTGCAAGCCGTTTTCGATTTCTGTACATCACTCGGTCCTTGCGGCAAGAAGTGGGAAGGAAAACATTGGACTAATGATGTGAATATCGTTTGGCTACAGGAACAACGAAATGCTCACACGTCTAATCCGAAGTCGGCATCGAGTAATACGTTGGAAGGCAGATCGACCGGCCACAATTCAATACAGTCACGTATTTTTTTATCTTCTTCAAAAACTTTAGAATATTTTTTTGGTTTTGCAAACCAATACGAGCGGTGATTTTGTGTTATACCAAGTCTAAAACCAAGTGGGTTTATTTCCTTTCGGTAGGTTCACTCCACACTCTCGCTCTGCCAATCTCTAATTCCATCGACGTCTTCGTAATGTAGTTCAAATGTGCTGCTGCACATGGAGCAAAGAAATGCAGCAAGTGGATCAGGAACGTGCAGACCCTCCGCTGGACTCAGCTCAACATGCAAAGCGGAGGATCCTTGTGCTCCTCTCGTAATTTGGCTACGAATCTATCGATCTATTCGTCTGATCCAGCAATTAGATCAGGGTTGTCAATCTGGAGACTAGTTTTTGCCATACATAACCTTTGAAGCTTCATGCTTGAATAGACTTGCAGACCTGCGTCCAGGTGACCGGAACAAAACTCCAAATACTACTCACCACGAAGCGGTGGGCAAAGAATTATATAATCCAACCAACAGCTGATTGAAATTAATGATAGACATACATCGAAGTACGCCACAGAGTGATCAGTTCCTTCTTATTCTCTACTGCTGTAACTTGTCCTCACAATTTTCAGCTACAGCAGAATCTTGCGAATGCTACTTCTGTCCACTGTCGAGCAACTTTCCGCTCGAGGAGGATGATGCCCAAATACAGTATTACAGTCGTTACCAGCAGTCCGTCTCGCTCGTCACGAGCACGATGATTCATGCGCGTTGGATGAATCCTTGTAATTTCTAAGATCCGTAATCTACGATCTGTCTTTCCTAATTGCATCCTCGTCAAAATTCCTCTCAAGTCTCCACTCCAAATTTGCACAATTTTGCGAGATTCAGGTCACTGCTGCAGATGGAATGAGAACTGCTTCAAAATTGAAGAAGAATTTCTCTTCGGCTCTGTAGAAACTTACGTCTGAAAGCTAGATCTGAAAGCTTCTTGTTATCTGGTATCGACATGTACAATGTCTGTGCTTTCATGTAAGTATTAGCAATGAATCAGACGTTCTGCAAAAGAATGGCCTCCGGCACGGAAACAGGAGCCACCACTCGAAAACTGCCAACCAACTGGAGACCGTGAGGTGACTTCGAGAGATTTGGAAGGTGTTTTTGATGGAGAATCATCCGGCTTTGAAGATCTGGAGGGCGTTTGTGATTGCTTGTGAGCAGATCATCTGATCAGACCACTGGCAGGATCGTTGCTCGCAATTTCACTGCAGCAGGCGTACAAAGTGCCCAAATGCGCTGTGGTTTTCATGCACCGACACAACGCTTCTGCTGCTGGCTCCGTGACAAGCCTGATCTATACGATGGTATGCGGAGCTCAGATCTCATGGCACTGGAAACTCGGGGCCCAGAATCCGTCGAGCGATGTGCGAATACGTTCCGTTGACATCATCCCCGCAGATTCCCTGGTTCCAGATTGAGTCCAGTCCGAAGGAAGGAACATCAACGCTGTACAAGTTGCTGAAGACCCCGGCGTCGCTCTTGCCCAATTGCTGCAGTCCGTCCGATTCCAGCTGAAATTGAAAGATGACTGCGCAGAAGAAGACGCAGCTGAAGGTGAAATGGGTGAGCAACCAGATCAAGTAGATATTCTCGCCCATCTTCCGCATCTGACACGTTGTGCAAATGTGAGGAAGCAATGTTCGTCAATCTGTGCGTCAACCGAGTGCAGTCAGTAGATCCGGTGGGCTCGGATCCCCGATGTTCTAGCAGATCTATAAGTCGACTCTCTGCTGATGATGCAGGAGGAGAATCCGAGTGAGAGGACCAAATTGGTGCACGATAAATCGTCAGGAATCAAGGAGATGGACACAGCCGTCAGGACGTGCTGTCCTTGAAGGAGAAGGAAATCCTAGGAGGGCGTCGTAGGTCAGGAATGCAGTTCAAGCTGAGATTGCAGTGCTGCTGCTGCCGCACCTCGCTTAAACTCAGACTTTGAAGGAAGAGAACAACTACTGCAGAAGCTTTGCAAATGACCTTTGGATTCCGGTGCTGGTTACATCAGACCCACGATCTCAACCTGTCCAGTCCATCTCGACTCTTGTTCTTGTCACTATCTCCTTTGGTAAGGTTCTATATTATAATTGATACCATGAACTTTTCGGCAATGCTCCTGTTATCCATATTATATCAATACTATTTACAACATCTAGTGATTGGATACTTCACATCTTTCACACTATGATGCTATTGGGTCCTAAGTGTTCGGTTGCATCCATGTGTAAGTTTTGGTGGGGTCTTCCCAAAGTTGATGTATTACTTCTCAACCCTTATTGGATATTACAGTGCAGAAGCAATGGATCAATATTATTGCGTCTCTCCTGAGTTTCACAACTGATGCCCAACCTCTTACATGTACAATGAGTGAAGAGTACAATCGTAAAAATACGCATGTACTACAGACAGGGCAGTAAAATATCGGTCGGTGTACCTTGAGAAGAAGCAAGAACGTGTTAAAAAGGGTTGTATCTCCAATTCAACAGTTTGAGGAAGTTCATCATGGTAGAAGTTCTGTTGGAGGAATGGCCGGATCATTCGTAGATTGAAGCAGTGACTCCCACAGTTGTTGATCTCCGTGAATGCCATGAGCTTGAGTCTCTGCAGCATCGAGATTAATTTATATTATCAGCGGAGGCAAGGCCTGTCCCTCGAGCTGAATAGAATCCTCCGAAGAGTTTGAAGACCCAGAGTACTCATTGCAGCACCTTTCATCATTCAGTCTCTGACATGAATGCCTCGGACAATCAAGAGGAGTATGAACCGAGCATCTTCACGCGGCCCGTGACCGCAACCATGAAAATGAAACACAAGTTTCAGTTCTCGACTGGATGAGCGAAATTGCACTTCAACCTTCACATGGTCATAGTGGGCTCAACGTTGTTGGTCTGCGCATTCCAGAGGATCCTATCCATGTCGTTGGGAGGTAAGGTCCACTTGTTCCTCACCCACGGTGATAACAAATGCTCTGGATGGTTCAAGGGACGGTACCATCAGCACAATGAGAAATTGGACTTTGTGGGCAAAAATCAGTCGAAGATGTTTGACAATGAGTTCTATAATTAACTCCTAAGATCTCATGTCCGTGAGCATCCACGCCAGTAAGTCAACATAAGCCAATATGTCAATCTCTGGGGATCAAGTGCGAGCAACGGAATCGTGTTTGTGACCACTGAGGAAGAGCAACATCGATCTGCTCACGAACAATGTTCCCATGCCCGAATTGACTGAGCCATTTTTGCAGTCTGTCGCGACGACCAGGAATTTCCTGGTCGTCGCCTTTCCTGGCAGGAAAGGCTGTTTGTCATTTACGTCAGTTCTGGCCTTGTGCTTCCACAATTATTGGAAGGCACTGATTCTCTTCCATGTTCACGTTGACTTCTCAATATTTTATGTGTTTTCCCCAACTCTCTGTCGCACTTGCTGTCTTATCTGTAGCTGTAGACTAGGTTTTAAAACCTTTGTGCCATCTAACATTACCTTTTCGGTACAGTACTCACCCTTTTGTGAAAAAATACATTGCTATGTAAAGATATTCGTCATTAGAAGATCTGAGCATTCAAATTTCAAATAATGAATAGTGATGAATATTCGGACATCGTGTTTCAATTCAATATCTCTCTCATGTATTTTATCAAAGCTTAGTATGAATACTTTTACATTCTATCGTTGAGTATTCTAAAAAATATTCAAGTATATTTAAATCTTGCTTAAAAATTTTGATGTAATTACTTAGATTTTATAAGTAATATATAAATTTATAAAGAAATTTTCATATTCAAAGCTCATTCAGTTTATTTCAAGTTTTATCACTAAATTTTCCGTTCTTTAAATCAGATATTTCCAAAATCTATCAAGAATATTTTTGAATCTCAAGGTCACTTTGTAAAGTTTGATCATCATCATATCAAATTGCTAACACATTCAGTTGTCGAGGAATTTGAGTTCGAATTAAAAATTCTGTTGATGGAATTTGAGCACTTTATTTCAATTGTAGAGTATTGTTGAAACAACCAAAAAAATTTGGAAAAGTTAAACGTAAGTCCTATCAATTGCAAGATCAAAGAGATGAAATAATCTGATTATGATCTATATTGTAGAAAAATAAGTAGAATTTTTTAACAATATAGTTTAGCCAACACCATTTATATTGAGGTAGATATAATCAGTATACATTGATTAAAAATTTTATTTTCATTCAAACCTATACTACAAATGATGAACAAATAAAACTGATGACTTTAAGTTAAGTCAAAATGTTACGATATTAAAAAAGTTCAAAGCTAACAATTGAAAATTAAAAAATCATCAATGTTTTGCATACAAGAAATGTTATATTTTATCGGAGTATAATTCTTCATGAAAACAACAAAACGACATTCTTTGAAATTCCACATAACAAGTTGGAATAAGAGATAGACGTATCATTTCTATCAAATGGTAACTAAAATAACAGAAGATTTTAATTTTTAAAAAAATGTACAAGACTTGATGGGGTCTTGTACTCCTTCTTATTAACTTAATTTGTACTTTCAACTAATCTGCACTCGCTATCTTCATGCGTGATCTGATTCTTTGCTGCTCTCCTGTTCCGGAGAAAGAGTACGGTTCTCTCTTTTCGATAGGAAGTCCACGGGGATGTGATTGAGATTAGATGAAATTCATGTCTTCCCTAACCTGCACATAAAAAGAGCTGTAAGGGATGTAGTGATAGTCAGGTGGGTAATTATAGAGCTCGAAAAATTTAGCTATTTTATGAAGCCACTCGAGCAAACGGCGAAGCAGGGAGATGCAATAGGAGTAGCACTGACCACTGTCTCAGAGAAATTAATTAGCAGATCTTTTGTGGCACCGATTAGCACGAGCAAGCAGCACTACGCAGCCTGTAAGCATGAAGAACCATCAGCATGTGCGGCAAACCAGCATGGAAGTGTGCAAATTTTCACAAATCAGGGTAGAGAATGTTGAGTGAAACGTTGGCTATGCAAGTTATAGTAAAAGTGATTAATCAGTGTAGAGAATGTTGAGTGAAAGGTTGGCTATGCATGTTGTAGTAAAAGTAATTAATCAGTATGGACTAATATAATCAATTGGGGGAGTGGTGAGCTATGTACATTTGAGCTGTAATTGAGAGTTTTGTCAATAACTCCATCGTAGAATCAGGAATCCAGATCGATATTTTTAAAATGGACGTGCGAATAACAGGACTCAATAAAATAACAGCGCTGTTTCAGGCCATAAACAAACCACATGAAGCAAAGGAGGACGACATATTCTTTAAACCGAATAATTTTGTCCAGACTCTGATGCTTGTACAACGCTCTTGCAACGCACAGCAACAAGCCAAGGACGATTCCAGTGAAAATTGCATCACAGAAACGACATACAGAGGGATGGAATCTCGATTCGCATGACTCGTTCTCATGAAATCCTCATGATTCTCCTACACTTCATTTCTTTGAGCATTGCTTGTTTAGTAAGGTAGGCATAACGACATGGCCAACAGCAGCATAATAGGTAGCCGTCCAAGTAGCATGCTAGTCACCTTCCTGCTCCAACTGACTGGAGGAAAACGAAAGCGCAAACTTCGATCAAAGATCACTAGCGTTGGTGCGATCATGGTATCCTGCGGCTGAAGCAACCCCAAGGAACCATTGCATTCCATTGTTAAATACCCGATACTCCCGGTTGTATTTACTATACGTTCTTATCTGATTGGTCCAACACTGCATCTACTACTCCCCTATAATAACTAACCGCTCCATTAAAATAATATTCCACGAAATCATAACGCGAAAATATCTACAATACATATGTATTTTCTGAAGGATGGACGGGACTGATTATTTCCCAAGGATAGAAAGAACACAGAACAGAACCTTGTGGATATGAATTCTACACATTTCACATCGCCATCTGACATTCATTCAGATCGGTCAACTGCTAACGATAATCCCACTGGAGGAGGAAAGCGCCAATTGTGTGGCTGGACAGAATGGTTCTGAATGTTCGCAGTCGGAAAATCTTACGCCGTTCAGGCCGTCAGGCAGCCATGCGGGCTGCCTTTTTAGTAAACTCAGCGATCTCAGATTCCTACAATCTGGTAACGGCGATGGGTACAGTCTTTCAGTCAATTTCTGCCACTTGCTTCACTTTGTCGTTATGGATGATAGAATCACCTCCCCAAGCCGAGTTGCCAGACAAAAGTCCGCCGCTCGAACTCGTGCCGTGGGGCCAGGAGTCAAACACTCCAAGGATATCGATATGCGGGAGGTCTCGAAGGTATGATTCGGGGAAGGAGTATGTGCACACGGTCCGCATTGGACCGCTCATGAATACCTCTCCACCATCTGAGGTCATTGGTTCGTGCACCTCGGCCTCACGGTTGTCCTGAAGATATATAGATGTACAGACTTGTAGTGCAGAACTGAGCTGAGCTGAGCTGAACTTTCAGACGACTGCGGGCGTTTCATGGCAGTTTTCTACATTTCAGACTGGAATTGACCAAAGCCCATAATTCTTGTCAGGCTCCAAGCACCTGGGAACCATCATACGCTTAAACATATGGACAGCCGTGGAGTTTAAAATTTGAAGAAAGAAAGATCACAAGACTGATCTGAACGCAGACAAGGGGTAGATCTCCACTGAGAAACGACACGACGGGAGAAAATCTGCAGGCAAGAACTTCGAGCGAGAATTGCAACGATGTTGGAGGAATGGGGTCGTGGGGAGTGGATCAAGTTCGGCGTCAGTGTTGTGCTGGGGGCACAGATTTTGGCCTACGTGCTGAAGACATGGATTTTCAATGGAAAGTCGGGCAAGGTGCCTCCTGGAGAGCTAGGCTGGCCATTGTGGGACGAGACGCTGAACTACCTGAGCTCGTGCGCTGACTCTCGAAGTCCAGGGAAGTGGATCGATGAGAAGAGAGCTCTGTACGGCGATGTATTTAAAGCTCGACTGTTCGGCGTTCCCACGGTGTTCGCCCTGGGATCTGCAGGCAACCGCTGGGTCTTATCGAACGATCAGGTGCTGTTCCGCCAGGCCTGGCCCAAGTCCATGAGAACTGTGTTCGGCCAGGACTCGGTCCTCGTGGCACATGGAGAGAAGTTCCGACACTTGCGGCTGCACATTGAACAATTTCTGGGCACAGAAGCAGTCAAGCGCTTCATCGGATCCATGGAGTCTTGCACTCTGAGCCGCCTCGAGAGGTGGCAGCAGCAGCAGCAGGATGTGAAAGTCTACCCAGAGCTCCACGAGCACACCTTCAAGGTCGCACTCGAGCTGATCATGGGCGGTGCACCAGAAGTGAACTTCCACAAGATGGAGCAAAATTGTCTCGTACTGGGTTTGAATATGTTCTCCGTGCCCATAAATCTGCCATGGACCCGATTCGGGAAGGCCATGAAAGCCCAAGGTGAGATTCTCAAAGTGTTCAACTCGGAAATCCGCAGGCGAAGAGCAGAGTGGTATGCCGGCCTTTCTCCCTTGGGCAAAGGAGGTCGCCTCTCCTCGAACAACTTGGACCTCGCCCGGGATCTGCTCGATCTGTTCATGTTCTGGGAGACGGACAAAACAAATTCACAGCAGAAAGAGTGGGAATTCACCGACACGGAAATTGCACAAAACATGCTCGTCGTCATCGAAGGAGCCCATGGCACCACAGCTGCCACTCTGACCAACGCCATGTACTACTTGTCGACCCGACCTCACATCGTCCAGGAGCTCCGCAAAGGTCAGCCAGAACACCTCCCTTCCCTCGCAGCCTCAGCACTTGTCAGTCAAACACTAACCTCTGGCGACGATCCATGTGCAGGATCTTTCTCCTTTAGACTCGTGTGAGGGCTCATAGGGATGCATGTTCTGAGCTGAGCCGAGCCGAGCAGAGCATTGATTTTTCGTGTGTGAATGGCGTACAGAGGTTTTGTCGGTGGCTGAGGCCAAGAAAGCGGACGAGCCACTGAGCTGGGCTGAAATAAGGAACATGACCTACACGCGCAATGTCCTTCTCGAGACTTTGCGCATGCGCACCACGGTGCCCCAGCTGAACAAGGAGACTGTGCAAGACCTTGAATTCGAAGGATTCACCATTCCCAAAGGCTGGGTGGTAAGTTTGAACTCGATTCTCACCAGCTCCTCTTTACGTTTGGTCGAGCGATGCTATGCTACATTCTCTGAGAGAATGTAGCATTGCACCGGGCACTGCTCGGAGTCCATAATTTTTAGGATGTGCGGTCGTCAGTCGGTCCCGATGAGCGATCATTCTCTCAGAGAATGTAGCAGCATTGCACCGGGCACTGCTCGGAGTCCACATTTATTAGGATGTGCGGTCGTCGGTCGGTACCGATGTCTGCTGCTGCTAACAACGATCTAACGACGGCGCTTGTGATTTGAATCAGGTCACTTGTTGCCCCAGGCAGACGCATAACAGAGAGGAGAACTTCCCAAATCCGGAGTTGTTCGATCCGAGCAGGTTCAATCAGAGTCCCGATCTCTACTCGTTCATCCCGTTCGGCCGAGGTCCCAGAATGTGCCCAGGAGAAAAGTTCGGCATGACCGTGATGCAAGTCTTTCTGTACCATCTCGTGGCCAAGTTCGACTGGGAGCTCGTCGACCCCGAAGAGCAGTTCACCATGTTCTTCGCTCCTACCCCCAAAAACGGCTTGCCCGTCAAGCTGACACCACGAAAACTTCTCTAAACCCTCTCCCAACTGGGGGCTAGAGACGTCCCCCCACCCCAGCCCTCCCTTCCCCCACCCAAAACATCGAACGCCCGCACATCCCTTCCACCCTTACCCCCACGTGGCGGGTGTTAGGAGCACAAGCTGTACGGTCTGGGGTCCACTGCGAAGGTTTAGCGTATATAGAGCCGGAAGCACATTCGCAGTCGATCAAAATCCCCGAGCATTCGGGTAATAAAGTTCCGCCAGGCTGGCAGCCTGTAGAGTACTCTCGTCCTTTCAATGTCCGGTCCTTTGTTGTCTCGCAGCAGCAATCAGAGGTGTTTGTCCGACGCGCACGCAGAGAAGTGAGCAATATGTATGTCGAGAGAAAACAATGGCTCTTCTGTGCGAGTGTCAAGTCGTCGTGCTTCCGTTCTTACACTCCTGTTGCCTCGAGCGGATCTGGCACCGACTTCGCCACAGCAGTAATTCAAAAATTCCACATCTGATGGTATGAGGTCAAATTATCAAGGTAAGTGTATTGCAGATGAAGGTGACAGACAGAGAAATTGACGCCATGACAGGCAACAACTTCCTCTCGGTAGCTGGTTCTGGCTCTGATTCTCATATTTCTGAACGTCTGACTTTCCAAAGTTCGAGCATCGTACTCCTCTTCTGTCATTAGGCTCTTTGTGAGCGCACGCTCCGTCCGTCCGAGCTGGACGACACGGATTTGGATCAATCCTGGCATGGACTCGTGCGGAATGCTCGGCAACCACCTCGTACCCTATGGAGAATCGTGATCGACAGAGTAACCGACATGTTAGACTTCATGGAGAAGTGACGAACATTGCCAAACCGTCTCACTCTACATTTCCCGTGCCGATCGAATTGTTTTGTTTATATTACTCGTTCATGTACGAAACCCGGCAGTACGGAGCTTCTTTGTTCTGTTGGACGAGTTGATGGATGGAAACCCGTTTTGGTCGCAGTGTATGGCCATCGCCTGGCCACATTTACGAGCAGGAAGTACATTGAGGAGAGCATTGAGTGAAGGACTAGTTTTGAGCTTGGAAGAGGACATCGACATATACCGAGCCACATATCGGAGAATCCTCTGAACTACAAAAATTCGAGGACAGTGCTCTGTTTAGTTGTTCGAATGTTCAGTCAATGTACAACAAATTCGTTCAACTCGTTCCTTGGTCTTCCTTCCTGTCGCCAGCGAGCTCTCACATTTCTACCGACCCATCCCAAGCGGACGCAGTCTCAGAAGAACACAATTGACTCGTCTTCGAGGATTTTTGGATTTCTACATTTACACGCTTCTCCACATCAACCCCTGCAGAGGTTTGTGCTGCCGACTGATGACTGTGAACGCTGAAACGAGTTGGAGGTACTTAATACGAATCCTCCCGAAGCACTCAAGGAAGCCTCAAGCACCTGCTGGTAAACTGCGACTCAATTCCTTAGCTGGGACGTTCAAACAGCATCCGCATGGGCTTCACGGCCGTCTCTATGATCGAGGCTCGAGGACCTTCTAGACTGCTTGATTTACATGAATGAATGCTCGGCCTACTAGGAGTAGTAGCAATCCATTGCCAATCACTCAAATTATAAAGCTCCTGCGGGTTTCAACCACGAGTTCGGCTGTCGACTTTCGTAATGATTAGCGACCGAGAGCCGAGATACTCAGAACCTCAGCGCTGAATTTGCATTAAGCACCGCCTCGTGATCACCACAGCACCAGCAGTGTCACAAAGGAACTTCCTCAACTGGATATACCCGAGTCCCGGCTCTCGAAGAGAGAGAGACAGAGGGCCAAGGGTTCGGATGTGTGATAACAGCCTTCGAGGTTTTCATGCGTCGACCATTGAGCTCATACCTCAATTTGTCTGGCTCCTAAGACACTGACGTGCCAGTCTACGTAAAGGGGTTCAGAAATCAACTGGTACTTTCTTCCATCATATTCAACTTTGTTAAATTCGATGGAGGAAAATACTGCACACTATGCTCCGCATATTCGCTAAAAAAAATCTGTGTCCTATCCACGCACTCCTCGCTTGCAGGGAGGCAGAGGGGAGGAGCTAGATGATGAGCTCGGACAGAAGTTGCAAGATGGGCTTGCGGTGCTGAACATGTGGAGGAGACTTCAGTCTTAGGGAAGGCAATAGCTACATGAGCTTTGAGGGAACACGGAGACGAGCACTGGAGCCTAGCAAAATCAGGCGAGATCAATGTGTTGGAATGTCCAGCCAGGATTTCATCAGTCTCGAAATCCTGAAGTTCTCGCTTCTATTCCACACCTTTCGAGCGTACCAACCTCGAAAACAGCTTCCAGTGTCCTCAAATTTACGGGTCTGCTATTCCTACGCCTTGATTCAGCCAACCTCTCATGACGGTGAATCCCAGTGGTGCTATGCTGTGCTCGTAAGATTTACAGGAGACTCGGTTCGGAAATTGCATTACAAACATGGCATTTACTTCATCAACCAAACAAGTTATTGCCTCACCTCGTACACACAAAAACACACACAGAGAGCAGAGGAAGTTGTGTCTCGCTGCTTCAATTGCATATCAGAGCTACTGTGGCCTGGCCTGACCTCTGAAGGTCCATGATCCACAAAGTTCTCTGGAGATATGTTACTGATCTGACCTTCAGCGGGTACCTGGTCGTTGGAACGGGAAATCGGTGACATGAAGTTCTATACAAGATTTACACTACCAAGGTTCTTTCCAAGGTCTGATGTCGGTTTCATGAGTCCAAGCTCGCCTGGGCTGTTGGTACAGCTGCCAGTAAAGCTCGGCGACATCGTCTGGCTCGACAACCCGATCGGTGCTGATGAGAGAATCGGCATCTGGGAGCATGCCTCGAGTCCAAGCAGTGTTGATGGGAGCATCGACAACAACGTGAGCGACATGAACACCTTTGGGGCCCAGCTCTCGGGCCATGCTTTGAGCGAGCGCTCTCAGAGCGAATTTTGCTCCTGCGAAGGCAGAGAAGCCCGAGCCCCCGCGCAGGCTCGCTGTTGCGCCCGTGAAGATGATGGTGCCCCTGTTCCTCTCCACCATGCGCTTCGCCACCTCCCTGCCGCTCACGAACCCTGCAAAGCAAGCCATCTCCCAGACCTTGTAGTAAAGTCTTGCAGTGGTTTCCAAAATCCCTCGTTTCTCATTAGCGCCGATGTTGAACACCAAAACTTCAATGTCTCCCACCGAGCTCTCGATGTGCTCCACCAATTTCACCACCTCCTCCTCTTTCCTGGCATCCACCCCGAACGAATGTGCTCGGCCACCATCCTCCTCGATTGCGTCGGCCAAGGGTTTGAGCTCTGCCTTCTGCCTCCTCACGATGCACGCCACGAACCCTTCTCTGGCAAATCGCTTGGCCACAGCTCCACCTGTTGCATTCCCTGCCCCGATGACGAGAATCACTTTGTCCCTGGTCGATTCCTGCGGCTTCACCCCATTTGGCGTCGGCGAATCGATGTTGGGATCCACCATTTCCTGCTCGGCATCGAAGGGTAGAGCCGAGAGCGCCTCGGCTCCCGTGGAGAATCCATACACGGGGGAAGGCGAGACTCCACCATAGGAAGATGAACTGTCGCCCGTCTCAGCTCCGAATCTGAAGCTCGGGTGAGGGTTCAAGTGGAGCTGCAGAGTAGCAACTCTGCGTGCGATTGCACGACTTCCATTTCCGTTCCCGGCCCAGGTTTCAGGAGCACTCTCTTTACCTGAAGCCATGGGCGATCGGCCGATCGATCGCTGCAGCCGATTGGCATATGCTCAGGAATTTCACTCTGTATTACAACCCGCCACCTCCTCCTCCTCCTCCTCCTCTTCTTCCTCTTCCTCCTGCTCCTGGCGACACCATTATGAGACGCGACTTTAGTTTCAATACCGGGAGACTGGAAATTAGCGTGTGATCAAAAATCGATTCACTCACGCCGTGCTGAGAGAAGCAATCATTCCTCCACGAGCGTTCCTGTTGATCCCACCACGGTCTACGCGTTCAGCCACACACACATGTGCCTCTGCACAGCGTATCGCCTGGCAGAGCCCATGCTCGCCGACACTAATTCACAGAAGCCTGCTTCAACGAGAGTTCATAATTTCCCGGAGTAGAGATCGTTGACAACGATCTCTCGCAACTGAGCCAAAATCTGCACCTAATCACAGCATCTATTGCCGGCAATGCGGCCAGTTGTAATCGACATGTTTTCGTGGACATGTCACGTGACCTACAACTTTATCTCAGAAGCACAATCAGCAAACACGATTTTTTTGGCTTGTAGGCAAATCACTTTTGCAGTGAATTTAGTATCTTGTCTTATGAAACCGATGCCTTACGGTGTGCAGAGCTGCCACCGTGGAGGTACTTTACAACGCCCGGGAGCACATCGCGGGGTGATAAACGAAACCCAATTGTTTCAGCACAGCGTACCCCACCCAGAATCAGCAGTCAGCACTTCAATACCTCGGGACAGTGAACGCAAGAATCGAACACATCGCCTACCCCAAAGGCACTTTAGGGTGACCACCGCAGTCAATGTTCCTCCGTTAAAGGGCCGGAGCTGTCGGCATTAAGCATATAGTGACATCGAAAGCTCTGCTGTTTAAGATTTCCGTTGGTACAGATTTGTATTTGACTCAGACGATACGTTCAACTCGACATCTCGTATTCGTTGGCATAGTAAACCATGACTCTGAGAGCCTGATGGTATTAGCAACTTTTGAACGCGGGAGTTTTGTTCCAAGCACATAATATGTACATAGTGCTCCAGACTAATAAATTGTGTACGTCAGATTGGAGATACTGAATTGAAAATCGCTTGAATGATCGACATATACTCGGGAAAATGGTCAATGAAGTAGACCAGTAAGTTAACAAAACATCTAGGATTTGCCATATATATATACCCTCGACCCAAGGTGATGATGGCTACAGAAGTCCAGGAATTTTCAACAACAGCCAAGTGGTGTGAACAGCTGATGAGTACGATAGACGTGGAAAAAATTATATTTGGCATTCGTAATTGCAGATATTTGACTGACAAAACGAACGCAAGTAGACCCAGAGTTAATTATCGACGAAGAGGACTACGCTAGCTCCAATCGGAGCCAAGTCTACTTTGATACCCTGAGACTAAAATTGGGTATGGAACGTAAACTGAGTAAGCCTGCCTAGAAGCTACCTTGCTATACCTCTGAAATCAGTAGCACACAACTGTTGGTACTCCTGTCTCAACACGAGCAAGAAAAGACATATATTTGTATGCCACATTCGACTACTGATCAAATCTCTCGATCAATGAAGATGGACAAGCTCTGATCTTTGAGTGGAACTCGCTACTTGCCCTTGCCCTTGTCCATGCTCATGCTCAAAATCTTCCTCAAAGACTGAAGGTCCTGGATGGAGGAGTCTAGCGGCTCCAAGGCACACCTCGCCGTCGTATAGGACCAATGCTTGACCAGGTGTTATTGCCCTTGCAGTATTCAAAAACTTGATCTGCATCAGTGATGATACAATCAGAACAGGTAAACAAAATCCTAGATGCGACAATCATCCAGCATTGTGAAGATATCAAGGCGAAGACACTAATGTCTTGGAATCCTCATTGATCAGAGAAGGAAGAGGAAGGTCAAAGTGACTCATTCAGGACATAAATTATGGCACAAAATATAAAAGCTTGAAGGCACGATGACTGGCACGTAAGGGAGGGGTAGTTGAAGGTCATCGTTTTACAAAGCACGACATGTATATATTCATCTAAAAAGATCGAGTATGTGTTCCTAATACGAATGGCAATGATTTTTATATAGACAGAAAATCACCTGCAATTGTTCGCCCTGCATTGCCACTGACTGCAATCGACACAACGAGCTGGGCAAAAATTTTCTCGAGTTCGTAAAAGCTATCCCCATGCCCTCTCTCAGGGCTTCCTCAGAGTCTGCACTTGCTAAACATACCGTGCACTCCTCCACAGGCTGCCTATATCTTGCTTTGTATAAGCATTTGAGCACCCTTCCTTCTGCGAGCTCTGCTGGCAAGGCACCAGATATCCAAGAAAGTCCATCTGACGCAGCGAAACAACCACACGCTCATGGTTAGCTGAAATAACTGCTTCCAATGGACATCCTACATAGAAGACTACAACTTGACCATTAATTGACGATAGAAGACTACAACTTGAATCCAAGACTCAGAAAATATGTGCACCTTTTCGAAACTAATAAGTTGATTCCCTGTATTATTGAGACATAATGAAGACGAGGTGCTCAGTAGCTTACACAAACTTCCGTATTCACGATAGGACCAAAAGAAACTACGAGAGATGAAGGACTGTAGGGCAGTTCAGTGAAATAATAGCCAGTGCTGAAGCTCAGCTTTAACTTGACTGAAGGTGTCCAGAAGGAACTGTATGGTTACCAGCAACAGCTGTTGTACAGAAAAGTGCAGGATGCTCGGGACCTGCTGCAACAAAAACAGAGTTGTTCGGCACGTCCTTGCCTACAACGTACCAAGCTTCGGGTTGGCCTCCAATTCGTGCTCTTTGACCATGTGTGTAAGATGGAATGCCGTCATGAGTTCCAATCTCGGCTCCGCTATTTACAGCAATGAAAGGGCCGGGTTTCATGTCCACATACTCTGATATGAAGTCTGAAAAATTCCGCCGACCTACGAAACATATCCCAGCGCTGCTGCGCTTCTGTGCTGTGATTAAGCCTTCAGTGGCCGCCAGTTTCCTGACATCTGACTTTATCAAAGAACCTAACGGGAACATCACACTTTGAAGAGCACTTCCTGCCTGCCCACAGACACAGATACATCTTTAAGAAATCGCCCTGATCTTGATGAGAAAACAAACCAGAAGTGCAAAAAATATGCAGAAAGTGTTCCGATCCTTGGAGGGAACATCTAGGCAAAACAGAGTGGACAAACTTTGTGTTTCGCGCCAGTCATAAGAGATACAAAGCCCGAACATGCAACCCTGCAAAATCTAGTCAACATAAGCGACTGACGAGTAATTGTAAAGAGTGCTTCTTTTAAACTTCTGTGCTGCTTGCACAGAAGTGAATATATGAACCGCCTCTATCACGAGTAACATGGCGTGTATAGAAGAGAATAAAGTTTGAGTTTTACCACAGATGCAAGAAAATACGACTGATCCTTGTCGTGGTCAATGCCTCGTAGAAGCTGGAACTGTTGCCCATCTCGGGAGAGTGCAAGGCGAGCATAATGGCCAGTCGCCAGTTTGTCTGCTCCCAACTGCTTTGCTTGCTCTAGGAGTGCATCAAACTGCATCCACGTTCAATATCTCGATTTCCTCCAGCAAACACTACATGCAGTAGTAGATAACAAGAACGAGGCCGCCTCAGAAAATTACCATTACATGCGCATCATATGAGCTTTCTGTTTATGATCGTCTAAATTCAGAAGCCTTACCTTGATATATCGGTTGCAGGCGAGATCAGGATTGGGTGTGAGGCCGGTACTGAAATCACTGGTGAAGGACTCAAAAACATCCGTCCAGTACCGTTTCTGATTGTCTACTTCATAGAGTTCGATTCCTGTAAATTCAGGCAACCCAGAAGCACAGAATCGATGGTCCGATTATTACAAAAAGAAATGTGCACAGGTGTCTCCAAACATAAGAGTAGCTGAAAATCTGTAAAAGTTATAGCAATGTCTTCCATAGTGAGTGTGCACCAACTTAAGATCAGGGCTTACCCAGTTGCTTGGCAACTAGGCGAGCATCCTCGTAGTCCCGCTCAGCTGAGCAAGCAGTGCCTCCAACCTCGTCACTCGAGTCCCAATTACGCATGTAGACCCCAAATACTCTGTATCCCTGCAGCCACTCAATTTCCTATTTCTCAGAGCTGAGAATTGAAAAAGTGTCAAAATGAAGAACTTTGTAGTCAGTTTTTTATATCAATCAGCCGATTATCTTCTCTGTTAAATTCGATCACTAGCTAAATCTTCGATCGCAAGGTGCACATCACAGGTTCAACTGACCTGACGCTTGAGAAGCAACGCTGCTATCGAAGAATCCACTCCACCTGATAGCCCTACTGCAATGACAGGACCGAGGCCGGCCTTTCTGTTCACAGGCTCCAGCGATTCAACCACGGTGGAAAACCATTTACAGCAACGATCTCCTGAGGACTGACCCTCGTCAACAGGGCTGAATTTTCCCCACCCATAAGGTGCAATCGAATCTTTTGCACTGAGACGAAAATCTCCACAGCCAATTCTACTCAGCCTGCCCAAATGTGACAGCTTCATGCACAAGGCAGGCAACCGACCAGCCATCGCATGGAAAACAGTCAGAGGAGCCCACAGGTTCTCACATGCACCACTAGACGACTTCCCCTACAAACAGACATGGAAACCTTCCACCACCACCCGCTGTTACTTCACTCCCAGTCTTCTCAGATTCCACAGCAGCGATCAACAAATTCCTCGAGGCTATGCTCCATAAAATGCTCAAATTGAAATCCTCCTCATCCCAGCGATTCTCAAACTTCATCGAGATGTCCGAAATTCTCCTGCAAAATCGAGAACCCTAAGGCTCTCAGCATCTCAAAGCTCTTCCTTAATTTGGCTCATCTCTTCTTCATTCTTCATTCATCTCGAGCTTGATCCAATGTCCCGTGGTCTTCATTTCGACCATTTTCTGTTGTCATCTGACTTAAAGTCTACTACGTCGTGCCTCCTACGACGTAATAGAAGCCGAATCTATTGTCAACTGTTCAAGTTAATAAATACAGTACCTTATCTGTTAGCTACACAGTATATCTATATTTACCTCTAGATTTTTATAAAATTTGTGGCGTGTTTCATTTGAGCCTGATATAATACTCAATGAGTCTTTGGAATAGTTTGTATTACAACCTGTGGTCAACTACTCCTAGTTTCGGTTGGGTTTCTTCTTTAAAATGTATCACGGGAATTTTATTAGTTTTTCTATCTATTTGGCCCCACTGTTTTATTTTATTGAAAAAAGCATTTTCTTATTGACAGTATTGCATCTTCGAAGCAAAATTTATTAGGCTCAATTTCACAATTTCTTTTAAAACTTGATTATCAGCACATGAAATATTTTTCATATAAAAAATATATTTATGTCTTTGTAATTCCATGTGACAGATGAAGAAATCAGGCTCATCATCCCAGAATTGTTATCCTGAATCCCAACGAAAAGAATGCTACCGAGATTCACAGAGTTGCTCCATAATTGGTAGGCTGAGTTTTACAGATAACGACTATCTTCTTGAAGGTGTAAGAGCATTATGAAGGGGAAATCACATGGCTCTTTGATACCCTTAACCAAACACAATATATAATATATTTCACCTCATGATGGATCTAGCCTTGATTGATGGAGCCTCGGCATCCTTCATGCATCTAGGTGGGACTTGTACAGGGCCCTTCTCTCTTTTGGTCAGCAGGCAAACACAGTAAGGAAGGGAGTTCTCCAGAGAGACCTCACAATTTCCTGCACGAATTGAAGTTTGTACCCCTTTCTTGGTGGCAGATAGATAGATGCACATTGCAAGACTGAGCGAAAAGAACTTTCAGCCATGAGAATCCAGCCTATGTCTAGAGAAGAAAGGAAATAGTAAAAAGTTTGTAAGAAGCTTAGGAATACTAAGTTTGCTAAAGCTTAGGAATACTTCACTAATCCTTGAACTAGCTATGGTTGATGCAGAATTCTCTCCCCCATGCTGATAACCATGAGATAGCCTGGATGCTAATACTCTCAACTTTAAAGGCCACGACCTCTTGCACATTACCTGCAATGATGAATAAACTTTGATATCCAAAAGATCCACCCATTCATCAAGGGGAGATTAAACTGCACTAAGCGCCGCCCGGGGGGCTCGAACCCCCGACCACAAGGATAAGAGCCTTGCGCTCTACCAACTGAGCTAGGGCGGCTGATAACATCTACGACAAAAGTTGTATATATATATTTTTAAAAAAATAATAACATGTATGTTTTTGCATACAAAAACTTTTTTAAAAAAAATACATACAGAATACTGAAGTTACAGCAATTTTGGAGATAAAGCAACAACCTTAATCATTCGATATGCCGATAGTATCCTCTTCAAAAAAACAAAGCACTGTATCACGACTACTCAACACAAACCTTTTACACCCCACCTCACATGTGAAATTGCTATTCACCCGGTTTCCGGACATGGAGATAGTCATAAAATTCCGAGTTCCAAATTCTCTGCTTAGAAGGCACAACGATCAGGCAGTCGTTCGAAAGTATCGGAATTGAGCTGCTGAAAATCTCGTTAGCGTCTCTATCTCTCTATGTCCTGATACGGCTTCCAATCACTCTAGAAGTAAATCTGAAGATAATTCGATGGAATCTCATTATCCTATCTCTTGTCACCGGACTTTCGCATGTACCGTTGATAGAAGATAGCTTCCATTCTTGCAGGCAGGACCAGTTTGGCAAAGTGTACAACCTTTAGGTGTAAAAATGTGCTGGACTACGTCGGTCTGAACTGTGGAAATCCCCTTTGTTCATATAACAGAAAACGGTGCGTCACAACGATCAGCTTATGAACACAATCTTCATAATCTGTATCTCTTCATAAAAACAGACATTACATTCCGTTCTTATAAAGAGATATGTTACCTCTCATTCATTGAAGAGATTGTGACCTGAGCTCATAGAATCTGTTTGACTCTGACCAACTGCTTGTATTATGGTATAAGAAGCTCAATTAATTCACAGAATGAAATACCTTTGGGAAATGCTGAACTGGGAGAACTGATTCTTCAGTACTTGTGAGTAAGCATTTGAATGATACAACTGGTTTCCAATTTTACCACGACTACTTGTCATACCTTATTCTCGCAATGTGGCAAGTATTTCAAGCATGAGTGCTTGTACACACTGCGGTTTTAGATATGGAACTGGGCATAATACTACATATACAAGGAGTTGGAATGTCCATGACAACTAGATTCCGAATATTCTCAACCACTATTGCTGCTGTTCAATTACAAGGATGGACCACGTGTTCGTGGATACTTTATGATGTCTCTGCTGTACATTATCGAGTGGTTTGAATGCTACAACCTCGGCTTCATTTTGGTTGGCGTAGACCGGAAGCATCTGGCTGGCCATTGCAAGGCATCCACTGGATGACGGAAAGGTTTCATGTGAGCAGATTATGGAAACATAGGACATGCACATATGTGAACTATGCTCGCTTTACTTCTCCGGCTATGCCACAAGGACTGAACAGTTTTGTGTGCCATGGATTTGACTTGACTTGAGAATCCAGACTCGGATCGAAGGACGAGTTCTTGTTTGAAGTGGCACAGTCTCTCTGTACAAACTCTCTGTTATGTGCAAGTGGAAGAGGCAATATAGATCAGATGTATTAACCGAAGTCTTGGCGGTTTACAGGAGTATCTCAAATGCAGATTGCCCTTTGTTCATCATGAAGAATTGAGTATCCTAAAATCATAATATGATTCTGTTCATCATTTTTGTGTTATTTGAGTTTATTTAAACTTTATTAAATCCTTTATATGCAAATGACTTGTAGATTTAATTCTCTAGAATTAGGATCCAGATATGACATATGAATGCAGTTGTTCAATTTCACAAGTCACATGCAGCGATTTCCAATAGAATACCGGAGATTATCTCTCGCTCATGCCTTCACTACATTTTGTATCGCTTAGCACTGGCATCCTACAGAGTGTTAGACAATGGCCTCACAAGTGCGGCCCCAGACATTCAACGTGGAAGTCGCCCGGGTACCCATTCGCATCATGTCTCTTCAGCTCTTCACATCCGTCATCGGTGGAGAGGATCCTGAAATCAATGTTGCTTATCATAATACGTCACATTGGGTGCAAGAACATTGCCCAGTGCCCTTTCTGGGCTATCGGAGCCAAAAGCTGTTCAAGGAGGTTTCCCTTCGAATTCACGTGATTGAGATCTCTACGTATTCCCTGTTCTCGACTCCGTACTCTTTGGGTGAAATCTTCGCTCTGTTTCTGATCGATCCGAGCTAGCTCCTGGTTCAGACTTTTACAACAGTGAGAAAATAAAATTTCTTCACGGTGAGGTCATGCTTCACTGGTGCATCGATTATGTCAGCGCTGACAGTTTTGCAAACATGGCTGACTGCGAGCACGTGGTCCGCCAGGCTTCCAGCCCAGTCACTTCAAATTCCAGTGACGTTGCTCGTCTTTGTTCTGATTTGGGCCCCAGTCCTGAAGAACTATGGATCCGTGGTCCCATATTCCAACGACAAATTCGTAGAAATGAGCCCCGAATGACCAGAGGATATGATGGACCCCACGAACGAGACAAGGCAAGAGAGGCCAAACGAGGCAAGCTGGTTGCCAAGTGAACCATTTAACCATTGTTGCAAAATTGTTTGTTCGTAAAGGGGCCAAATGGATAGGTAAACAATATTTGATCTGAATTTTCTCTTAAGCCGAATATTTTGCAGCACGCATGAGAATGAGAGCCCCAACTGTAAGGCATACTTACGTAAGCGAAGATCGAGGTCAAAATCTGGCCCACTAATGTCACTACTGATGCTCTGTTTACCCAGCTTTTGGAGATAAATATGACGCAGGTTGGGGTGCTGTAACTGCGTATCATTTTCCAGAGCAACTGAAGTTGCATCTTGTCCCTGTACTTCATAGCTTGGCTGAACCCTCTTCTTCCAAAAGTCAGTGACTGGATGGATGAATTCCTTATTAACTGATATTGTTGACACTCGCTTCAAGGCACCATAACTGTTATGGTGCCTTTTGATGTTATGGCATAACAGCAAAAGGGATCATTTATCGCCAATTGATCACATTTAAAAGAAAAGTATATTTATTTATAATCCTATAAGACATGGAAGTTTATACGTAAATTTGTAACTACTCTACGTTTCAAATTTTAATATATCTATATATATGCTGTCATCCTTCTAAGAATATCAGTTTCTAGTAAAGTCAAATTGTATGTGCCGGCTATTCGGAAGGAGAAAGATGGTTTGCACTATGGCTAAAAAACACGAGAATGATCGTTGTCCGTTGACATCGTCCTGATTCTAACATGTGGATGTTTGCTTGTTTGATGGGTAAATTTCTAGTTTGTAGATTGTATAGTATTAGTTGTTCAACTAAGAAGTTTGTAAAAGCATACACATAATTTCTCACGTTTAAGATGTGTGACTTGTCATCTATCAGGCATGAAAAGTCTCACTGTTATTAGAGCTAACATATTTTCGTGTACTAAATAAATTTAAAACTTGGATGTCAACACATTTAATTGCACAAAATGTTGATGAAGAAGTCATTTCAATATTAAAGATGATTTTCAAACAGTTTCCTTTATTCAAATCGTTAATCTAAATTAAAAATGACTTAGGTAAATTAAAAAATGGTACATTATTTTATCATTTATTGAATGCTGAAAATTTCTTGAATTTACAATAAATTGATATATCAGAAACAATATATTTTCAATCAAACATTATCAGAAATCATCAGATTATAAAATATCTATCATATATAGTTTTCTTTTTATTGATTAAGTTTAGTTTCAAATATAATACACGTCCTATTCACCCGCATCTATTCCAGCCAAAGGTATACACGTACAAAGAATACTAAAACTAGCTAGATCAATTTGTGCTGGAAAAGTATAATTAACTGAAATCCGTGTTTACCATGAGATCTTCAGTATAAAGTTGGTCAAAAAATGTCAGTTGAAGAAAGATATTGTGTTCATTGATGTATGAATTTTTCGTCTTAATGATCAAAATTATTTCTCCTAACAACAACTTGAATTGTTTTATGTACTAACATCTTATGTATGCAAAATCAAAAGATTGAAGTTATGTAATTTTTACTCAAAATTACTTAGACGTGTTGAAGATTGACGTGTGAAGTAATAACATTGCTATGATTTTTCAGAAAATTTTAGAACATATTAGCAATAATATAAAATACAAAGATAGAGAAAGAATCATATGATTGATAGCAATAATGCTTGTTGATTTTGTCCAATTTTTTTCCTATGTTTTCTAATAAATAGAATATCGATTTTTTCGTTAGTTAATTATACATTTAATACTTATGAATTAATTATTTAATTTATCAATCTACAGAATTTGAAATTATTTATATGCTTCATTATTTATTTATCATTTCGATTTTAATATACAATGATTTTGATACTATGACCACTAACAAAAAAATTAAATGATAGATCAGAATTTCATTTCTGTATGGTTTTTGAAGCAACGTGTCATCTCAATATCATTAATCTATGATAATAATAACATTATCATTAGTTTCGTTTAGATTTATTTTTTTAAAATTAGTATTCAAATACCCTATGGATGATTAACATGTGAAATTATCATATTCATCTACATATCAAGCACACAACACAATAAGCATCTATTTATTCATGTCTTGCGTCAAAACTCAATACTGTACCACTAAAATACAGAGTGACAAGGTTTTTTATTTTTTATTTTTATATCAATAATATTCCAAGCAATTTTCCAATTCCTGTTCAGTATTATTTTTTATTTTTTAGTTTAATGATATATAAATTTTCAAACTAGACATATTTTTTTAGAACTTTTGAATATATATGAGAAAAAAATATTATTTCATTTTACTCAAAAAGATTTGAATAATATAAATAAGAATTCAAATAATTTCATTAAATAATGTGATAAATTATTCTTATATTTAAAAAAAGAAACTAAAACTTGAAAGTGATTTTTTGTGTTTATTGTGAGGAAAGAATTAGATATTGTATCATCAAATTTTCAATTTTTGTAAAAATCTTACAATGCAAAAAAAAATTAGTAACAGACTCTGCTATGTATAATGAAACTAGTTTAAATATGTATTTTGATTCATATGTTTCGAAATGTTGCAAATCAACTGAATTTGAATTCAAGCTTATAAGCAATATACTGATTAACTATTTTTCTGTGTAACATTTTTTCATATCAATCGTTGGTACAATAACACATTGAGGATATTTTTAATGTTTGTGTCTGTGAAAAGACATACTGTATTTCAAATTTATCACAAAGTCATCGCTAAATTGTTATTTTTATAATTAAAATTTTGTATTCATATAAAAAAAATTAATATAAGAAATACATATCATTGTGATTTACAATTTAATCCATAAATTTAGAATTATAAAATAATATTAAATTTGCACTTTCATCTTTTTGATTTTCTGTCTTACAAATCTACATGGGACATAATGACAATCCAAATGCTATATTTAATGAAGTTTGTTTCCAGGAGCAATTTAAAGTTTATTATGACAATGAATGTAAACATTACATAATAAGCAAATCCAACTGCAGTTTGACCAAAACTTTCTCCAAAATCCAAAAAAGTGCATATAAGTATAAAAAAGTAGAAATTTTATTCACTAAGTAAATGAAAATATTTACTTGATTATGAAATTCATATCTCATAAAGCTTTCACTAGTTTTTAAAACAGCAATCTTTGATCTATTTTAATTCGTCAAACTAATTAAAATATGTCAAGACATAAATTAACTCTTAAGTCTAGTTTATCTTGTAGATCTTTTAATATCTGTTGTCGAAAAAATGATATAGTACTATTGTAATAATTTTTATTACAAATTTTTTCCATAAAAAATTTTTATATATGAGATGCATGTAATAATTTATAAATCAATATATATTTATGGAAATTTTGGATATACATTCATCGATACTAAAAACTAAAGTAATTGATGATGTTTTCATCTTTCAACATAATTATTTCTACTGTCTTCATCAAAGTACTTTTGATTTTGTGGCATTATCATATGTATTCGAAGGCTTGTATAATATTAATCTATTGCATTTATCAACTTAGAATAAAAAATAAATTTAAAACTAAGAGTGTGTTTTAAATCTTTTGAAAAATAATCAAACTATCAAATTTAATCGCTTGATATATAATATTGACAAATCAATAAATTCTATGAATAAATTTCTTATAATATCATGAATATGTAGTTGTCTTGATTGATATCGACAGTGATAAACAATCTCAATAGAATTGACATTAAAAGTTAATGATACATCTTAACGAAGTTATGTTTAATGAATACATAAATTTTTTTATTTGGCCTCAAAGATTACATTATGTTACAAAGATACTTTTCTAGTTTTCTTATATTTCGCTATATAATTAGTTTAGAGAATCATCATAAACGTGCTTTAGTTAATCAAACGCTGTTATAAATTCCAACAATATATTTATATATCCACATCTAATAAAAAAAAGTGCATTTAAGTGTATGCTACAACTAGTTTGTACCATAAATAAGATTGTATGAAAATCTAGCTTTTCTTTAGATGATTGGAGCTGATAAGAAAAAAACATTGAGAGTGTATGCACTTACAACAACAATATTGGAATCTTTTGTAACATGAAAGAAAGTTGTGTGAATGATTTCACGTGTGAAATTAAATGAATGAACTAGTTTTAACTAAATGATAAGGATTTTAGTAACTTGAAGCTATATTTAAGAGTGTTTGAGTTGATCATTATCTCTTCAAGATGTTACATTTAATGATGTCATTCGATAACAATATCTCATCTTGTTAAAAAAGCAAGGAGAGTAGCATAAAAACCAAAGTATCAAACAAGCACTATATTCAACGGAGGTTATCACACAAACCAGAAAATCATATGCCGGGGCTCGCTTGGACTCACTATGAGTTAATTGGATCTGATCTGGATATTCTAGACCCAGAGACTATCAAACTATTTGGTTTTAATTCCTTAATAATTAAAACTGTTGCTCTCTCATCATGACACCTTGTTTCATCAGCTACTAGTTTTCTATTTGCTTTTACTCCCTCGTTTCATTATCATGACACCTTGTTTGATCAGCTATTAGTTTTCTATTTGCTTTTACTCCCTCGCTTCATTAACCTAAGAGCAAGCGATCCCGTGATTTGTCGTTAGGTCGGTGGAGAAAAAAGAATCAGCTCTTTTACATAGCATTCAACATTCTTACGGATCCTAAATTAAGTTAATGATAATGATAGCCTGACCTCCAAGAAATTGGGATTCCATGCTGCTCATACGCTTGACTGCGCTTGAAAGTCATTATTGCTCATTGCGAGTTCCACACAAGTTGTTTTCATTTCTTAGCACACATGCTTCCCGTTATATTTTCGGACAAGTTAGCATTTCGTGGTCAAGTCGAGAAACAGTCACGAGCTTCGTCTTGTTGAGCAATGAAAAACTTCATAGCATATAAAAATTGATAGAATGGAAATAATTCGTCAAGTTGGTGTTAATAACTCGAACAGGAGATGAGAATTACGTCTCTTTTCAGATATTGGATACTGTCTGTATTCTGTGCTAGAGAATTAGCTACTGAGCTCATCACGTGTAAATTACAGAAATATTTTACGACAGTTGACTGATACTTTTAAAGAACGTGTGAAAAGAAACAGTATAAATTTTAAAATCTGAGTGGAAAAGATGTCTCCAGAGAGACGATCTTTTCCACTCAAATTCGTCTGTTCTCAAGTTTGGTTGGTTGTGTCCAAACTTACGTGTCGCCACATCTAAGATATAATATCTGTATGATACCACTCTATCGATAGTTGTCGTCGTCCTATTACTATCGTATTACCACCACTACATGTAGCTCATTTTCATACTATACCCCTCTACTCCCCTGCTTTATTCTGTAGTTTATAAATCTTCTGCACTTGATCCTCGGATAATCTGAAGAGTGAGCCAACTGTTCATGCAGAGACAACAAATGTCCGGCCATGAATGTGAAAAGGGTCAGATATCTCTTGGTCGCCAAAACTCCTTCCCCGAATATACGAAGGACACCAACTTCGTAGAAGGAGAAACCACGGTACGTCATCTAGAGCGTCTCTAGCTATGGATGTGAAAATATTTCCACCTCGTCTTGAAGCGGTCCGGGGGTCCTATTAACGAACCGTGAAAGTGCACAACTTATCTGGTATAAGTACAAGATACAACATCCCTCAGATGAAAGCTAACTGCACGATGCGGAAGGTATACGTAATGTTATAAATTGAATGATAGGCATAGATCGGAGGCGCATGGAATAAAATAGTGTACTATTAAACTAAATCGATAAAGGGACAAAGAAAAGGCCCTCACATGTCCAGATAAAACCTCAACCGCCTGCCAAAAAAAGCGAAGAACAAGTTTTTTTTAATAACAAATCACTTTATCTCCAACCGAAAAACTATCTCCAACATTCGTCGCATCGGTTTAATCACGTCAAAGCCGAGCAAATTATAACAAAACGACATACTTCTAATAAATAGATCATACTAGTCCCTAGCTACTCGTAGTATAATCCTTGTACGGCTTAATAGGATCGTCCCATCCTTTTTTGCAATTCTCTGCCCCCCTCCACCGCCTATTTAGCCGTACGAGGATATATGACATCTAGATGACATAATCTATCTAAAATAAGTCGGGAAAAAAAAACAACTGCGACCGCTACATCGAGGCTCTATGCATGTACGTGGTAGACGGTCAACGTGGTGGATGACGGAACTGCGGTGATACTGTACTGTACCGTGTACTGTCGAGGACAGTAGGTCCTGTAGGAAGACGAGAGCAGGGGCTGTGATCCATGCGCTGGCCAGCGCTTTCGATCGTTCCCTTCGTTTGCTTCGTTGCTTGAGAGCGCTCTCTCGCTCCCTCTTCCTTTCCTTTCGTTCGTTCGGTCGTTCTTTCGAGGCTGGGCTCGACGCTGTCGATCGAGTGTGTGCAAGAGAGAGAGAGAGAGGTAGCGAGAGAGGGAGGGAGCGAGAAAAGGTGTCGTCGATTGGTGAGCGGAAGCGCGAGCTTTTAGATATTGGGGAAAAAAAAGCGGCGAATAGTGGAGGCCTCGCATTCATCCAATCCTCGCCCACCGCGCGAGAAGCTGCAGCAGCTGCCGGGGAGCCCGAATTTTTGCTCTGGGGAAGAAGAGATTAGATCTAGCTTTGATCGTCGATTTTGAAGCCGAGGGCGACGAGGTGCAAGGAGCGGGCGGTGTCCCTGCGTGGCCCGCATCTGCGAGCGAGGAAGATAGGGTGCAGTCGGGAGAGGTAGAAAGAGGGAGCGCGGCAGCTGCGGTTTGCGCAAGAGCAAGTGGTGTGGGCCGTTTGGGACGTACGCGTGTGCATGAGGAGAGGAGGTTCCGAGGATGGACTTGGACCAGTGGATCGAGAATGTTAAGGGTGGCCATCACTTGTCTGAGGATGAGCTCAAGATGCTTTGTGAATATGTGGGTTTCGATTTTCTCTCGCCTCCCGCGTCTTCTTGTTCCAATGTCGTTCCATTCTCGGGCATCGTTATTTGATTTTTTGGCTGCAACCCTAGACAGTTCGGTGATGAGTCTCTCTTGTGATTTTGCCTCGGTTGTCATCTTAGGTGAAAGAGATTCTAGTAGAAGAGTCCAACGTACAACCTGTGAACAGTCCCGTGACTGTTTGCGGAGATATTCATGGGCAATTTCACGACTTGATGAAGCTTTTCCAAACTGGCGGCCATGTACCCAACACGAATTACATTTTTATGGTATGCGTCTGTTGTTTCATCGCTTTCGATGCAAACCCTACTTTTGAAGTGTAGAAGTTGTTTCTTTGTAGCCACTTTTCGTGTTTTGATTTCGCTGTTGCGAGTGTGTGTAGCTGATATATTATATCCGTTTCCGTCAGTTGCCGTTTATGCACTTACTCGATTGCCATTTTGCACTTCTTGCGAATTTGGCTTGTGAGGCTGAATTCACACTGTATGTACCGTAGTTTAGGCTTTCGTGCAGCTAGAAAGTTGCTGGGGATTCCTTCTGGCTTGCGACCTGTGCTTCAGACTAACTTGAGACTGGGAATTTTATCAGGGGGATTTTGTGGATCGTGGATACAATAGTCTTGAAGTTTTCACAATATTACTGCTGCTGAAAGCGAGGTGAATCCTTTTTCTCTTTCTTGTTATCTGGTCGAATTTGTTCAGTTTGGCTTCCCTGCAGTGTGAACGCGTCTGCTTTGTACTCTGTCTCACTAGAGAGCGTAGGTTACTTATTAGAAGAATTTGCGCATTCAGGTCTCTTTTCTCGCTGTACTGAAGCCTGGGTCGCATCATCTTAATAAGCTGGGCATCAAATTGACGGTTGATTTCAGATACCCAGCCCACATGACCTTGCTGAGAGGAAACCACGAAAGCAGGCAAATTACTCAGGTTCGAAACATGCTTTTCATCCTGCCAACTTTCGTCGAAATTGATCGGGTTGATGCGGAGATCTCGTCGCGAACAGTTGTTTTTGCACTTGTGTTTTTCTACAGGGGTACTTGTCTATAAAAAAATTATTTAGCAAGTTAGCATGTCATGGTGGGCAAAAGTGCAGGTATGAGTTGCTGTGAGTAGTAACGGAGTATGTCCATCCCGCAGGTGTACGGATTTTATGATGAATGCCAACGGAAGTACGGAAATCCAAATGCTTGGCGTTATTGCACCGACGTTTTTGATTATTTGACACTATCAGCCATTATTGATGGAAAGGTGAGAAGCATCTCTTTGTAGAGCCTGCGACACAGCTGTCAAGGGCCAGTACTGAACATGCTCTTTCATAAATGTGATTATTGCCGGGCCTTGAAGTTTGGATGCTCTTAACCCGGCTCGGCGAGTTGTACGTTGCGGTCTACATGCTTTTGGAAGAATTACGGCGTTCAAAGTAGAAAGTCTCATGGTGCGTTCTGAAAAGGTGCAACGATAATAGGTGTATGTGCAACTAGCTGGGATAAAGAAGAATGACTACATTGTTCATGGTCTTCCACATGCTGGAGTTGTTCCTGATTATTGAGAGGTTTTTCAGGTTCTTTGTGTGCACGGAGGTCTATCTCCAGATATTCGCACTGTAGACCAGGTAAGACATTAATCTTCCCGCGAACACGTCGACGTTTGTCTTGCGTTTCAAAATGAGCCTCGTTTTGGTGCTAACAACGCTCATCTTTGGTTACTACAGATTAGAGTGATAGAAAGACAGTGCGAGATCCCGCACGAAGGCCCCTTCTGTGATTTGATGTGGAGTGATCCTGAAGATATTGAGACTTGGGCAGTCAGTCCGCGCGGTGCCGGTTGGCTATTTGGAGCACGAGTTACATCTGAGGTAAGACACATACAGCCACAGCGTGCTCCCATCTGATGAGACCCATGGGAACTAATCCCTTGGTCAAGTGTAGTTTAGGATCTGAGCTTCGAAATTGCAGACTTGGGAACATTTAGATCACACAACGAGGATAAATCTCCTGCCCTTGTTCATTCCAGCGCCACCAGGGCATCATCAAGGCTTACAGTTATTGACAAGACGTCTATTCTCAAGCTGCAAAAAGGGCTGTTCAAGAAACAAGATAATTATCGCAACTCAAGTTACGAAAAGATCATGCCATTTGGTTCTACCTCATGACGGTTTCAACGCATCTTTCTGAACAATGCAAGGTATTCGACTTTCCTACCTTCAGAGGAAATTTCGAAATCCCTGCACTGTCGAGAAATTTGGCCACCTTTACCAGTCTGCCTTCTTCTTTCTTCTGTTTTACAACATTAGAATGAAATCAAAGCCTTTCACATTCTGGGTTATTCTAGTAGGCTATTGACCTTGAGAAGATGGAAGTGTCATGTCGTTTCGTCAGCCGGCTTCTTGCACTGTCACACTTTCGGTGTTTCAGTGCCGGACGAATGTGCACTACGGTGCTTATTTGGCTTCCTATATAGTGGCAAGACAAATTTCCATGATCTGTCATAAGAGGCTGAAGGTTTTGTACGGTTTCGATTCGAAGCCCGGTTTTCAAAAGTAGGCCGTTTCAGTGAAGGTGATTGATTACTGAGCAGATTAGGTCTCTGGTCTGCCACATCAATCATTAGTGGCCGTCAGCGGCTATTTTACGAAAGTACGATCTATCCTTGCATAGAAGCTCCTCCTGATAGTTGCAGCTGCTATTTTGCTTGAGGACTCATTCATGGCCGAGTCAATTGAGTTCACCATTTAAGTTCAGCCTCGTTGCACTTACTTGACCTGTTCTAAAGTTGGCATTGTTTGAACGCTTATTGTGACGATGTTTGTATCGTATTGTGAAGTTTAACCATATCAACGGTTTGGAGCTCGTCTGTCGAGCTCATCAGCTTGTTCAGGAGGGTTTAAAATACATGTTCCCCGACAAGGGCCTTGTTACTGTAAGTTTTACTTTCGCTTTCACCAATGTTTATTCCTCGTCGGCTGATGTTGTCCATGACGATCAAGTGGTGTCGGTTTTGTGTCGACTCTCGTTGAGATGTGAAATTCGTTTTGCAGGTTTGGTCTGCACCAAATTATTGCTACAGATGTGGGAACGTGGCATCAATATTAAGCTTCAATGAGAACATGGTACGTATGGTGATTGACCATTCGAGTGCACTTTCCATGCCCGCGTGTAGTGCTTTTAAGTGCAGGTCAAAATGCAGTCTACTCGGTTTTGTTCCATCTTCCTCTATTGACTCTTAAAGGTTTGTCTTGCTGTTGTCTTGCTGCAGGAGAGAGAAGTGAAATTTTTCACCGAAACAGAAGAGAATAATGCCATGATGGCCCCTAGAGCTGGAGTTCCGTACTTTCTCTAGAATTGTTACTCTAGAAGTTTGCTTCGAATGCAAACTGAACACGTGTTGATTAGCAGCAGTGTAGTGGTGAAATTAGAAAGGTGTAATCTTTGTCTTGTAACAGGTAACTCAAAATCCCATAGTTCTCAGTTGATCTGATCTTTTCTCATAATATTCTGTTTAAAGGAAATTTTAGGTTGGTAATAGAAGAATTGGTTTGTCTCGCGTCGTTGTATGTCCATTGCCTTCGCCACTGTTACCAGAGTTGGCTCTCATCTTTTGAGTTCAACTACACGTAGATCGTGTGTTTCTGTGGTGCAGGTGATGTCTGAATGAAAAGAAATTTATCGCTCAGTTTCATCTGAAGTCCGTCGGTTTTTTTGGTTTTGTACAAATGGCAAAGGTCTTCTGATCTCTCTCGTTTATTTTTCGAGTCGGTGCTGTTTGTTAATCAACAGTTTCGTCTGGCACAGCCGTATGAATATGCGAAATCAGCCCGTTGCAAGGGTCTGTTCGTCATATCAATGTGAAGCCATAATTGAAACTTTGTAGTGATGTTCCGAAGATCGGAAGGCATGGAAAGCGGTGGATATTAGTGGCTACCTGGGACCAGTTCACGTCCATGGGTTACTGTCACTTCTGCGAGTCCTAGTAACATGTGCCACGTATCGTTATTGCGTGTGTAGGGTGATAAAAGTAGTATTTCAGACAATGTAATACAGCTCTCTTGTTTAGTTATATTCTGTCGTTCGTAGAATAATAGTAGATTGAAGCATCAAGGGCCCGTCCTTAAGGAGTTACTTTCAGCAACAAAAAATGCAATTTACTGCGATTAAGTTCCAACATGCTGGATTGTTTTATATTGATTTTTTTCTTTTTGATAGTTGTAATGTGATGCGTGTATCGGAGGTTCCTCCGAGTTTGATGAGTAGAGGCTGTCATACACAGGGGACCGTAGTAACGGCTGAAGAAAATGAATTTTCAAAACATCTTGCATTTTGTAGGAGAACCAGCATCGAAATATGAGCCAAGCACGGGAAATTTGACCCCGCACTTAGCACTTTCCTGGACCATTGTTATAGTCAATTGTCACAAGGTGGTTTGACGCCACGTACAAAACGTCGCACGCATGGTTCCGTGTGACGAAAGACGACACACTGCGAATCCATTTTCCTTCATGAGATCATTTTAACTTCGTCCGGAGTTCATCTGAAGCGGTCACTACCTCTGCTAATAAAAGCAAAATGAATAAAACCTAGATGTTTCAGCAGGTCGTCAGGTACTCGCCTAGCACGCTCAGTTCCCAGTTTTTCTCAGGCAGACCGAAAGAGTAGGACACGATATGGCCATGGTGCGGCAGTAGTGATTAGATTTCTGCCTTCTTTTTACTCTGCAACAGCGTTCGTTTCGATAATGTTTGGCCTTTACACTTTGCAAGAGCGTTTCTATCTCAACCCTAAGTAATCATTACGACATATTGGATGGAGTGTCGCGAAGACTGCCCTCTGGGACAACCCTGCATACAACACTCTCCATCGATAATACAGCATACCGAGACCACTTGACTTACACAACATCCGCATCCTGTAGTGTCGTCTACGAAGTGTACAGTGTCTTCGTCTCAGATCCATGAAGGGACTGTCAAAAGTCATGTTCTGGATCTGGTAAGTTATTGTCAAGTGAGGAGCTACGGATGGAAGAAACGGATGTCTCCAGCGAGGACTCCTCTGACGATTATGTACCGGTGCTTGCTTGCTATGAGATGCTTCGACTGCAATGCTCGTGCTCCTCCCATTGTCGCTCTATAGTAGAGCTGGAAACCCACAATGTAACAATAACTTGAACAGATGACTCAATTTATCGTTGCACCTTTACAGAGAGCTCAGTCGAGGCTCGTCACATTTCTTCAGTCATGTACGCAACAACACATGCCTTTCTCAGCAAGTCGTCGAAAAGCGCCTGTTCTGCCTTTTTGGCCTGAACTCGCTCTGCGAGAATGCGACATGCTCTGGCTCGTCTTTCGGTTGCAAACATTTGAAGCGACCACACCACAAAAGGCACAAAAGCCGACTACCATATCCGCCCTGAACGATGCCTTTTTGCTCTGGAATCAGATCGACAAAAGGCCAGCATCAGAATGAGAAACAAGATAAGAGCGAGCACTGATGCATGACCGACCGCCATTGGGCAGACGAGAGGTGGGCCGCTCAGAATGCGAAGCGGTCGGACAAGGCCTCTCAGTACTCGACACCAGAACTCGAGTACAGTAAGGTGATCCAACAGCGCCAGAGCACTCGACAGGCAATCAATCTCATACACACTGACAGTACAAAGGTCCTCTTTTCTCCATGTTATTGCATTTTATTAGTTTAATAATCACAATAGTAATAATGATAACGAGGTATGTACAAATAGTTCGGTCACAAAAAGCGCATCTCGGGACTGAAGGGCGCTGCAGGAGTGGAAATGGAGGCCTGTTGAGACGAGAGGGAGGAGACCTTCCCTCTCATCGATTGGAAGCTGAAGCGGGGCCAACGGAAGGAGAAGAGCTGCAGAGATGGCTGCATGGATGGATTCCGGGAGGGAGGTGATGAAGAGGCGGGCAACGAATCGATCCAACTGTCAAATGTTCGTTCAGTGATCCCTGTGACCCTGTGGTGACCCTGTCACGATGCTTGGCGGCTGGCTTGCTTGCTCGATCGACGACAGGCAGTCGGTCGGTCAGACAGACAGACAGACAGACGAGAAAGAGATTCCTGATTTCGGCCAGCCCGTGACATCGTGGTCCAAATGTTCGCTTGTTCTCGTGTCCGTGATTCAGTGAGAGAGGAAGAGTGTGGTATGAAAATGAAATTCACAGTCCCCTCTCCACCTCCTCCTCCTTCATCGTCCCTCCTACCTCCTCCCTCCTCCTGCACAATTGTACAATTGTAGCTCGAAGCAAATCCCAAGGGAAGAAAAAAGAGAGTGAGAGTGAGAGGAAGGGGAGGAGGAGGAGGAGGAAGGATCAGAAGGGATGGAATTGGATGAGATTGCGATGTTTTTGATGGTTTTTTGATGGTTTCAGTGGCCGGAGGTCCATTGCTCCTGCTGCTGGAGGGAGCCGACGAGAGTGACGAGCCACATGATCTGCATCCCGAGCACGAAGACCCACCAGGCCACGAGGCCTTTGAGCAGGCCCTGCACGAGCCAAGCGGGGGCAGCGATGGCAGCGCTGGGCCCGAGCTCGAGCCCTCTGGTGAGCTGCAGGAGCCTGTAAGCTTGGTAGACGATGGGGAGCACGGGCCAGACGGGAGAGTGCCAGTGCGAGACCATGGCCTCTGCCACCCATTGCACCAGCAGCATCAGCGTGTAAGGCCCCAGCAGCGCTGCTGCAGGCAGCCACTCCAGCCCCGGGCTCAGCTTCCCTTCCATAGCCATGGCCACGACCGCCCCCGGCACCAGCAGCCCCGTCAGGTTGACCATGAAGCTCCACACCTTGTAGCCCAAAGGAATGCTGCTCCTCTGCTGCTGCTGCTGATTCGAGCTCTCTGCTGGAGCTTTCCCTCGTGCAGATGCGTCCGCCATGAGAAGAAACGCTGTGGCTCCCATGTGAAATGTGCTGTCCAGCCCTGCCAAGGCCAGAAGGCCTGCAGTGATGGAGCCTGAGAAGAGAGTGTGCGATGGCAGCCACAGTGCCGGGAAGGCCCCTGTGATCAGCAGCGCCAGAGGCCCCAGAATCCATTGGATTCCTCCTCCTCCTCCTCGAGCTACTCGTCTCAGTCTCTGGGGTTGCAATTGCTGCTGCTGCAGTGGTGGTGGTGGTGGCTGCGGCAGCTGGAGTGGCGATGCTGATGATGACAGTGACGGGGAGGCTAATGGGGATGGGAGAATCGCTTCTGCAGATTTAGTGCCATTCAGGTCTTTCTCGTCTTCTTCGACGACTTCCGAAGCGTCGATCCTTAGTGCGTGAATGAGTCTTCTCCCACCATTCTTCCCACGAGCTGACCCGAGCCTTCGTCTCGTTGAATCAAATCCATGCTCGGCTCTGAGCGAGTGCGAGCATCTCACACTCAATTCTCCTCCTCCTCCTCTTACGGTCTCTTTCCTCTCGAGCTGCACCGGCCAGCACCTGCTGCTCACCACCGATCGCCGGGTCACCACAGAAGTAGTCGCCCATCTCCGAGCCAGAGGCGAGCAGCTCTGCTGCTGGAGAAGCAAATTCAGGGCCATGATTTCCTCGTCGTCTCCGACCCAATTTCTCTCGTCCTCTAGAGATTCACTTTCTGTAGACACATGCTTCTTCTCTCCTCCGCCTGCAGCAGCAGCACCCTCAGAAATGGCAGCAGCAGAAATGGCCCCCAACCGTGGCACCGAGCAGAGACTCCGTTGCAGGACCTCGGGCTCGCTGTCTAACGAACACTCTGTCAACGAGAAGCAGGATCAGCATCAGCATCAGCAGAATCTGTCGACGAGAGTAACAGCAAATGACTTCGCCGGATGGAGAAACTTTTTCCTTCTTTCTATTACAACCACTACTCGTCCCTACTACCCACAGGAGAAGGAAGGGAGGGAGGGAGGGAGGGAGAGAGAGTCGTCCTCTTCCTTCTGCCTCTCCCTCCCCTTCTCGCTGTCTCTCTGTATCTACCCCATGGGAGGAGGAAGAGGAGGAAGCCTCAGCAGCAGCTGCTGGGCACCACCGCCATCGCCACAACCCCAGCAGAGGCTAGAGGTCAAAGAAGAAGAGGACCAAGTAGATGAAGGCCACAATGAACAGCCGATCGAATAATAGCAACTCTGCATCTTTGATGAACATAATGAGCGCTCGAAGGTCTCGATGGAAGGGGACGAAACGAAACAAATTAACGAATGAATGGACGGGAGTACTCGAGCGTTCTCGTCCACGTCCAAGGCCGAGAGCCCGAAGGATGAGAGAGAGAGAACCGATCGATGGATCGAATTCAACTCTGCCTCATGAGAAGCAACATTTGGTCCCCGGGGAGGGGGCTTCATATCTGTCCGGCGAACGGACGTCCTCGAGACCGAGTCGTTCACACCTCAAATTCAGGCACTTCCCTCGTGTCCGGGGGGAGGTGTTGCCCGAATCATGCATCTATTGGAAGACGACTGGATTGGTTCCATAAACCCCACCCGCCCACACCTAAACCCACCAGAGTGAGCTGACCCACAGGCGGTCAGCAGCAGCAGCAGCAGCTCGTAGCTGCGAATGGCGCACTGCCATTCGACTCTCCCCAAGAATTCAGGAATAGGCAGCAAGCAGCCAAAAATGTGTTGAGATTCCCATCGACCCTTTCATCAGCTGCTGCTGCTGCAAGCTCCATGTGAAGAATCTTTGTGACAATCAATCAATCAATGACTGATTGCACAAGATCCACATCCATCAGACTCTGCTCTTTGCCATCCAATCCGATTCCATCCCCTACTGTATCGGAATTTGGAACGGAGCTTCCAGAGTGAGGGAGATGTCCAAACAAGCAATTGTCGCTAGAATCTGCAGCTGTGAACAGCAGGAGAGAAACAGTTCTCGTCCATGCATCTCTCTCTCCATGGCAGCACCCATGAGCTGCTGCTCATGACTTCCATGGCGGTGGCACTACTGGCCCACTGTCCGGGCAAGGCAAGGAAGCTGGGCGACACAGACCATAATCTCAAACCCCATCGACAACAACAACAAAAACAACAACAGCAATTCCATACTTTCCTCGCCAGAACCCTCTCCCTGAGCCTGCTATGTCGCGCACAGCTGCCACTTGCCCCACTCAGCTCTGCCCTCCCCTGCTCTCATGTCCAGGCCACTACAGGCCTGGAGTGCTCGAGTACTCAAGTGCTTGAGTGCCCCTCTCAACCAGGTCCCGACTGTCTGACGCATCCAGCAGCCCGGATTGAACTGGACTGCACTGCACTGGACAAGAGACTGCCCCAATGTATATCGACTCGGTCCGATTTGCGCTCGATCGTTGCAGGCACGAGCAGGAGAAGGAGCTGACTTACGTGCAGAAAGCGCGTGAATCAGTGACGAAGCTGCCGACCTGGGAGAATTGCAGCAATTCGACACGGAGAATTTGGCGATGGAGGGTCAAGCGCGAGCAGGAGGGAGGTCATGACCCACCGGGAGGAGAATCGGGCTCGGTGGCGTGACGGATGGATGTCGAGGGCCTGCAGGTCGAGCTCGAGCTCGAGGGTGAGAGCTGCGAGAGCCTCGTTCAATGGCCCAGCGCTTGGGGCTTGCTTGGCATCAAGGCTCGGCTCGGCTCGGCTCGGCTCGAGCACGTAACCAATTTTCGAAAGGCTAACGAAATCGGTTGAGCTCAGAGCCTTGACGCGGTCGAGGTCGCGGATGCGCGCATGATCGAGGCACGGAGGGATGGCGCTCGAGCCAGAGCAGAGCAGAGCAGATCGGAATCTTGGGATCTAGCGTCCCAAGAAAAGATCTCTCCAGCAGACGAAGAGTCCTCCGACACGTCTCGTCGAAATTCTTTTCGATGGCGCCTCCGGAAAGGTGCTCATGATTGTCGTCTTCCGAAGCTGTCACCAAACACTCAAAATCATTGGCCCTCTGCCTTCTCCCTCTCCCTCCCCACTGGAGCTCGCTCTGCACATTCTTGCTCGCTCGCTCGCTTCAAACAGGACTCATCTGACTCCTGAAATCCTTCATCTGCTTGGCGAAAGGATTGAAAGGATTGTGGACTCGAGATGGATGCTGCAACTCCAGCCATTCCTCCATCGATGAATGAATGAAAGCAAGACTGAAAGTAAGAATTAATTGCATCATGCTGCGACCCAGCGCACAGTCCTCTTCAGCTGCTTCCTCTGGGGTTTCAGATACACATCTCCTAGAGTTCACGTCGATTTTATGCAGAACCGAGGCTATCGAGCGAAGTAGCTTGTGTTCATTGAGCCAATATGGAAGCCGAGAAATTTCAGAATGCGAGGAAGGGGGGAGCAGAGTCTCAAGGCAAACCGAAGTCATCATGTTTTCTAGCTTTACTTTGCTGTTCTCGAGCTGGATTTGATGATTGAAGGAGGTCAGCAACGAAACTGCTATCAGTATTTTTTGCAGTTTGGTGATTATTCAGATGGTTTGGGGCATGGGATTAGTGAGAGCTGCGTGTGCAGTCAGTCAGTCTGAAGTCTTGACCAGTCCCCCTCGGCTACATTGGCCAGGAGTGTCGTCCTCTTCGCCCAGAGTGTGGTCCGGCTGCTGCCATAGAGCTTTTCACTGCCTGACTTTACGAGAGAGAGAGAATTGTGGGATTCAATCCGTGGCGGGACTTCCGAGCACGACCCTCGTGGGGATCTGCTTCCATAATTTCAGAGTTCTAGAGAATCAAAACACATTTCCTCCTACTCCTAGCCCTCAGTTTGGCGAACCAATGTTCTCTGTGTGTGTGTGAAACGGTCGGGGAAATCGTGAAGGTAGAGGAACCAGTGGAGTCGACCACACACGATTCGGTGGAGTGGACAGCATTCATCATCCGGCGGGTGGCAGGAGCATCAACTTCGCTAGCAGCTGAGCTGTGCTACCACACACCTCGATTCACGAAATTAGGGAGAGATGTGCTAGTTCGTTTAATCGTCAAATACTCTGAGCATGGAGAAGGGGTGCCTCGGTAAAAAGTTCTACTTGCCTCAGAAAGCGATCGATCGATTTCTGTCGAGCGCGACTCAAGAGTGAAATTGTGGCTGCTGATGCTGCTGCAGCATCTCCGAGCTTATAACAAAACCCATACTACTCTGTAACCTCTGGCTCATGAGTCAGTCGCCCATTGAAGCCTTGCAATGGCCTGTCCAGGTATTCAATCAACAAGCATTTGGTGAACGACTTTGGTTCGAGAACTTATATCCCAAGCAGGTGCCACAGGTCGCCCAGAGAAAGAAATAGCACATGCGAGCTCCATAGCACTGGTCTCGCTGGACAGGATTGGATTAGATGGGTTGATAAACCGGAGAAGCATGCAACTCTCGTGTCAGTGAACCTCAATAATTATGTGGTCAATGCAAGTTGATAATTTTCTTGATGTTGGTTGCTGCTTGAGGAACGAAGTCTACACGGTGCAACTCCCCATGACATTGTGGAACACCATTATATTCGTCGTGCTGATCACAATGCCCTATCAATCTCTACAAGAAGGAAACTTAAATTGAAACCAGCTGTTGGGTTTCGTTATTCTCACATGTGATATATCCATCACAACAAATAAAACATCTAAGCTATGTTAATAAAGCTCATTGTAAAAAATAGTAGCATATAATATCACATCTCATAATTCTTTGATTCATATATAACATGTAGCACTTGGTAATGACATGTATAACATGGTAACTATAATTAAAATACATTATAATTAACATTCATTATTAAAATTAACATTCATACAATATAAGTGTTAAAGCTCACACATTCGTTTACACAAACAAGATGAACTTCAACTTCATACTCTCATGTTAAAAAAGAGCTTAAACGGAGGGTCAAAAATCTTTGCATCTCCATATACATAAAAGTTTGGTCGTTGTTGTTGTTCCTCTTCCTATCCATGAAGATGACCTAATCTAGAATTCTATTGCTTGTATTCTATACTCAAAAATATTACTCCACCTAGAGCATTGGCTAACATTTTTGATGCTGCATTGAATACTCTTGTGTGATAATACAAGTGATAGAAGTTTGATAATGATAATAGATGTTGCAATACATTAATTTCATTACAATGCTAGCCAAAGCTAGCATTGTAATGAATGTAATCTCACGCTAGCCAAAGCTAGCGTGAGATTAACCATTAACCCCTAATGGTTTCTTACCATAGTTTGTTTTAACCATCTGGTCCCTCATAAAGAGTTTAGCTCTACACGATACAAGATTGGAATGTGTTTTGTCACTTGTGTGTATTGGATGACTTACTCATTCATTTTACAATTGGTTATTACCAGAACTTTGTATAGTAGACATTCTAAAAATATATGCATAATATTTCTAATTTCAAATCTATTCAATACCTAACCTCAAAATTGTTTCTAGAGTAATTTCATAAACAAAAATTTCTAAATGGATGGAATAGCAAAAAGATCAAATGCGGTGCCGACACCCATGACACCTTTCAATTCGTCGCATCAACAAGAATATGATCTTCAGGTTTCAAAACTAGATGTTGCCACAAGTTGGATCATTGCAGTTGCATGCAGATTGTGTACAACATTTGTAAGGGAGAGCAGAATTTGTGCAAAACGTCAAAAAGCGACTTTAAAGAAGACGTTAATCCAACGTTTCGTCCCAAGAACTACCACATTCATCTCAAGAACGAGCATCCAATTCGTTGGGAAAAGTATCATTCACTATCTAAAGAGAGTAAATTGATTTACTTGGACATTGAGATATACTTCGTGAACTTGTTTGTCAAAGTTTGCAATTTTGTGCAAATTATTTGATGTACTTTCTTGCAGCTGGAAAATTTAATTTGTTCACTTATTTCCCAAGACATATGCGACTAGATGGCAAACCATGTTCGATGTCAGAAGCTAGCTCGATGATAATTATCATCAAATCAATGAGTATTATTTTGAAATTCCAGTGAGCTCTTCTCGGCGTGCATCTTAACCTGAAAGTAATATCTGATGGATTCTAAATGCTATTACAAGGAGCATAAAAAATGCTATATATACAACAATGATGCAACTTCAAGGTCATCGATTGACGCTTAACCAACAACAAACACATGTTCAATTATTAATTGATGAGTTACTGCTCAAGATTATTGCAATTTGCACTTCTAACTTTGAAAATGTGAACGAATACACTTATCTTATCTGCAACAATTGGTCTACTTACTGGACTCATTGAAGATTTTGGACATTGTGCTTTGATTACAATCAACAATCTTAATGAACAAGTTTCACAAGTATTTCTTCGGAACATTGTGTTTTTCATATTTGACATTGAATATGAATTTATGGACTGTGTAGCATTGCAAGATGAATCCGGATTAAACAACTATTTGGATTGTCCATCCGTGTATACTTTTGAATTAATGAAACTTAAAGCGTGTTATCAACTGTCTTATCATCCAACAAGATTCTCGTCTTGATTGTAGTTGGTCTACCTCTGCAATTGAAAAAATTGGGTCCCAATTTGCAGAGCTTTGTACCATGTACAAAAATGTTTCGGCTTGTAAGGAAGCCATAGATTCATATGATCACTAGTGCTCGTTTGACTATGCATGGTCATTGCCATGTTTAGCATGCCATTTCAATTTTTTAGTTGATTTTGTCAAGGTATTGGGTTCTTTGTTTTCAAATACAACGCCTGTCCTGACTTCTCAATGTTGAAATAAAGGAAGTACGTTTTGAACATATCACTGTTTGATTTTTCTCTAGAAGGATTTTTCCAATGTAAACAACATAATTTTTTGCGCAACTTGAAACAATAAAACATGTAGACTATGTTTCTTGCATATGACTCTCTTTCGTCAAGAAAATACAACTTACTCAATTCCAATCATTCGATTGCAAACATCTTTTAGTGTCAATGACATTCTTTTTGAGAAGATTCTTGCTTCAGATACATGCAATAATCATTTTCATGGTCGTTCGTAATCTCGTCAACTTGATGTCTGTTATGTTAACTCATAGAGAGCGAGAAAGAGATAGCCATTAAGATAATGAGAACTATACACAAGCAAGATACATATCAAAAGAGTTCATGGACTGGATCAAGCTGAGGCCCCGAACTTATGATTCAGGCAAATTGGAAATAGATACACTTGCGACTGATGCTATCAGTACAGTGGTTGAGAAACATTTAATCATACATGAAATTTCTTACGTGGAATTATTTTTGTGAGAAATTATAGTTAAAATTAATAAAATGAGTTGCACATACAATACTTTTTCTATAATATCTTGATGAAATTAAGACACTTCTATGTAAAATTGAATGGAAATCGATAGAGTATGTTTTATGCAAACAATGATGCATAATTGTGACTAATTTCATTAAGGATTTGTGACTAATTTATGCAAACAATGATACATATTTGTGATTAATTTCATGAAGGACTTGTGACTTATTTATTTTGATTAGACACAAACATGCACATGGCTAATCAATAGAAGCCTGGTTATTAGTTGTCATTTTTTACTTTGTGAGCTCTGGGTTTACATTAGACAAGGTTGGGATTATTTCAGACACATGTGCCAACACCATCGATTAAATTTGTTTTATTTTGCGCCAAAATTAGAAGATTCTCTATACTCTGTCATTCATCACTTTCTGCCTCCAACATTAAGTGCATTACGTGTAAGATTCGTAAGCAGTGAGGATTGCATGAGACAAAACTTCATCCCGTGCCTTCGAAATGGCAAGAGATGAACAAATGGGAATCTCATACGTCTCATCAAATCCAAACAAACCAGAAGATGACAACGAGTTTAGATGGGTGAATTCAAGGGGGCTTAGTGTGGGACTAGACCGCAGTATGATCACACGGCTAAGCGTTGCTTAGTGAGTAATTTTGTAACTGCTATGACACACGTGTACACAATCATTTATTTCTGATATGATACGGTGCAATTACAAGTTTTCTCCTTCCTTGCATTAGAGTTTTCTTCCACCAGTTGTCATTGAAGTAAAGATGATTTTGCGAGGTATTTTGAAGAAGCTGAATTGTTTCTTCAGCTTCTTCTCTCATAATCATCTATTCAAATATTTGGCGGATAAAACTCAAAGATGTGATTGGGGACATAGTGAATACATCTAGGGAAATTAGCTTTCTCTGCACTTATGTCTGTTGTAACAAGCATTCACAAACCCCAACTCATGCAGTGAGTCCTGGATAATTGGCCCGTAGGGGATTTACAGTCCTACAATTCTAGAAAGAACAAAAAGATGTGTGAAAGGTAACACCAGCAAACCAGTCGTCGGCTTTGTTGCAGACAGTCTGGCCTCCAGCCAATCCAAAATTGAAACATGACCATGGAAATTGAAACACCTTAAAAGCCACGACTTGCAACTCATTTAATTACTTTTGGAACGTACATGACGAACCGAAGCACCTGAGATCTGCCTCAAAAGGACACTTCTAGGCGCAAAAAATATGCAAGATCGAGCAGAGATATCGGATGAATCCATCACAACTCACAACTAATCCTCTATGATACAAACTTTGGCACCAGAACCCTGCAGATCGGAAAGTCGAAGGGGACAGACAGATGCACAGCCCTCACCGTCTCAGGGTACAGAATTGTTGCCCGGGTGAAGGAGCACATGTGCTCTCGTCAAGGGAGTAACCAAAGTCGCTCGATATGGAGCGACAACACGCCGAACTTGTTGAGTCACGTTCTGGCGTTCAATAAAAGGTAGAACTTGCTATTTACATTTCTCATAGCGAGACCCATATCGGACTGAAAAAAAAAATGATCAGTCCCAAGTAATCTTGAATTCCTCACTAAGGCACGTCAAAGTTACTGATCCCGTCGATGCGCTTGTATCTTCAGGGGGTCACTGTCTGTAATGGTGGAAGGTGATGCTTGTGAGCTTCAAGCGTTGATTACAAAGATGCGGCAGAGTTGCGGGGCTGCGCTAGACTGTTTGCAGTGCAGTGCCAGGATGAGAAGAGAACCGGAATAAATCTTCAGATGTTCAAAACCACAAACAGCCGCATCTGACCACTTTCAAAATAGACAGGAGCTTCCGTTGGAATGACAGCGCAGCGTTCTCCTCCGCGTTCTCCTCCGTTCGGAAGCTGACACGAGCCGATGCTTTCAATTTCGTTGACTTCGTGAAGGTTGGAATGGAGCTGGAGCTGGAGTTGATCGGCAGAGATACCAGAGGTAGACTTACGCTAGGCCTGTTCCAACCGGCTCTTCCACTGGATCACCTGCTGGGCGAGATGCTTTGCCTGAGTCTCGATGGATTCCCTGTCGACAGATCCCAAACGTTCTCCGCATATCGCCATGAACTTATCTGGGTGCCACCTCAGAAGTGCTATTCGCAATTTCCGTTTCTGCACTTCGAAAGTGTCACCGCTTTCAATGAATAATGGATTGCCGGCGGGAGGCCATGGGATATCTGCATAACCCAGAGACGATCCTTTCCTTGATGAATTCATGACGTTCCAAGACTCTTCGTACTCTTGGTAGGTCAAAGGCCTGTGGTTATACGACGGCCAACCTGCAGAGCGACGGCACATTCATGTCAACATATGTCGGCATCAACTTTAACAAGAGAATCTTCCTCGGATCAAAACGGTTGCAAACACAGAATCACGTGAAGATGTACTTACGTTGCGGGGCTGAAGGGTAGTGAAACTGCCTCGCCTGCTCTTGAGCCTGCTTCCTGGCCTGTTCATGAGCCTGTGACGACGATTAGAAACCAAACACAGACAACTAGCTGCACCACGCGAAGCTTTCGTCGTGAGCGACTCGATGCCCGACTCTCTACTTTTCGGGCAAGATTTCAAAGAACACATTTTCATACATTCCAGTCAAGCAGCCGAGCTGTTTCCAGCGAGTGATAGGAAATGGGGGCTCAAAAGCCAGATCGATACCCTCTGCTGTTGTTTGGCTCGCTCTTCTGCCTTCGCTTGTTTCTCCGCTTCTTTCCGCACACGCTCCAGACGTCTAGCCTCGATCTTCGCTGCTCTCAACTGCTCTTGAAGCAATTTCTTCTTCAACAGGTTCGCCGCTTTCTCAGCCTGGAAGAAGGTCACGAAAGTAAGAACTTCGGCAATTCTGCGCAAATCTTCGAAGACTGAAACCCCATCGGGATTGTCATCACAAAAGATCTCGGTCTGAAGGACCCTGTGTCTAAAGAGTTGTCCACGCGATAAGCATCGGCGATGCTTGATTCGACTCGTTCAACGAGTTAATCTGGGATCCGACATCGAGCAATTGCAACTCGAGGAGCCCATAACCGCCTCCAGAAATCAGAGTCTCGAACTCCAACAACTTTAAAACAAGGAATGATACGTTGCAGACACTTACCCTCTTCCGCTCGACCTCGTGCCTCTTCAATTCCTCCTGCCTTTGCTTCTGCGAGTACGAAAGCATCAGCTGTGAGTCATATGCATCCGGACCACGAGAGAGAAAGATTGATCGAGAGAACCGAACTGAGTGACAGGACGATCTTGAGTTGCCTCGACGGATGATGCACTGAGAGGAAACGAGCAGACGGATCGGGGAGGGTTACCTCGGCTTTCGCTTGAGAATCTGCCAAATTTTCAGGCTTGACGTTCAATCGTGCTTCCTCGCGGCGTACTCTTTCCTGCTCTTGCTTGAGAGCTTGCTTCTTCTCTTCGAGTCTCGTGAAAAGATAAGACATTCCTTTGGTGTGGTCGGCCGAAGTCGGAGAGCTGTTGTCCGCATTGTCGCCGGGCTCCCTCTCGCTTCTGAACGAGCATCGCTCTTTCAACTTCATCAGAACTTCTTCGAGACTTGCGACATTGTTGGCTTTGTCGACGAGCTTTTGGATATCTTCATCCAAAGTCCTCTTATCGTCGTCCAGAAATTGGCGACAAATCTCTTCGTCCTGGAGCTCCTTCTCTTGAGCCTGTCTGCGCTTTTCCTCCTCCTTCACGTTCTCTTCCAATCGTTTCCGGGCCAGATCTCTGGTCATCTTCATCACCTCTCCAACGCGATGGCGTTGCTCCTCGAGCCTCGCGCGCTCCTCGTCGGACATGCTCCACTTGTCTTCCCTCGCCCGTCGATGATCCTCCTCGCGCTGCCACTGCCGCATTTCCTCGTCCAGTCGCCTCTGCTCTAGCCTATCTCTCTGCTCCTCCAAAACCCTGCGCCGAATCTCCTCCAGCTTCTTGCGCTCTTCCTCGAGCACGACCCGCATCTTGGAATCCTCCTGGGCTTTCGCGGCCGCGGCCTCGGCTTTCTGTCGGCGCAATTCCTCGCGCTTCCTGCGTTCTTGCAGCAGCCGCTCCTCCTCCTGCCTCTGGCGCCTCAGAGCCTCCTGCTTCTTCTTCTCCTCCTCTTGCCTGCGCCTCACCTCGAGCACTTGCTCCTGCAGCCTTCGGTCCTGCTCGCGCTTCAGCCGCTCTTCCTCTTCCTTTTGCCGTCTGCTCTCGAGGAGTCGCTGATCCTCCTCCTCCTTGCGCCGCCGCTCGTCCTCCTGCTTCCGAATCAGCTCCTGCTCCTGAACCCGTCGCTCCAGCTCTTTGCGCAGCCTCTCCTCCTCCTGCTTCTGCCGCCGAAGCTCCTGCACGATCCGCTCCTCCTCGTCCTTGCGCCTCCTCTCGTCCTCCAGCGCTCTGCGCTCCTTGTCCTCGCGCCGCTTGCGCTCCTGCTCCTCGACGAATCTGCGCAATTCCTCCTTCTGGATCTCCTTCTCCTCCTTGCGCCGCCTCTCGTCCTGCGATTTCCGCTCCTTCTCCTCGGCCTGCCGCCGCTCCTCCTCCTCCAGTCGGCGCAGCTCCTCCCTGCGCCTGCGTTCCTCCTCGTACCTCTTCCTCTGCTCCTCCTGCACTCGCCGGTGCTCCTCCTCGGCCCGCCTCCTCTGCTCGTCCAGCACGCGCCGCTTCTCGTCCTCGGCCCGCCTCCTTTCGTCCGCCAGCCTGCGCACTGTCTCCTCGCCGATCTTGCGCACCTCCTCCTCGCCCGTGAAATTCTCCTTGCCCTCGCCCTCGCCCTCGCCCTCGCGCTCGGGCGACACGGCCTCGCGCTCCCTCCTCCTGCCGCTCCAGGTCCCGGGCCTCTCCCTGCGCCTCACATCCTCCGACACTCGTCGCGATCGCTCGTCCGCCTGCGCTCTCGCCGTGCCGGGCGACGTGCTCTTCGATTCCTGGCCATCGCCGCTGCTCCGAGACAGATACGCCGGTGGCGACTGGCGCGATCCGCCGTTCTCTCTGCCGTAGTGCCTCATCTCGTCCTGAAATCGGTCCTCGAACTTGGACCCCGATTCCAACACCTCGCGGTCGAGCACGTAGGCCCGATCTTCGCCCTCGCCCGGCGACAATCCCATCTTCTTCGACTTCTGTACATGGTCTCGGTTCTTCAGGTCTCGCAGCTGCTTCAGCACTTGGTCCTGCCCCGGGCTCACGTGCAGCAACTGCCTCTTGCGGAAAATGCAGTCCAGAACCTGTGCCACCGTCCGCCCCGAGGTTAGACATTGCCATGGAATCAAAACGCACAATCATCCGGTGCACTCAAAATTGGACATTTCTCGTCAGAATTGGGAAAGAGGGTCGTCGCATCGGTGGTTACGTTAGTGACATCGACGCTGCATTTGTTCATCGTGGTGCTCAAGCCAGAGCAGAGCGTGCAGGCAGGAAGGGAGGCTCGGAATCTGCGGGGCGATGAATTAGCATTACGATTACGACGACTCGGCCGTCAAGCGTACGACGAATTCATGCGCTCTCGAGACCCGCCACACGCCTCTCGGACAGACAGACAGACTCGAGCCAATCTTGATGACTTCGAGAAAATCTTGGCAGTGCACGACATGATGCGGTTAGGGACTCTCCGATTCAGGACGGAGCGACGCTGGCATCGGAGCTAGGCCTGATGTCAGCATTCCGACATTGCTACCGACCGGCTTTAAACAAACACTTTCTTTTCAGTGCGGCGTCATCACACGGCCGGATTCAGAACGAATCAGCGCATCATCGCTCATGCAGACCGACGAGGGATGAGACGGGGGACTGGCGTTTACATGACGATGGGGTCCTTTAATATTAAGCTTCTTATGCTTGCCTTAATTTTCTGCTTCTTCGTGGCCTGGCAATCTCCATCCACCGGAATAGTTTCAAATGTACCCTGTGATCATTGAGAGCCAAATCAGAGGCGGGCGTGGGGCCGAATCACAGGGCCCTGATCTTTTTCTCTCTTTCTCTCATTCCCTCTCCTTCAGTCCGCCCCCACCCTCCCTCCCTCAATCAATCATCCGCAAATCTCTACTTCCTCTCCGGGCGCGCCGAAGGTGAAAGAAGGATGAAACGTACCGAAGATTGCAGTTCCTCGCGCTTGTGCTTCACTTTGTGGCCCTTCTCGCGGCAGACGAGACAGGGCCGGGACTCGACTGGCGCCTTCCCTGTTTTTACGTCCCTGATTAAAAGCAGAAGCCTTTCCAAATCACCTTGTGACACCGCGTTGAGCAGAACCAGCGCGCCCTTGGCCTCTATGCTGGCCTTGCCTGCGCGACCACCAGCCAAAATGCATCAGATGTCGGAAATTCTCACAGAGCCCCGGCGGGCGAGCCCGCGCGACGCGACTTTAAATTCGCATCATGACACGACATGACGTGACACGACTCTGAGACTCGGCATCGTGTCGGAGCGCAGTGCTGCGCTCGAGTAAATGCATGTCGGGGGAGGACTCGAGTGCAGCGGGCATGACATCGACGTGCGGGCATATTCGGTCGAGATTTATCACGGGAGAGAAGAAAATGACAATCTTTCGGACGGACTGAGACACGATGATGAGGTGCCCGAGCTCGGACGACCTCATCCGACAGCGAGCATTGGTGTCAGGAAGGGCTCCGGGTGCGGAGGAAAAATAATCACCTTGCTGGAGATACTTGCAACGAATGCGCGTAATGTCAGTGATTGGAACGGTGTATTGGCCGGGTTTATCAAAGACGAGCGCCAATTCAAAATCCGTGGCCGCAAAAGGCTCAGACGAGCTCGAAGAGCTGGACGACGACCGACTCTTCGACCTCTCTATCCGGAGGTGCCGAAGTGCGACGTGAGATCTCTTGGGGCCTACCTTGAATCCTTCAATCTCTATCACGGCTTCCACATTGAAGCAGGCGTTGGGCACATTCACAACGCTCTGGCTCTTTGTCTCGCCGTGCCCCGACCACAATTCGACACACAATCCGGACCTCATGCTTGACGAGTGTCTGCCCAGCCACCACTCGATCATTTTCCACGAGTCGCGCTACCATCTACTCACTTCCTCCCCTCCCCCCGTCCTTCCCTCCCTCCCTCTACTCTACCTATACATCACTTCAATTCTACCACCGGGGCAACCATCTCCACAACCCGAATCAAAAAATTCCCCACTCAAGGACCAACGCCCCACTGCAACCAATCGGCCAAGATCCACTGCAATTTACACCACGAGCTCTACGATCTTTGGCTCCACTCCACTTCACTCCAATCCACTTCGCCGAGCCGAGCCGAGCCGAGGGGCCGAGTCCCGGGCTGTGGACGTGATCACGGACTGTAGCAAATGTGCAAATATGAACAAAGCGCGTGTCGACGATCAGTCACTCACTCGACGACACTCGCGTCGACATCCGACGCACTCAAAATTTATTTTCTACCGCGATGAGATCACCAGCATCGGCCGCTCCAGACGAGGAACGAGACGAGGCGAGACAGAAGCCCCACCAGCGCTAGTCTAGTTAGCGATGGCAGCACTGGAGGAAGAAGAAGAGGAAGCGAGAGGAAAGCGAAGAAGAAGAAGACGCGGAAGCGGAATCAGCAGCAGCAGCAGCTGCAGCTGCAGGAGAAGAAAGGGGAAGCGAGTGGATGATGACGCCGCTGCTGCACGAAGAGCGACATTCCCCTCAAGACAAGCGAGACCCGCTTGGCCCCCTCCCCTCGAAGAACACGGTAACGACGATCGACGCGAGGTGCCTCCATCGGCTCCAGGCCTCGGACGAGCCTCTGCCTGCCCCTGCCCCTCCCCCTTCCCCTTCCCCCGGAAAGAAATTAGGTGCCAATTAGCGACCGACGTGAAAATCGCTCAGTTGGCAGTCCGTCAGCCGCGGAGAGCTCGAGCTTCCGTTTCGGCGACGGTCGACGGACGGAAACCGGCGGAGCGGACACGCAACTGCCATCCGGGTTCTATGAGGAAGACGGAACGACGGAATGATTACGACGACGCCCTCGCTGAGAGCCACCGAGTCCCCGAGGACGGATGGATGGACGGACGGATGGATGGATGGGAGGGTGAAGGAGGACGGGGCGTGCGCGGCTAGGCACAAGAGACAAACGGTAGGTCTGGCGCTCGCCCGCTCGCCCGCTCGCCCGAACTTCAGCGGTAGCGCCAATTTTTGAACAGCGGCCGAAAGGCACCTCACGTTCGAAAAGAGCACACTTTCGGCGCATTAACGTTTAGCGCTCCCCCTCCCCCTTGCCTCGCCCCGTCCCCTCCCGGCCCGGGCTCTCTCCCTCCCTCCCTCCCTCCCTCCCTCGTTCCTACAATAGTCGTCCCGTGAATGGCGTCTCGTCCCGGCCCTTCGCATAGGGCTCGCTTAAAAAGTTCTTGGTTCCCTCCATTTCCGTTGCGTTCCTGTCCGGGATAAGGCATCCGCGATTTCGCTTCCTTCCCGCGCGGACGGACGCAGAGCCGGATTTTGCAGCGCGAAAATCCGGCCACATCGTCGGCACATTTCCGCGCACCGATTTACGCCGGAAAGTCGCCACGCAGGACAGAGCATTCACTCCCTCGGCAGTTCGGTCACCTGCAACAACAACAAACAACCACGGGAGAACACGACTCATCTTCCGTCCGTCCGTCCGACCGTCCGACCGTCCAACCCGCTCCTCCACTCTACGACTTAAAGAACTCCGAGTCTGCGACGCTTGCTTCCCCCGTCCCGTCGCGTCGTCTACCGTCCCCGTCCTTCCCTCGTGCACTTTCCTGTACGAAGGCACGGACACACGTGCCACGCCTTTTCCGCCCGCTCGCTCATACGTTCCGAGGCCGCGCCAGACGTACGCCCGTCAGCGTTCACACTGACGGGCACCGCTACGGCTAGCTTGCCAACCACTGTCCTGGATTATTTGGATTATTTAGGCGCACCTTTAGGGCCCCGCTCGGTTTCCCCCGCTCGCCTCTGCTCTCGGACTACTTCCAGACCTCTGCCATTAATGAAATTCATCGTCCTCCCCAGCCGTCAGATCCGCCATCCAGCGGCAACGATTCCCAGGACGGCTCGCCCATTGTCGTACCTCCTATTCGATGTGGCACCCGCTGCTTTAGCCGACGTCTTGGCCCGAAATAATTCCGACGGAAAAGGTTAGTCGGTGCACCTCTAGAGCAAGACCGATTTGTCATTTTCCACATTATCTTATCTTACTATCTGACATTATTTTCAAACGCTAAAAAGGCAATTAAAGGAAGTGCCGCGCACGGGGCAACCGCATTTCGAGTTTATTTCGTTATTGATTATCGACCCCCGAAGGCGAATTCTCGAGAAGCAGGTCTGCCGAAGCACTGTATTATTATTTTGGGGGGGGAGATTGTTGGCGACAAAGCCCCTCGCAAAGTGCCTCCGTTTGTGGGGAGATGTATTTTTCTAAAACCCGCCAGATATAGCGGCAGTATTTTTGCGGGGACGCGAGTAGGGCAATATTCGGCGAGGAAATGAAACGAACAGCGGTCGCAACGATATACGGTACGAGAGATAGACAATCGGCCGATCCTGGGGTACTCGATATGGAATCTGCGGCGGAATCTTGAAGGACAAACCGTCAGATCAATCATACATCCTACCAGCAGCAGCAGTAGGAGAACGCTTCGCGTACTGTCTGGTCTCCCGAAGCGGAAGGGGGGGGCGGGGGGGGGGTTTCCAAGGTACCATGTGGCGACACGTGGTGCCATGACACGTCTGATACAAGAGGGGAGATCCAGTCACCCAAAGAGGGTCTAACTTTAGCTCGCAGCCAGTACTATCTCAGAGACTAAAGTGACTAGTCCATGCAGATCCGCTATCCTAACAGTAGCAGCAGCGCCATCTATCCTACGGTCTGGACGGCCGAACGTGTGTCCTTTTGGACAGCGGCCCGGTCTCCGCCAAACATCCGGCTGATTTGGGGGAGAAATAGGAGGAAAGGCTCGGCCTCCTGTTGCGGGGGAGGTCGCTTCGGCGCCCTCCCCCCCCGTCGGATCATGCCATGTCAGTAATGATAGACGGGATCTTTGCTCCCTGCTCGGTACAGTGGCCCGAACAGGAACAGTCCCTTCTAAATTCAGTCCTCCATTAACTTCGCCTTTATGGCAGTGCGGAGATGCGAGGGCCAAGTTGTTGGGACCCCGTCGCGCCCTCCCATTCGCCGATGCTCTGCCCTGCCCTCCCCTCTGCCTTGGCCCGGACTTTAATCCAAGACGGCCCTTGTACTTCCGACGCTCTCCTCCTCCGGACATTCCTCGCCCTTTTCCTTCCGGTCTTAAGCCGGGTTCCACCTTTTCAGGCATTTGAATCCGGTATTCGTGATTGGCGCTTCTCCCGTCGTCGTCAAATCGCGGCGAACTGATGATTTCGGTTTTTTCGGGCAAGAAAACGAAATTAATTTGGACTTATTTTCGGTGCCGCCATCTTTTGAGCCTCTTCGTTTTCCCACCACGATTTTCAAGCGCCCTTCGAGCCTTTGTCGAGGAGGAGGAGGAGGTGATGGCGTGAGGTCTTTCTTCGGGATGCTTTTGTCGAATGTTGTGCTTTGGAGACAGAGAGAACGAGCATGTTGTGGAATTGGAGGCGGCTCGAGAGGAGTGAGGGTGAGGACCTTGCTTCTTTTGTGCACTCCGCTCCGATGAGCGAATCACTATGACAGATCTCGATGTTCATGCTGCTTTCGGGCTACTGTGTTGGTGTGGTTCGCTGCTTTTGACCTTTGGATGTAAAACAAATCGGTCCTTTCCTGATTCCTTGCAAGAATCTACAATCTGGTCCCCGAGCGAAAGAAAGAATGAATGGATGTCACTCTATATGCCTGGAGGAACATTCTCCTTCATTGAAGATAGGTTTTACTGTAATATTCTTTGCCCTGCAGTCGATGGAACGAGGTTTATGCTCCACAAGGGCTTAGAGTGTCTGTTTTAAATTGAGAACAATCTTTTTAGTAGAAGGTATTAAACATTCTCGTTCTTGAGATTCTGAACTGGGAAATTGGCTTAATTTAATGCTGCATGATTACAGCATAGCCAGCAATTCCCAGCATCAAGACAATGATGATGCCCATTCCAGTACGAGGAGAAGGATGCAATGTAATTCCATGTGACACGCTACAGATTATCAGAAGACATGGAGTTTTCGGGCAACCTATTCAGGAAGTGTCACATAGGTCTGAGGAGGACAGATCTTGCGACCTTGCTGAATTCCCTGCCGGCAGTCAGTAATTACGACTCCAGGTTTCCCTCTCTTCAGGCTTCGCTGTCTATCCATCGCCTGTAACCAAAATTGTACTCATTGTAAATTTCCTCGACCCTTCGTTGCATTAAGGTACTGTATCTTCTTTCAGATCGACAGAACAAACACACTGAGCACTTCTGTTCTCTTCTGGGATTTGTTCAATTTTATCCTTTCTTTAACATGTGCTTCGTCCTTCTCTTCTTCGTGACACATGATTCGCCCAAACGTTCATTTGCAAGAAATGGAACTAGAACCAGGGGTATGATTCAGTACTGATTACATGACATATTGTTCGCCAAAAGCATTGCACTTTATAAACATGAACCATAAGAGGATATGATTGGGGGTCATAGAATATTAAAAAAAGTATATTCTAGCAGAAAATGATATAAATTAATAAGTTGGGTATTGGCACCAAATAGTCTTGTTATTGGGCATTCGTACCTTTTACTAACACGTGAAGAATGCTTTTACAATGTACATGTCACATTGTTACTGGAAGATATAGATACATATTTTTATATAGATACAGAGTCTAAATTATGTTTTTGATCAAATATTTCTAATATCACAATCAAATCATACAATTTGTGGAAGAATATCTGATTTCAATGATGTACAAAGTGCTTAGCAACTTGTCAGCATATGGGGGCTATAACAATGAATATGATCGTAATAAAATATAATTCTATCTCTAAGAAATATTACTTATACTTTTTCAGAAAGTCCAACATCATGTATTTTGTTTATGTTTTAATATACATAATAATATTTAATATAAATATGTTAAGTTCAAGAAATTAATTTCTTGATTATGAAGACTTGTATGAAATCATGCACTATAGTCTCTAAATCTTGATTCCCATAATCACAATCTTCTAAATTATGTGAAACAAATGCAAGAGATTAGATTAAGTTGTCTATGGTATGATTCTTATGTTTTAAACTCTTTTTTATCACATAGGTAGAATGCTGAGACAGCTTCTATAGTAATTTCATCGTAATATCAGTCATTTATTTTATTTTCTTAGGTCAAGTGAAAATGCAAATATCAAATGGTTGGGGTGTATATTAAATAATTGCGTATGAAATTAATAGTACATTGTGATTGGATAAAGTTTCAGTTGGGAGAGAACTCGGAACATTGATTCACGTCGCGCGAGTCGTCGAGCGCACAGCAAGGAACTGTGCGAGGTTCATGTCGGACGCCCATCAATGGACCCGCGATGAATTGAATCCACGACACCACTGTCGAAGGATTTCGATTCAGACAATCTCTCAATCTGGTCCAGCGACTGTTCCACCCTTTTGTCGAGCGCACTCAATTCCAAACGATTGCCAATACCCTTCATGATTGTTGTCATTGGTATTGGAAAATTCTCATTCAATGCTGTCCCTTTTGACGAAAAGATCATTTCCAGCAACATAAGGTCCATGTGTGTAAGCTTTCCATGATATCATAAAATAATCCTTGTCGATCAACGTGGACTTGAATTGCAACGACTCAGTTCCAAATCTGTTCACCACAAAGACAGCCAGAAGTTTGTAGTATGTGCTTGAGGTTGGGAATAGCAAACTTCCCCTTGAATATGATTTATTCCTCTGCCAGTGGGTCTCAAAAAGCGGATTTCTCCAGGATTTCCATGTCGTAACACTTTTGTTGCCATGTGCATAAATCGCCCTGCATGTATCACGGGAGGAAAAGGAAACTTTATTATTTTTCTAGTGAATGTTTGTAACACATTGGCAGTCCTCTATATATATTATATATAATCTCTGAAAACCATATTTTTTAAGAAGGTGGATAAAAATTCCGTTAGCTGCTATTTTCAAAAAATTAACTATACCTGTTGAAATTTGGACTGCGCATGTGAGTCTTCAAGTTTGCCCGAACGACTATCAGGTGACAGCATGCGATTCCACTTTGGAAATTGGATAGATGGAGCAGGTATTTATTAACACTACCTCCAAGCCGTGTCATGGTTGCCTCATTATGTTTTCAGTCCAGTCTGTGAAGGAAAACGAACAGCATATATTTAATACTTTCAGTTCCCGATTGACATGTGATAGATATCAACTTCTCCGATTTATCAACGTATTGAGGAAAGCTCGCATGTAAAGCTTGTCTTTGCCATGAAATGAACATGTAGCAGAAACAATTTGTCAATATTCGAAGTGTTCTATAGTAGTTCCGACACTTCTGGTGAATAGTTGTATTATTGAGATACAGATATAGTATTTCGAGGCGATACTATAATTTTGGATAAAGTGACAGAAATTATCATTTCTCTGAATTTATTATGCATTTTGAAGTATATGTTATATATTATATTTCCTGTCTTGGAATTGAACTGCTCCATGTACTATAGAAACCGCCCAAGACAGATCATCTTCAGAAAATAAAATTCCAGTACCTTAAATGCAACGTGCAAACAGAGACCACATCCCCTCGTGATGAATTGTGGTCTTGTCCAGGTTTGTCTCGCAATTTTGTCACATTACTATGGTGAACGTCATACGCATGGTACTCGCAATCACACAGTAAGCGATACACAAACATGCTACACTTTGAAGATATTATTAAAAAACAATAAATTTTGATGGTTTTTTAGGGTGCTTTCATCCCAAACACACACCAGTTTTGAAAGTCATGCTAATGTTCAGTCTCAAACTACAACATCTCGCATGAATTTAAATAGTTTAGAGTTTGACTTTGATTCACGAGCATTTGAGAGGTTTATTTTTATTCTTCTAGGATCCTTCATCAGGTTTCTAAATTTATCTGAGGTTGAGATTCACTTATGTCACATGTTTGGACTTTGCGCAGAATTCGAGAACCTGTGGAAAACAGAAGATCACTTTAATAGGAAGTACTTGTTTGGTCTCTTTGCTACCATCGATACGAATGGTAAGTATGAAGGGTCAATAGAGGTGCATTTGACGAGTAGATTGCTGATCATCGGTGGAACGAACTTCCTCGGATGTCTTTTCTCTCTGCGGTAACATTAGGATCTACGAAGTCGAATTAGCATTAGATTGATCTACTTTAACATTGGTCTTATTATTCCATGTGATATTGCCGCTCTCAAACTATCACTGAATTATATAAATAAATATATAAATGTTAATAAAAAATTACACATGGTGAGTGATGAGGAATAATTTTCTTCATTAAAATTGTGTCTTTTATAATTTATAATTGTATCATTGGGAATAAAATATTTGTAAATAGATAATTACACATTGTGACTAATAAGGATTAATGACCAATTGTAAGTGTATCTTTCAGAATCTTTTAAATACAAATTTATTATGAATAAGCTATTCACTTGGCCCCACGTTGTACTCATACAATACTGGATGTTAGGACTGGGTGCTAGAGTTGTGGCTTGACCTTCAGAAGGGCCTGCAATGGCTTTGTGAGTGACGAAATTGTGTGAGTGGCACCTGGAGGGAGCGACAAAAGGGATCCGGTGGTGAAAGCGTGAACAGAATTGGGATTCGTGGTGAGAGTGGAGGTGCATCTGATGACCTTCAGCTCGTCTGGAGAAACATACGAAGGGCAGCATGGCAGGGAGACAAAGGGTCGTGCCCAACGCCAGAAATTGGAGATCTGTTCTGCAACGAACCGATCCCATTCACATGAATGTTGTGGCTAACGTCTGCTGCGCCCACGAGACCCGAGACCGTTGACCGGGTCTGGGGATTTCCACCACTTGATTCCGTTGTCTTGCTCGCTGCTCTTTCTGTCTCTTGCCCATTTTCGGATTATCGCATGTATAGTAATTAAACTTACCAACGCACGATAATTATCATCCTCTTTTCATTTTGTCATACTATTAATACAGTCGCCTGTTTGAGAGCGAGCCTCAGCTGCCACGGAGTGCTAACATTTTTGACCTTCTCGCTTACATTGTCTACAATATGTATATATAGTTAACAAAATATTAATATTAAAGCTTAAATGTTTATGGCAGAAACAGGGAAGAGAGGATTATTCGTACTGGGATTCTAAACCTCTCATGAGTTCAACCTCATACCACTTGGTGAGTAGGTTCAAATTGACTCAGCGCAAAGAATGTAGAAAATATCCAATATATATATATTCATATTTAGTAAGAGGCATGCTAAAATCTGGTTTGAGACGTGTCCAATATTGGCTTCAGCTCGGCGGACAGGTCAAGCTCGATATTCTTACATGTATTTCCGTTCTTAAGATTCGAGATGATAATCTGGATAAACATACGAGCATCACGCTATGCTTGCCACAAAATATCAACTGATGAACAATTCATCTTAGATCCTCAAAGAAAATCAAATCTAATCTGATGTTATAAGCAGGAGACCCTCCACGTTAGACCACAACAGATGCAGGTCAAAACCCGATCGCATGATTTGCATACGACGATAAGCGCAACATAATGGAAGGGAGGGACTCAGGGGCCGGCTAATGAGGGGGTGGGTGAACATGATCTGCAAGAAATGAATCGAGCTGAGCTCGAGAGGATGATGATGATCAAGAAATTAGCTCCAGCTTTGGATGGATGGGTGGGATTAAGCTTCTCGCGTGAATTGAATGGATTAGCGGCCTCCAGCGTTACAATGCGAGCACAGTCCACTGGAATCCCGAACCCGAACGGATGCACCGAAACGTCATCCTCAACGAGAGCCCGTCGAGTCGTGCAGCTAACGGCGCTATGCCTTCCCCAGCAGAGGTCATGCAAAGATACCTCCAACTTCCGAGGCAGCCACAAGTCCAGCAGCAACAACAGCAGCAACAGGCCTCCTCGTAACCGTTTGAATAGCAGAACTTCCAAACTTGGCCGCCTTCAAGGACATGCACGTGGAAAAGCTCCAGATTTGGAGCTCCCACTGATGGCATGCAGCCCACGGAGGGAGGAGGAGAATGCCTGATCTGATCTGATCCCCTGATTCCTCTGATCCTCCCGATCATCCTGATGCCCCCTGATCGATCCATCATGGGGCAGGGCCTCGCCTCGCCTTCTTCTAACACATGTGTTAGGAATAATGGAAGATGCTCTTAATTCCTACTTCCCTTCTGTCTTCCTCGCCACTGAGTCTTCCCCCGCATCATGAAGCACGGTGTTTTTATTGGTCCCGGGCCTTTATGATCCTTATTTATGGATCAGAATAAAGTCCTGCTTGCTGGGCTTGCTTTTTGACCCTCTGGCTTTTGACTTGATTTGCGACCTGAACCGCTGCTGACTCTGATTTTCCTTAATCGAGGTTCTTAACCTCTCTCTGATTGGATGTTCTGGACTGAGCTTTGCTGTTTTGTTGGAGTTGGGCCCATGGTTTTTGTATTTTCTGCCTGCAGGGAGGGAGGAGAGCAGGGCCTTGGGATGCCATGTCTCATGACTCCTTGGTGACTTCATGTTTCCTACTCTCATAAAGTCCGATCTGAATTTGAGATGTGACGATTTTTGATGATGCAGTCGAGGATGGATTCTGGATTGATCGATTGACGGAAGGACGGATGGATTTAGGGAGGATATGATTGCGACTTAAATAATTCTTTTTAGCAGTAGTACATGTTGAACCACATAACTCAATAATAACTAAACTAAAATTGTGATGACCATATTTCCAAAGAGAATTCAAAATATATTTGTTATCACATAATTTAAAAAGGTGATAGTTTTAAATTATCTGATATCAAATATATTTATGAGACGATGAAGCTGTTCATCATTTCCTTCTTCTTCATCTTTGATCATGCTTTCCAGCTTGAAGACCATAAAAATGTGCAGATTGATGACAAGGTGCTCGGACCTCTTCTTCCTAGGTACGTCAAATTCGGCCGAAAGTTGCAGGAAACCACCGAGCTCCACGATGGCGAGGGTCTGGGCGTGTACAAATTCTGAAGGTTCAGATTTATCGACTGCAGTGGTTAGCCTGCACACTCAAGGACGTCAGCTCCGGTTAGAGCGAGCTCGAGCACGCCTGCGATGTTTTGACTTCCACCCATGCCCCCTTTTGAACACTTACTCGTCCTCAGTTTCCTCACAGACTGCCAAATAAAAAATAACTAGATGACGAAAATGTAGAGCGTGAATGATCTGCTGGGGGTGGTAGGAATAAAGATGAAAAATAGTGGTTGAGCGAAAATGGAAGAGGTCAGGGACTGCAAGAAGGAGCTCGAGGACTCCCTATGCCCAGTAGTAGAGTCACTCGATCCCTTTTTCATTTCTGTTCTCCATCATCGAGAAGAGGCTGAAAGTGCACATTCAAACGACTGGCAACGAGGAAACTATTTTGGCGTATTTTTTTGTGGGTGGGTGCTAATCGAAATATCTGTTGTTGGTAAAGATTGATTAAAAGTTGGTACGGTGATTCAGCAGTTATGAGGATTTGGCTTCAGGCCTCAAGTGATCCAGCAGTAGCTGGAGCTGCTGTTGCTGCTGCCGGATGATGGCTTGTGACACTGAAGAGAGAGGGGAATGAAAGGGCAGAGAGAGATGTCAATACAGAAAACGTTTGCAGGTACGGCTGCAACGCAAGAGCTCCACCATCATTTCACTTGGACCTCAGTGCTGCTGCTAACACCCGCAGCTCCCTCTCCACCCTCCCCTCCCGCTCCTCCTGCTCATGTCCATGACTCCCCCACATCTGACAAGAACACAACCCTGACCCCCAGCACTGGGCCAAGTAGACAAAGTTGCCCCCCAGTGCAGAAAACGTTTCCAGCATCATTGCCTTGCATTGCCTCGCTCGGGGCCCTCTGCTCTGCCAGGTGGAGGACGGCGAGAGGAGGCAAAGGGAACGGGAAAGGGAAAAGGCAGTATGAGGAGACTTGTGCTTAAATTGGAATTTCCCTCTGCTCAGCTCAGCTCACTCCATCTACCCACCCCCAGCCAATCCAGAGTTGGGGAGCGGACAATTTGGAAGCGCTGATCTGGACTGTGGGCTCTGGACTGCGGACTGCACTGGACTGGGGTGGCAGCAGAAAGGTGCGACCAATTTTCCAGTTCGTACTAGTAGACCTCGCATGCAGAGCAGCAGCCTCCCTCCGAGCCTGCGCCTATGGTGTTCCAGTTTCGCTTCGTGTTCTGGGATCGAGGTGGCTTCTGCTGCTGGTCACGCCCTTGGCGGGCCAGTGTGTGTGTGTCTGTGGAAAGTGCGAGCTTCATTGGCTCGGGTTGCTGCTGCTGCTACTACTACTACTCCTACTGCGTCTGGCTCTGTTTTTTATGTCTGTCCCTTGACCGTCAGCTCTCGGAGTGTAGGCGAGTTGAAAACTCGGTTTTTCAGGCGTTTGAAAGAGGTGGTAAACTTTTCGAGCTCCTGGAGTCCGGAGAAGACAAGCAGTGAGTGAGTGAGTGAGCTCCCAAAGCTGGTTCACTTTATAGGGAAAGCTCGTAGGCCACGTTATTCCAAATGCACCAATTGTCGAGGCATTGCAACCCACAGTGCACTACAAGCTGCGCCTAGAGCCAGATGACTGCCTTCCGATTCGTGGATCGGATCGTCACTGTGATCCAGTGACCTCCATCTGAGCTCGATTCTCCTCCGTCCTCGGGTTCAGTAATGTACACTGGTCGTCGTAGTAGTATAAGTGGTAGGAGGAGTAGAGGTGGCAGTGGGCCACGAGAAGAAGTTGCTAGCGACTCTCGAGAGACTGCTGCCAACAACAAAAGCCGAGTATTTACTCGAGGGCGAGACTGATCGCATACATCCACATAATACTTACCTCCAGGAGTAGGTGGTAATTTGTGAGCCACCAAAAACGCGGTTTTGCTCTTAGGTACAGTAGGCCACGTAAAGCCAGCGTCCATAGTCAAGAGCCTCTCCATCAATAAAGCACTGATTTCGGCCCCCCTCCATCTCTCTCTCACTCTCTCTCTATGTCTCTCGAGGGGTGGAGATTTGGTGGAAGAATAAACCTCGTCCCTAGGCAATCGATGGGTTCTGTGAAGAATGTACTCGATAGCTTTCAGAAGCAACGGACCCAAAGAGGCGAGCTTCATTCTTTCTTATCCGAAGCATGGTCCTCGACTCGTTGTTGTTGACGGGAAGCTTGTACATTGCGAGAGCTCTCGAGAGTGTGGGACCCGAATCGGTGGTCCTCGAGGTTTCGACATCATCATGCATCGTATTGAAGCCGTCTCAACTACAAGCGTGCAACTTGGAGCAAGTCAATCTTCATACTCATTGATCCATTGATTCATTCATCCGTCCATGCATCCATCAACTTCATCTTGTATCTTTAGTTTTGCTCTTTGGGGTGGACATTCATTGACCTTTTTGAATTCCCGCCTTAAAACCACAACAATCTCCTCCCTCCATCGCTTGATTCCTGCTGACACATTCCGGCCGATCGATCATGAGGCCAAGAATGGGCAAAGCTAAGCTAAGAGAAAGAGGACATACAGATTGTGCATGAACATCATCTCAATCCCAAAACGACATCTCACTCTAATTTCCATGCGAGGAAGTTGTGACACACACCAACAAACGAACACGTTTGGCACATTATCTCGAGGAGGCTGAGCCTGATTTATGAGCAACTAAATCCAACTGTTTTCACTGTTGACATCGTGGATCAAGGACCAAAACAGGGGAGAGAGGGAGAGAGACAGAGAGAGAGAAAAAGAGAGAAGTGAAGCTCAACAACAATCTATCGAATACAAGGACCGATATTCTGTACATACACAACAAAGCAATGAGTGTGAGTACGTACGAAAGGAATCGTCTCGTACGATCGATCGTATCGTACATGTATGGCTGCTCGTGCATTGCGAGCTCTGCTCTGACTCAGAATACACTCCACGGCCGCTCGGCTCGAGGGTGAGTCCGACATCTACGTGTAGATGAAGCACTTCCGCATACGTATACACAAGCTCGTGCAGTTGGGAGGAAAATGGCCACAGAGGCTATGACATTCCACTGTATAGCAAAAGGGCAACGAGAGCTTTGGGTGCACGACGACACTGAGAAATACCATCGTCCTCGCATCTCTCATCATACGGTACATTTCAGCTGGAATATTCCTACGAGCTCCACGAGGGCTCATGGCCACTGAGCTTGTGCGGCAGCAGCACTAGAATTGATGGATTGATTGCATACGCAGGTCCTCCAAGTGCGAGTCTCTTGCATGATGACACCATATTGATTTCCCTTCTTTATTCCCAGCCTACCATCCATCCATGTGTGACTTCTGGACCGCGATCCGAATCCGAGCTTTGTGGGGCATTGCAAAACAACGCGTACACTTGGAGATACAGAATCACTCGCTCATCCACCACATACTCTCTCGTGCATGAAGAAGCACGGAGGGAAGGGAAGGGAAGGGAGAAAGTACGACTGCAGGGAGGGAGGGAATGATGGCGGAGGCTGAAGAAGTGCAGAGGGCGAGTATTATTTTTCCCAGCTCTGGATGTGGTCAATAGACTACTGTATAAAAGATAAAACGACCAGAAGTATGTCTGTCGAGAGAAGTGATCTCGAGGAAGAGGCAACCTGGGGAGGACCAGGGCGTTGGCAACGAGTACTTTCATGGATTCCGAGAGAGGCACTGAAGCATGGCATGGCACCAGCAAGCAGGTACTGGCTGACTGAGTGACTGACCACCAAGAAAGCTACCTTAGCCAGAATCGTGCTAGGGCCTCAGACGCTCAAAAGAGCAAGGCACTTTTACATGCAAAGAAGAGTCTTTCTCGTTGGGGAGATGCAAGGAATATCGGTGAGCTACGGTAGTTCCAATCGGGTCAGGCAGGCAGGCAGGCAGGCAGTCTGTCAGTCAGCAGTCAGGCAGGAAAGCAGGAGGGCACTGCTGGATCTTCTTCCTTGCGTTTGCAAAGGTCCAGGAACGCCATCTCTTCTCTTCTCTTCTCACTTCCCAGATTCACCACTCGCTCACTGCCCAGGGCTCAGGAAGGAACGTGATCAGGCAGTACAATGACTACAACCCTCTTTGGACGAGGAGGGACTTGAAGAGCTTCATGGTGTAAGTCAAGATGTCGTACTTGCAGTCCTCGAAACTCTCTCTTCGTCCCTGAGGAGGGGGGACGAGGTAATTATGCTCACAGCACGTCGACGTGGGACGGCCGTACCTCCATTGAAGGTATTGAGTCTCGTGACTCTCTCGGATCAGTACTCACTCGCTGCATTTATCTAGTTCCTCTGGAGAGCTGCTTACTGCCGTCAGAGAGCTGCCGACTGCTTGCTTGCAAGCCAAATTCAGTTCCCTTTTAGAAAGCAGCAGCCACCGAGAGAAGCTCAGCCTCACGAGCCCATTTTCTAGAAAGAGCTCAAGCCTGAGGTTGACTCCAGAAGGCACTGGTCTAGAGCCCAGCCCAGCTTTCTTCTTACACGGATTGCATCTGCGATCAATTTCTCGTCATTGTGGTGGTCAAGGAAGGCATATATTAAAGGGAACATTCGACATTCATCGTGCATAGCAAGCAAGGCAGAAAGAAATAAAGATGGCCCATGCTATGGCCGGCCAGGCCAGGCCAAAAGAGTTGCAAAGGAAAGTAAGCAGGACCGATCACCGATGTGGGCTTGCTTGGTGTTTGGGGGTCATAAGGGCATGGCTTTCAATAACGCCACAAAAAGATAATCTCAGCTCGTACGAAAGAAGTGGCCACTCGAGCTTGAATGGGTTCAATGGGATGGAGATCAGCTTAGAAATTTACAAAAGTCCCATTCAATGTGAAGGGACTTCTGCACCAACCAAAGCTAGAGCGTGAGCGTAAGCGTAAGCCCTATACGATCTTCAGATGGTGGCGGTGGAGGTAGAAGTTCAGTCTTTCGTGATCCACGTGAAACTCGCAAAGTACTGCACGGACTTCCAGAAAACAATGTGCCTGCTGGGCTCGTAGAATCAACAGAAAGTGAAATCTTTCTTCAATAAGCAAGTTACTGGATCGAAAGTCCACGAGAAGGTGGATCGGGCGGGACCATTGGCTTGCCCCTCCTCCACCCTCTCTCCTCACTCACTCACTCCATACGGCACACAAGTAACGTAGCAGGAGATTTTACGTGGACCTGACTCTGGGTCCCGTGGCACTTGTGTCACGCACGAGTCCCAAAGCCTTGACACATGTTGACCTCTGGTAATCCAATCCTCCTCCCTCCGATCATGCTGCGCAGGAACCTTAACGCACGCACACACTCATAACCTCCAAAGTAGGCTTCCAGATGAGCCCACATGAACGAGAAAGCACCAGCAGCTTCGATTTGCTTGCCTTGCAAGTACAATCAAAGAGCGGATACCAACTTGAGGCTGCTTCTGAGAAAGTAACCACTGGGTTACAGCACTCACTCTCTCACTCTCTCACTCTCCCACTCTACAGCAGGAAATCGGGGAGTGAAATCTATAGGGAGATTTTCAGGTACACGATCTGAGAAGCTTGTGATGGATAGTAGAGGAGAGTGCCTGGGTCCTCTCGTCTGAGCCGTTGAGGACGCAGGCCATGCAAGCAGCACAATCTCGGACGATGGCACTGAGCTCGCAGATCCGCCTTGCATGAATAATCTGATCTGGGAGCTTGCTGAGTGCCATGCCATCATACTGGCTGTTTTAGAGCGAGATTTTTCTGGGCCTTGGCCTCTAACAACCGGAGGTGGAACCCACAGAGAGGTCTTGGGCACATGGACTGCGGAGGAAGCTCGAAAGGCGTTAGAAAGATGGTGCTGCTCATGCAAGTAGCAGTTGAAGCGGGTGTGTAGATTTCCAGTCTAGGCTGCGTCGTCTTGTGCAACCAGCTGGAGAGTGTCAGTTTCATGTTGGGGCAGATTTTGGTACCGGACTTTGCTCAACGGACGGGGAATATCCAGTCACTCGATTGTGACATTGGTGCCCGAGGTGTGACGGAAGAGCCTCTAGAGGGCAAATGGATGATGGATCCGTGCTGGTCCGAGGGCAGAGGCAGAGACATGATCTTGGAACATTCCGGCCCAACAGACATGCAATTTCTGCAAGCTCGAGAAGGAGGTACTACTGGCATGAGTGGCAAGCAGTTGGTACATCTTCAGATCTTCAACGACAGCTTCATGCAGATAGATGGATTATGAGCAGACTGATGGATCTATGCACCGAGGATTAGCGACCTACCTCATCCAGATCCATGGACACAGAGTTTTCATGTACTGCCAGGGGTGCAGCAAAGTGGACGAGACTCATCGTATCACTGACTCATGTGCAAGCAAGACCCTTTCAGAACGTGCTTCCTCTTTTGCTGCTGTACACACAATCCGCACAAACCTTTCGAGTGCACACAATGTTCTGAAAGCAGACTTCCTTGAAGGAGTCATTTCCCAAATTACCATTTCTTCTGCGGTCTGTTATGGACGCTTGGGGGCGAGGGCCAGCAGAAATTGGGTGTAAACAGGGAAACCGCCTGTCTCACGAGCAGACTGCAGGTCGTTGCCTCAAAGCAAGAGCTGCAAAGTGAGAAGGAAGGGTCCCTTCTGATGTCTTCCGCATGTCAAATTCGGCTACTTTGAGCACTGGCAGGTGCAATGACAGACACGATTGTACTGACAATGAGTCACGATCAACTTCAACCGTGAGAGTCAGGTGAACCACGTACCTACTTGAACCCAGCACATCGATAAGTACTGTTACCTTTCACTAGTAGCCTTCGCAGAGTCTGACAAATATGACGGACATCAAGGGTACGTTCACATGCAAGCACTCCATACAACTCAACATTTCTTTTTGGCAGTCGGAAACCATCTCAAGTTCACGTTTCGAAAACTCCAAACATTTTATTGCAAAACTTTGATGCGATCAAGTGACGTCCATATCTGTGGCAGAGCTGATAGATATGATGCCATCTCCATCCCGTACTGCCACCCTCCAATTTGCTCTGATACAGGCTATCTAAAAAATGGCTCAGAGTCTTGAGAGCGGATCACTCGTTCATATGAAATGGCATCAGAAGAGATTGAAATGGTTCAAGTGTTATGTCCCGACGAAACACATTCCTCTACCATACAAATCAGACCACGCCAATGGCAGAAGGCCATCTAGAAATCTTATGTCGCAACCTCAGTGCTATCTGAGCTACTCGAACACCCACTTCACAAGGCCTGCTGTGCTCTTAAGAGGGCAACAATCGTGCCAACTCCAGCACTTTTCAAGAACTTCCTACCCCTCACGGCTTTTATTTTCCGCTCTGGCTCTACGCTTGTTTTATTGCTTCCAGAGTCCTCAAATTTCTGACGTATCTCCAATTTCTTCCGTTGCAACTCCTTAGTCAACTGAGTTTGCCAGTCTGGTAATGACATCGCGTCATTGTCCGTTCCTTCTGCGGGGAAACTTAGTCGTCAATCGATTGAATGATGAATGGACACGAGTGCACCCACGTAAGTAATTACTGGAGACAGGAGAGCATGAACAACTTCCCCTTGGATGAAAACAGCGAACTACATTTATGTAAGAACGAGTCAGGTGTTTCTAAGATTATCACGCAGTTCATACACAAAGACCTGGCTTGAAATTTCGGGACAATGCAGAGCCAATTATACGAGACGAAATTGATGAATCCTATGAAAGCAAATGACAATGTTGGGTTATGCCCTTTGACCCTGCAGCCCCTGTCGACGGCAATGAGAATCTAACAGAACTCTACGTAATTTCAAGAACTCTGGCCAAAACGTACATGCCAGAAAGACGGCCTACGGTCAGCCAAATCTGCTTTACTCAAGTTTGGTCCAAACCTGCGAACCACAGAAAAAGGCAAGGACGTAGTCACTATACTACCCCACCTCTCTAAAAACTGCAGGTCTCAAGATTAGTTCAGGGTGATCTGGAAAGATCCATTATCATGTGGGTTTGGGTTCAAGGCGAAGACTTACTTTCACCACCTGACGGCGTTGTGCTATTCAATTGTCCATTACGTGTTTGGGCACTTCCTTCTTTGACAAACACCTCTGTCTCGTTCGCTACTTGAGCATTGCTTGGTGCAACGATATCCAAGCGTTCAACAATCTCCGGCATGCGTGACTGTATTGAGGGTCCGTCTTCAAGGGGTCCAGTTTTCTTGTACCCTGAAACCTGCTTCTCAGTCTCCTCAACCGATTCTGGGCAATTTGCAGACGTCTTCTTTTTCAGCAGACGCACGTCAACTAGCGCAGAAATTTCTGTCTGCGCATTAAAAAAGGTCCAGCGAAGAGAACGTCAAGTAGAAGTTTCTGTATACATTGATGTCTCTGAGTCACACTATCTCCATTTACATTGATGCCGCCCGCGAAAGTTTTATGTCAAGAACGTGGATGTGGCACACTAAGTTTCAGCACGTGTGCCATATTTGTATTCTAGCAAATTACAAACTTCCACCGATTTTGCTCCAGCTCCACTCACAATATGAAACCATTGCAAGAAGAATGTTTGGTAAAAGTTGGTCTGGAGAAAATGGACTATCCGTGGAGTGTACACGAGAGGCTTCTAAGAGTGAGATCGGCAAGGCAGCCAATGAACTTATCATGCACCTATATTCTCGTTAAGGGCCGAGGCCTCACCTCTAAATTTCCATCTGCGTCATACGGAAGGGGATATAATTCGCTCTCCATATCAGCCCCCTCGTCCACTTCTGCATCCCGTAAGCAGAACGGGTAATCTGGATGTGGAGCCAGCTTGATCATATTGGTCTTCGAATCCACAGAAGCAACCACACCGACCTATGGAAGCAAGACAGTTAATGAAGACACGAAAAAAACGCACAAAAGATCAAGCGAAGTAGATTCATAAAGCAAGCAGTAATCAGAAAATGAGGTCAAAAGTGAATATACTAGTAGAGATAACACCTCAGTAAACACATTCGGGCTTACAGATAGCATAACTTTCAACAAAGAAGACATTCTGAGTAGCCGTCCCTACTGCTCGACAACCAACCTCGATCATATTATCTACTACACTACAACCATACTGTACAAGACATCATTTTCTCTCCACCCCTCCTATAAACTCCATACATAAATTTCGTCAATAAATCCACAAGACGAAACCTTAAACAAAATGCCTACGGAAGTGCCAAGTTAGGTTGGTGCAATACTCTGTGTGAAGACAATTCTGGCGTCCAGGAAGTAGTCAACTCCACTAAACGATAAGCTATCACATCTCCACACTGCAAAATCAGTCCAGATAATTTCAACATTCATACAATCTTGAGTCCGAGAATGCAGGCACCGCACTCGAGGTTTTCTTCTTATGTCATATATCGCAGATTTGATTTAAAGAAAAATGAGTGGTTAGTAGTCCGATGGCTATGGACGCCAACAAAACATAAAACTCAGAAGGTGATGATAATGAAGCACTTCTTTACTGGATGTAATCGACTGAAAGAATAACAACCTGCGGTGCATTCGGTAAAGAGGGAAGTTTGTCGAGATCGCCATTATATGTGCGCTCCCCATCAGAACAGGCATTTGCATCAAAAGACGCGTCATCTGCACTCTCCTTGATCCGCCCTTTACCCTTCTGCTTCTTTGCAGTCTTCTCTTGACCCCAGTTCTGACCCTGTCGTTTACTAATGGGCTGATCCAGCAAGTTCAAAACCGGCTGAATACATTGCAACGACGGGGCCACAATCAACATGACCTTGCATTCAGTAAATCTTCATACTCACTGGCAGCATCAAGAAAAAAAGTTTGCTTGCAAGCCGATTATTCTTTCGATATCTGTTGGAAATTACTACAAGACAATCATCCAATCGGCTTACGGCAGAGTTCTGAGTTACGTTATTAGCTCGTGTAACGTATGTTCAGAGCGTCGCAACCAGCTTAAATATAACACGTCAGATATATCTGTAGATTTTCTACAACTAGACAAGATCATAGACTACATAATGAATTGCTGTGGTTAGAAGGACTTCTGCTACACATTAGTTGAGATCTCTCAAAAGTTGAAGTTGCGTTGGAAGCTGCTCAATTGAAACCTTGCAGAATGGGTAGTAAAGACACAAGGACAACAATTATATTCTCATTGTGCACTCTTACCAGTGATGCCCGAGGAGGATGCCCAGAGAGGTCTGCAAAGGACATAAATAAGGCACTTGTTTATTCATCGTTTCCAACTTTCAGTTATCTGCTCGAAACGTAACGAGCTTACTCATACCCAATTAAAAACAAAAGGTCACTGCGTGCTGGAACCGACCTTCTTCGTAGGGTTCAAAACGGATGTGACCAGCCCGGACCACGACTGGCAGCACGTCTTCACCTGTATCCACCTCCACAGTCTGTTCGTGACTTGGAACACTTTTGATAACATCCTCTTCAGTTGACAAATTCGCCGTCTTGCTTTCAAACAAAGGGCATCATCAGAATAGGAAGCTTCAAAAGAGCAGCCGTTTTCAACCAAAATACTTGTTGACAGTTACTGCTGACATGATTTTGAGTGACAGGACACATCTGTGCACAGCAAGCAAGCAGATCATATCCACTTCTTGAACATTCCGTCCATGTGGAAAACAGCAAACTGAAACGAGGGTTCTAATAATTATGAGCAAAAAGGCCTACATGATTGAGAAATATTTCTTCCAAGCAAAAACCGGACAACATGGGACTTCATGGTGTAGAGGTATTCCTGTACCTTCGCTTGCTGCTCCCTCAACCATTTGCGTTTGGCCTTTTTACGACGTGCACTCCTACTTGGTCGCTGGGCACATACATGAAATAAGAAAAGGACAAAGCGTCAGTTCCTTCGGTGACTAACAGGCTTGAATTACTTTTCCTTTCCCTTCTCATCTTTCATTTCTTCATACTTCTTTATCTCCGTATTCCTACTGGCATCTCCTAGCCCAGGACGGGGAGTCTACGGTCCTCAGGCAATGGAAAGCACATAAAGTCTGTCTAGCCTCCAGACCAGCGCCTCGGGAATGAAGCCCAGGAAAGGTACGATCGTTACATGTGCATCATCGCCAGGAATGCTTTTTGAGTCTTTTCCTGGTGTGCGTAAATTCGTCTCTCCATCTTGTGCAGCCCTATTTTCATTCCTGAGAAGCATAAGGACTCCCCACTGTTAGCCAGCAACCCGACAAGAAGTCCAGAGGTTTAAGTAGGTGTCGCCTGATCTTGCAATATACATCAACGCAGTGATCCTAAGAAAAAGAAATATGAAGACGTGTCATTGAGACACCCTAAAGAAATAAGCCAATGATCTAATATGGAGTCACCGTTTATCGATAGTTGCTTGTGTTCACCAATCCACAGTTGATTTTCTCACAATAATTTGATATGTTAATGTCGATGGTGACAGATTATTCGAGTATAACTATTCCTGTTAAACTACGAAGTCACTGCAAGGAAAGTTGAAAGTTCCGGAGAGTAGAAACGCGAGAGGGAACCTTGAAACCGAAATAAAGTCCAATCTACATGAAAGATCCGAATGAAGGACTGTGAGCAATATGAGATCCGGTGGTTGTCAACCACTAGTCCGATCGATTCTAAAGCCAATATGTGCAAATAAACGAAATCTCTGCTCATTTTCTATGGCTGGATTTTGGTAAAAGGTCACAACGATATCATCGATCCACTTTCTGCCCCGCTCACAAAAGTCCATGAACAAGAGGCAACTGAAAAAGAGAAAATACTCAAATCCATATTTGGGCTTCACACACCTCTGTCCATCTTCATGATTATCGCTGTCCATCGCAGTGTTCTCCAATCTCATCGAAGAATCGTCGCCTACTTCAGGGCTAGAAACCAATTTAATTTTGCTCTTTTCTTTCAATCGCTTTTTCCTGGGAAACAGAATCTTTGAAGTAAATAGAGAAGCATGAAAGAGGGCTTGATACAATGCGAAGCAGATACTGACTTGGAGTCTGGGGAATAATGCACCATTTGACATTCGACCCTGTAGAATACTAGTTTGTCTTTGAGATAATCCCCGTTAAGTATTGGCCACAGGGCAAGATCGAAGCTGCCCAGACAAATGAAATAAAGAACTCCTACAGAGCATTGATTGTTCGAGAAAACAGAATCAACAGTATGACATAAATCACTAGTTAAATTTGTGAAATGAGCATTTACTATTCTGCATTGAGCATTCTACGATCAGTGTAAAGGAAATTACTTCCATGCCTTATTATGGAATGAGGAAACAACAATCTCTCAGCAGCTATAGAAGAGTGGACGAGAAGTGAGAGTTTAATACTAGTAGTAATAAAGAAACTAAGAAACATTTGAGACGAATGACTAGTTGTTTCAACTGCTTCATTCCTTTACCAGGTCTGCTTATGATTAGTCTTTGACTTTTCAAAAGTATTTCAAGGTTGAAACTCGACAAAAAGTTTTGTATTCTGTTTGTTCAATTAATTTTATGGCAACTTGTGAAGTAGATCATCTCAAGCCCCTTGTTCATTGAGATGCCATGTAGCTGGGATTTTTTCTGCACTATTTGATGGCCCTGCTCGGTACTGTACCAGTGTGATATTCTACTTTAAGTTCGACGGCTAACTAGATTGCCATTCCAAACGAAATGTAAGCAACAAAAATTACTGACCAGAACAAAAATCATTTCCAGATCTGTTCAAAAGTGCTGAAGCGAATTCTGGTAGACACAGGCTGGGAAAATGCTACATATGGCCCCAAGATCCCGAACCAGTACGAGACAAGATCATACTCCTTCAGCAAAGAGCAACTTTATTGATGGAGTGGGCGACGAATTACAACGGTGACAAACTACTCGAACAAAAGACAGCTTCCCAGGCGATTTCATAAACCTAAAAAATAGAAGTGCCCTCCAATACTGAAACTATGCCTACCTGTACAGAGTGACAACCACAAATTTGTCACTGGAATATTTCTCTTGCTTGATAGAGGATCAACATTCTAGGTTTAGATATAGGTAGTCGGTCTAAGTGTCATGCTTGTAATAATGAGCATTCTTATTCAAGTCTTTGTGTAAGCATCTCGCAAGAAGAACGAAAGCTTCTCCTCGGAAAGTAGACGTGATCAGAATGGAGAGTCACTTCGGAAGAACTACATACGTTTCCTTTAAGCTTAAATAGTGTCACCTTATCGTAAAAATTTCGGTCCTATCAAAAATAATCTAAGTCCAGAATGATCAGCAACTCAGGACGGAGCCAGGCGGTATCAAACTCAGATGGGATATTGGAATGAGGCCACTACATTGATTCTAGAAAATATCTCTCGGTGTTTCTCCTGGCCAAAGGAAAACAGCTACAACCGACTTGAGAAGACAACCTGAAACCAGATGCGAATTATCTGGTGAAACAACGGCAGTGAAGGGCAAAAACGTCGCTTAATGGTGCGAAGCTTTAAAGTCCATCTCTATAAATGGACACGGCATCCGTGGTCTCTTGATGAGAAAACTTAGAGAAGCAGCACTTGCTTAAAATCCAACAAGCTTCGCATAGTAGCGATTTGGCTGAAAGAAACTTCATGATGAGAAAAAATCTATTGTTAATATCCCGATCGAAAGAACACACTTGCATTACACACATATTACTTGCACACACACTTCGAGTACAACATATCCTCTGACCACATAGAAAGCATAGAACCTAGGTAGATTGAGAAGGGTGTTTGCAGGCTTCAGTCTAGACACCTTGCACCTTGTTGCGTAAGCCTCGAAAACCATAGTGCTTCTCTGTTCGGTTTCAACTTACAGTGCAAGAAAGATAAATCTCCCTGTAAAATACCTGACATTACGAACAGCAATTCAATCCAGGATGTCGTTCGATATTGTTACCTGGAACTTTCAGGCGGTGCGCCTAACTTCTCGTCCTTCCTGAGAAGATCTTCTGCTTTGTCGGCGCGTCTTGAATTTTTCCTGTCCTTCCCCTTAACTGCAAAACTAGCAGATACGAGATAAAATGAGTTGCACTTAAAGGCAGAATAAAACTGAGCGACAAAAGAAATTAAAGTCTCTACATTTCTTGCAAGGTCTATGGTACAAATGACATGGGAAGTGGTGGTTTCTGCGGTTATTCCTTCTCAAGGATAAGGATACACCATTCCCGGACAAACCAACTAAGCAAACTCATTTCAATAATACGATTCCAAATCAAGTACAAACAAGTACTTCCTTACCGGGGGACAACTGGAGTCCATCTTCAGTGTGCCTGCTAACGTTGACATCGGGATTTTTCTTTCTCTTCTTCTTTATTGCATCCTCCGCTTCTCCATCGATATCATTCACAGCCATTTTCAGCTGTTGCATTTGAATGTCGTCCCGTCTATAGAAAAATCAAGATCTTTTAAAATGATAGGAAGAAAACATATTAGAAAACGTAAATCCTGCCTTTGAGGTTGTCAGACTTGAATTACGCTCAAATATAAATATGCTCAAATGAATATTGGAGCTCACGGTGCGCGCCATCTAATCTCCAGGAAGACTTGGAACTATCAAAATGAGTATGCACAAAGCAGTCTACTCACATCTCCACGTCCTTCTTTGAGAGTTTGTGTTTTTTCGCAGTTCTCTTCTCTTCTCTTGGAGTGCCCAATGATCTAACCTCGAATGGTATCACATTCTTTGTCCCTCCAAGCGAGAAATCTGTCTCTTCCTCGTTCTCGTCTTCCTCTTGCTCACTTTCATAACCCCCTAGTTCCCCCTCAAACTCATCCAAAGCACGAAGGTTGACCCCCGTGCGTCGAGAAACTTTGTTTGCTTTGTGCTTCTCCTCTTTGGTTTCTGCGTTTGCCAAGGAAAGTGGCAATCCATTTCCAGGACTTCTTCGGCTTTTTCCCCTGTTTTAAAAACCGACATAGTCAGAAGCAAATTCGTGAAGAATTTCATGAATTTTCACGAATTCACGAACTTGTCAACAACATTGTGCTATGTAAAAGGCGGGGAGGTATTGATCCACATCAACGGCTAATGGATTGAGGACATTGTAAGACAAGAGAAAAAAGGTGGAGTCAGTCAAAACTAAGATACGTACGCCTCGGTTCCTGGATCCTTCGCTCGTTTCCGTTTCTTGCCACTTCTTTCCAAATCTTTCAAGAAGATGGGAGCAAGTTTAGTCTCTCCAAGAGTTCTGGCTCCACCATCTAAGGAAGTATCAGTCTCCATCTCACCTTCTTCTTCCTCACTCTTGTAGCCTCCAGTTTCTTTCTCGAACTCATCGATTGCACGAAGCTCAAGACCACCGTAGCTAGCATATCTGTATCCGTTTATAAGAAAAGGTTCATCTTTTCTTACATCACGTGGAACTTCTGTTCTTGGTGTGATGGGTGGTTCCACTTTCCGTCTTATTCTGCACATCGTAGGAAACAAAAGAAAATGGCATGAACACAGTGGCTTCACGGCTAAATGTGCAAAAAATCTCTTGCATTGCGACCTGTTATTTCAATGTCTGACTGAGAAGTTGACAATGCTACGATGGAGCGGCGCTCGCGTCGTCTGGGCAGCTGCTTCTTCAACCATATTTGCAGGTAAGTTCTTGGCCATCAAAAGGACAAGAAAATTGGAACGATGGGCGTGAAGAATTATGATAGTACCTCACGAGGTCAGAATCTTTCAAAAGTTGAGCTGACTGTGAGGTAGGTAACACAAACCCATCCACCTGCGGAGACGTACATTGTACAACAACACTTTCAGAATGTGCAGACAACACTTCAGTCGCGTATAAATCCGTATCATCTTATATTGAGGCAGAGAGACGTACAGTGAAGGTCATCTGTGTCGTCGAGGAGGTGAAGAGATCAAGTGACTCGTAAAACTCCTTACAATTCAACAACTGAGCTAACCAACTTCAGATAAGCGGCGCAAAAAGCTATAAAGAAAATCCTCATGCAACATGCATTTGCGTGCGCTGAACAAGTTTGGTAGCAGCGTACACTTTGGGATCCAATTAATAATTGCCTCTTCAATTTTGCCTTCATTGAATACGGTATTTGTCATTCTAACTTCAATGATAAGACACTGCTCTTTGAACAGCCAACCTTATTATTTAAAGACTCGGTTCCTGGCGGCTCCAGCAGCTTAGTTCAGAAAATTTATTCAGCAACTATGCTCGTCCTGGATTATACTTCCGACGTCAAAGTGGAACTCAACGCCAATAAAAACCGAAGCTTTCGACGGCAAACGTGGGGCTGGTAACCACGTCAGACTTCAACAGATGCACAAAAACAAGCACAATGCCTGACGCCAATTATAGAAGATCTGGTTCGCAGACAAAAACCTTAAACCCTCGAAACCTCGAGACCCAAAATACTGATCGGGCGATCATAGAATCCAAATCAATAGAGCGAGCTTACCTCGAGGCCGAGACCATTCGGGCACGATTCTCCGAGGCTGAAAATCGAGCTGATGTCCGACGCAACATCATCGATGGTTCGCACATCATCAAAGCGCACAAGATGCCAGCACTGCGCGAGTCCTTGATCGATTTGCTGCTTCGACAAAATTCCGGCATCCTGGAACTTGAGCCGAATTCTCACTCCCTTCTCGGCCATTTCGGGCGCAACAACTTTCAGTCGCGAGCGCACAATCTCATCGCTCGCCCATCGGACTCATTTGGACTGATCCTCGCGACAAACTCGTGCAAGGTCTTGACAAAACTCGCGCTCGCGGTCTCATCAGTCCAGGCCCCGACGCAAGCCTTGCAACTCGCTCGCCTCCATCTTTGGCTCCGGGTCTCCCAGGCTCACGAAGCGAGCCGCTGCCGATCCGCGCTCCTCCCGCGGCCCGCCTTCTCACGGGCCGGGGCCATTGTGACGCTCCTTTCCATTCGCCCGGCCCGTATTTCACCACCATCCATCCTACTCTCGCTTTCCAGCTCCTGTACGGGACTCCTTGCTTGTACTGCAGAGCCAAGGATGGACGTGGATGTGGACGGATTCGTAATGCCAGCAGTGCGTTCTGTCCATTGGCCTTTTGCTTTCGCCGTAGAAATAGCGATCATCTCCATAACATTCGCTGCGATCGCCATTTGACATGCATAAATGGTTGGATGGATGGAGAGGTACGTTGGCCGTTCCAGTTATCAGTCAAGGTTAGGAATAAACTCAACCTTGTAAATAAGAGGATTGCAGATTTCTATAAATACAAGTTTGTCTTACGTATGCCTACGTAAGGCAATCAGTATAGTATGGGCTCGCATTGAGATCAGTGTTCTATGTGGACCAAATCAACACTCACTTGCGAATTCAAGATTCCCTCTTGATAATTATGTTTGTATGTGAATATTAATACATTAGAGAGTGGAACTGGTTAGTGACTGTGAAGCATTGAGTTACAAGACTGAAACGATGCATTGTACTAGCGATTTGGCAACTGTAGGCAACACTCAGGAGGAAACCAAGCATGTCACACGGGGTTAGGTTTACATGGCATAACAATCATATAGATGTCTTTCACAGAACATTTGTATAAAAATTTCGATCATATTCTCGTGGATAAAATCTGTTAATATGTTATTATATATCAATGAAATATATGAATTGTAAAGTATTTACTTTTTTTGAAGTAAGTTGTATAGTAAATTATATAAAAAAGCAAAATTAAATTCTCACGCATTCCTGATTAATACATTGGAGATTGATTTAAAATTTTTATGAAACTCCAAAATCATGAAAATGTTAATTGAACATGTAAATATACAACTACACTGATGCTCTGCATCCTCACGTTGTAACCTGAACTTATCATGGCATGAATGGCATATAATTTAACATACGCTGTCACAGATTCAAAGTCAAAGCTTTGATAGAGTAATTCGAACATTAGCATGCGACTGAAAATTGGAAAAAGTGAGCAAACAAAAAAAGTCCATTTGAACAATGTTTTCCAATTTACCCTAGATATCTCGTGAATTTATTATGAAGGATGAGTTGTTTAATGCTTATTACTCACCCTTGAAGAACACAAACAAGATCGTAGTTACTCTTAGTACCTACAATTTTGGCATGTACTTGATGCTTGCAAATGAAGCCAATGAAAAAGCAAACACATGAAGAGTGTGAGATCTTGAAAGTGGACGCAAAGCAAATCATGGGCAGAGATAACAGTCCATCTACAAAAAATGGCTTTGACTTGGCTGGCACCTTCAACAACTTAATGGTTCTTCTCATCTTCTTTGCACTTGTTTTTTCCACTTGATATTTGTTTTAAAAGGGGATGCCTGAAATAAGTGCAACGGAGAACCTGCACATATCTCAAAAAGTGACAATCTCTAAGTTGTTGAGTGATTCTTTATCAATATATTTTATCTTCCCTTTTAATACATATTTATCATTGATTTATAATACGTATTAGCTCCTAGTCTCATGCTACCTATTTGATTGCATCTTTCTGAAGTAACACCATATATTTTGTTAAATACCATGCACATTCGTCACTTATATAGAGCAACTACTCTCCTTTCACGTTTCAGTCTATGTCATAATTATATAAAGTTTGCTACAAGAAATTATTACTTTCTCCATGATACCATGTGGAGTACACAGTTTTATAAAGATAAATTTTGTTTGACGGGATTCTATTTTGGTATGCGATAATAACCATCGCCAAATTATAATGAAATAATACAATTATTAGCACAAAATGTGATGCACTAAGCTTTGAAAACATACCTTATCATTAATATATATGCCAAACAACATGATACTGGTAGAGAATTTCAATCGGTTCTATTTAAGTGATAAAGAGATATTAAAGGTTAGGTTACTTTTGTCGTATTGATACTTGTGTATAATTCAAGTTATTACGAAATTAGCATAAAACTCTAGTTGTAGTAATTAATTTTTTACTGTTCATAATTTCAAAGTTGGTTACAAAGTGGTTGATATATTTTCATTTAATTAAATGATATCATGACTCTCTAACTTGGTTGAGAGATATAAATTTTAGAATTTAAACCCAGGAATATAACCATCGTGATTGAATTGACATTGTGTGACAGTTGTTCACTCATATTATACAATCATTGCTAGTAGTTTAGCACAATACTTTTCTTGATGAGTAACTAGCTCAGGAAAATATAAGGGAATATTCAAATACAGTTGAGTATGATAAAGTAACAGAATAGGTGATGGAGACTCGAGAACTCATTATACATAACCCTGATAGCACATTTTCTTGCACTATTTGGATGATGTGGTTGGCGTTTGGGTGGCACACTTCTGGACATCAAAGAGTGCGATGTGGCTTGAGAATCGGAAGGAAAACTGAGGGAGGGAATCACTGCTAGAGTTCACGTCTCCATGTTAAAATATGCTCTAAAATATCAAGATATAGTGCTAATTTAGACGACAATGATACATTCCCATATTCTTTTATACATCCCAAATAGTTTCTGAATTCATGCGGAGCGGCTTTTTGCCTGTATCGCAACAAAGTGTCATTCAGGGCGAACGGAATCTCATGAAGTCAATAAAGCAAGAAATTTCTCTTCCGACGATAGAATACTTGTGAACGTGCCGGAGACTTACAGCAAGGTCGATTGGTGAAGGATCACAAGGGAACGAGTCAAGCCGTTGGGACAAAATGTGAGATACCGGTCATGGGGATAGAGTTACAACGGCAACTAAGCTTTCTGTCAAATTCGAGAGCTTTTACGGCCGTCAGTCGTGTTCTTTTTCTGGAGACGCCGGACCTTTGGCGGTGTCTTGGATGAGCAACTGAATCGGCCTACAGCCGGCCTTGGGCTCGGAAGATGTGTCTCGGAAGATATTTGTCGTCGCTCTGATATATTATTCTTCATTCTTCCTCAATTCGGGATGCTCTTGTCGCCTTATGCTCTTTTCAGCAAGGTGCCACCTTTCTTCTGTCGGTTTGTAACGCCATTGCGCCACGTAAGTGTGACCTGTCTTCTTTCGCAGGAAGGCTGTTGTGCTGGGCAGAGGCACATTCATGACAGCATCTGTATCAATCATCAAATATTCAATTTCGTGAACATTATCTTCAAAGTGACCCGTATCCCTACGTCTTCTGGAAAGGATGACGGTGCCTAATAATGAAAGTTATGAACGAAAGCAACTTGTTTTGTTTAATGCGATGGTGACTCGTGATTGGGCTGGACAATGGATAGTTCGGGCTTTTACGACAGTTACAGAACGAAGGTGAAGGGTGAGAGAGGTTTTTCAGCTGTGTTTGACTTCCCACTATCTGGACAGATCATCCATAGTGCGACCGAAGGAGATGAGATCTGGACGGACTCATCCTCCATTGGAGAACGATGGGCGTGTAGAATCAGGCTGTTGACATACAGCATTTGGTACCTTGGGGGCAAGAACTTCATGAGCATCATTTCTACTCTTCAGGAAAGCCCTCGGTCAGCTTTTATTTCATGACACAAGATTTACACTTTGATGATACAATCTCGGTTGAGCTAGAAAAATGATAACGCCGTGTGTTCGTGACAGCCCTCTCCATACGATCCCTGCATCAAGGGTGAGGAAGAAGGCAGTCTTCACACATCTCGTGCATGTCTATACTACAATTCCGTTCTTGTTACAGTTCTATACACTTGTCAATGAGTTCTTTGTGGACGTTTTGGGCTTTACAAGATATGGTATAGATATAGAAGTCTGAGCGTTCTCCTGAGCTGAATTGAAGGGGACTTCAAATGCCACTCCCTTGTAGAGACAGACTGCATCCTCTTGACAGTAGTAAACCTGGTGGGAGAAGCAGGGCGCATATCACAGGTTAGAAACATATACAACTAGTGCAATCCCTGGTCACGGTGCTGCAAAATGGAGGAATTTAAGCCATGGCGGCAATCCCGAAACTGGCACAGTCATTCTAGCACCTTCAAGGATCTAGTGTCAGTCGTAATCACCAATTTTCAGAAAATCACTAGAATCGGAGTACTGGAAGTACAAGCAGAGTGGCTTGGTAGACATTTTTGGAAGCAGACATAAAAGGAGAGTTAGCTTACTTTGCATGAGATTCTGACTGAACCAGAGCTGGAGTCGTTCGAAGAACGTGAAAAGCGGAGCTTTGCACGTCCATCATTACCGATGATGCCATTCATCGGTTCTATAGACACACTACCATCTGGTTCTACATCGACTTCGAACTTGCTCTGAGCCTCCTGCATATGGAAGACGATGCCATTCAGAAAAGTTTAGCTACAGTACTTGTCCAGGATGGACACCACACAGTTTGTAACAGAATATCCAGTAAGAGAAAACCCTCCAGTTATTCAGATGTTCAAAGAATTCACTGGACATAGACTAGCATTTGCGTGAGTACATGCTCCATGAAGAGAAAAGCCTAATATCTATCTCTGATAAGGGATCAATGCAATGAAACAAGGGGCAGGAAACCTCTTGCACCCACTTTGCAGGTGACGAATGAAAGCTCCATTACCTAAAATATTGAGAGACATTCATTTTCACATACTCATCTCATATACATAGTCATACATGTTGTACATAACAGAAGCAAAGAGTTGAGTTCAGGCGTGAAATGCATACCGCGGTAAAATGAAATTCCTTAGGCAGACTAATCTGAAGCTCCAGATCACCGTTCATGGAAGAGACGGGATCTACGTTGACAATTTCTACATCGGAAGTGAGACGGCGCCTCAACCTTCGAGGTGCGCTTGCAGGCGCTGGAGGTGGGGGAGGCACACCTTTAAGTTCCAATGTCTCTATTGTAGGGGGATTGGCTCCTACATTTAATACTCTGATTAAACTGTTGTTCGTGTCTGCCACATATATCTTCCCTGCAAGAAAGAACATGCATTAAATCTCAGTTTTGAGTACATACGATCGCTGACATCGAAACTTATGAAAGTAAACATGAGGAAACCCTTCGTCCACCTTTTAATGGATTACAATGTGTACTCACCATTTGGACCTTGAGCTAATCCAGCAGGCTCTGAAAGCTGCAAGAATTTACAATTATGTCAATTTTCACCATAAGCTGAAGCGAAGTCGCTCACTGGTAAGCGATGTGAAAGAAATGCGAGACGTAGATAGCAAACGGGAAGGTAAGCATATGCACTTCAGTTTTAACGTTATCGAAAGGTTTTGAATCTGCTCAGTGGACAACAGAGCAGAAGAAGGTATCACACACCTGTGCTGATGAAGCTGGCCCATCTTTGAATCCTGCCTTTCCTAGTCCTGCTAAGCTTGTAACTTTCTGACTTCCTTTCTCCAACACTTTGATCTGCATACATCAAATATGGTTAGGATCGGCAACCTTGTCTTCCTCTTTTGAATCTCTTCAGCCAGTTCCATATTACATTTTCGGGAGAAGACTCCAAAAATTAAGGAAACGGTAATGGGTATATATATATATATAGTATGAAAACAGCTTCACAGGAGATACTGTAGGTGTCTACCTTGTGATTATAGGAATCTGCGACGTAGATAAGGCCGTCTGATCCATACAGGACACCAAGAGGGTGTTGAAGAAGGGCCTTCGATCCAAACCCATCTTTATCTCCAAACTGCAAGAGTTTCGTACATATTTGTGTCAGTTTCACCATCTTATACATGGGAAACATTTCAAAGAACACTTTTTAATCAGCAAGCTCGGCTCTGGGGATCCACAAGGTAATAGATCCACATCTTATTCAGAAGAAAGAATATCTTGTTAGCTGCCTTCATGATTCATATACGATGACTTTGAAGAGATGTTTAGCTTCATGTAGTGAAAAGTACATTGACGAAGTTACCTGGAAAAGATTGTCGGCGAAAACAGGATCTCCTCCGGCAAGAAGCTGAGATCCTCCTGATCTCAGATCTACTGCTCTTACGGAACTACTCTCACTATCAGCTATAAACATTTGCTGGCCATCTGCACCATCCCAGTGACATCAGGGAATTGACAGAGAAAATTAAGGCAGATTACATCTTGTTATAAATCGTATCTAAAAAAATACTTGAGTTACTAAACTTGATGTACAAGCAGATGTTGTACCTGGTCCAAGTGAGAGGCCTGAAGGTTGGGCATACGATGTGCTCGACCCGCTGCATTTACATCCAAAGATCACATTATTGACCATTAGAGGGAACTGAACATCAAACGTTGTCCGTCTGAACTTTTTCCAGACTTCGAGACAAGTAACTTTCACTTCAACTGAGACGAATGTTTAGAGCAGTTACTTCTTTCCATTCAGATTGCGTTCATAACCGTCCCCACTGAAATTTCTCGCCAGACCGTCAGAAGGATCAATTTGCCAGATCTGGTGCTGGCCCGCCATCGCAACGTAGAGGACTTTACAACTAGAATCTAGACAGACGTCCCAAGGAGAGTTCAAAACCTGCTCAGAACGAGAGATTGGTGTTAATGATCTGATCGAAGCAATTTTAATGACGAGAAAGTAAAGAAGAAGGAGAACTGCAAGAGGAAGAAGTGGCTTCTAACCTGTGATGAGCCTTTTTTGCCTCCCTTATAATCTGATCCTTTCTCACCATTTCCAGCGAGGGTTCGAACTTTTTCGTTAACGAAGTCTATCTCTCTGAGGACAAGACACAGCAGATCCGTTCATTAGATTTTTTCCATCGAATTACTGAACGTGTGAATAATAAGAGGAAAGAGTTCATTTTGGGTATTTGAGTGGAAACCCACAATTCGCTTACCTTACAGCGTGATTCTCCGTGTCTGCCACATAAAGCACATTCTTGCTGGGATTGTATGTCAAACCCTGCAAACGATGCCGTCTTGCATTGAGAACCTCTTACTCTGAATGTACAGGAAAGAATCCCTTCTCTGTCCAAGAATGTCAATTTCACTACCACATTTGCAGTAAAGAACATAGGAATCTGATCACATTTTTAAGTTGGTGGACACCATTATGATCAAACTACAAATACTTGAAAGTATTAAACATGTGGTGGGTTGAATACATACACTTGGAACTTTTCTACTGCTTACGTAGGTTACACTGTGTTTCCATTAGCTAATTCACAATGTTACATTAGAATGGATTGAGAGACAAGATTATGAACGAAAAGAAGAGAAGAACCGCAGCATAAAAATTCCCTGCCTGGTAACCACAAGGAGATCAGATAAAATACCTGTGGACGGTTGAATGCTGCATAATCAAACGACCCATCTCTTAAACCTTCTCCTCCACCACCACCAATTTGCATGATGAAGTTACCCTCTAGATCGGTCACGACCTGGTCAAGTTCGACTTGTGAGGGAGAGGAAAACAACCGGATTGTATGCTTATTGCATATTTCAGCAGATTTAAATGTAGAGACAATCGCGCTAACCCAAAATTTCCCAACTATTGTCAGTCTAGAAAATTTATATTGAAAAGAAAAGTCAAAGTGGGTCAACTTGAACTGTGGGTTTGGGGTTCATACAATTCGGTGGTTGTTGCTGTCAGAAATGAATAATCTTTGGTTAGCAAGATCTGTTGCAAGCTTTCCAGGAAACTTTAAGGGAGATGCCACAAGGCGAGAGTCCTTATCCTTCTCCAGAGCTTCAGGAATTGGTTTATCATTCAGCAAGCCCTTTTCTCCATAGTACTGGAGAGCAGCTGCAACCAGGTCATCCAAATCCTGCATTGAAGCAAACTGCTAGTTAATAAACGTTTCCACCCTCATGAGCTCAACACTTTACTTCCTTCACTACGGTTATTTCTGCTCCTGTGTCAACTAGGACGAAGGGCAAACTGACAGGTAGAGCGAATTATATCTTTTAATACATTATCTAATCTAAGTCGATGCATTCCTAGCTTGACATCTGCTCTAGAACTATCGAACCGGCACATTAACTTGTGAGACTGTACCATCTTGTAAATGAAATGCTCCCCAGTATGCTGCATTTATCTCAAACATACTTGGCCTATATACAATCTCTACATATTTAAAACCAGAGCATCTACGGGCAGCTGGTTAAGCACGCACCTTTCTATGGCCTTCTCCAGCCAGCATGGCAACGAGCCTACCCGTCGGTCCGACAAGAGCTAACGTAGGCCAGGAGCTAACTCCTAGTTGTCTCCACATTGTCATCTCTCCATCGTTGACCACCTGGATAGAACTGAGCCCGAAAAATTGACAATTTGTTGAAGAACCGTCACACAATCGAGATCGCTACTGAATCCGAGCAACTAGCAAACATACTGGGTTCTTTACAGAACAAATCAAGGTGGAAGAACTGAGTACCGGGTGAGTGACATCGTAACGCAGAACAGCGTTCCTAATCGCGTTGGAGTCCTTCTCGTTGTCAAACTTGGCGGAATGCACTCCAATTACAGTGAACTGCAATACTAACACAAGGTGTAGCGAGTCACGTATTTGCATAAGATTCGGCCCGTGAAGACCTCACTACCTGGATTATATGACTCAAAAAAAGTATGTGTAGTAGAACTAGGCCGATGAAAGAGGCTAGAACTAATTTTTGGCATAGTGTGGCATCTTAGCAACCAAGAGATATTCTCTAATACGTACCGGCTGTCCCTTGAACTTCTTCTCCAGATACGCAAGGTCAGGAAGAACATGCATGCAGTTAATGCAGCAGTACGTCCAAAAGTCTAAAAGGACCAGCTTTCCTCGAAGATCCTGCAGTTTGAAGACAATGATGAAGTACAGAAGATGATTTTAGCTGCAAATAGAGGCTTGAACTCTAAGGCACAATAGGAGAACATGCAAGAATCAACGCCATAGTCACATAGTCTATCCGGGAACACGATTCACGTAAGATTTACGGAGACCCTGTGACCATGTCATAAGAGCAGTGAAGAGACTTTTGAAAGCTATGGATGCCAATATAGTACGAATCTGATCTTCCAGACATTTAATGGGGAAATGACGTAGGCACTCACCGACTGTAGTCGTAAAGGAGGTGAATTTAGCCACTCTAATTTTGGCTGAAACTCTGCAACCACCTGGCCTTTTCCTCTGCACAGGTTATAAGAAATGGATTGGGCTGAATGAATTACAAAATGTAATTCAGATCTTTCCTTAGCCTCAGAAAAAACATCGGACAGACTTTTCGGATTCCTACTCCAACCAGTTCGTCCCTTACTTTCTACTGAAGATAGCAGCGTTCAGTATCTGTGGTATGGGGAAAGGATAGAGGAGTCAGGAAAACAGACGTACTTCTTCTCGATGTCTGCTATGTACTTCTTGAACTGCTCCACTCGATCTCCTGTCGACAGTTCTATGTAGATGAAAAAGTGTAGGAATTGATTAATTCTCGGTTCTTAATGAAAACAGTTTCTGTCATAAAGTTCTTTCCGAAAGAACCAGCAGATCCTGACTGGAAATTGACAACTCAGGACAGGGTAAATAATCAAATCTTGTGCCAGAACCAGATACAAGGTTCCCCTCAAGTACCTGCACCGTTGGCAACTGGGCGCATTTCTCCCACTAGTGCGTTCCAAATTGCCATAGGAGATGCATAAGACATAGCCTGGAAAGACAGCACAAAATTTAAGGCTGAGATGGACTCCATGGCCTCTCTCAAATATGTTAACCAATAGTTTGTGAGAATTACACAGGTTTGTCAGAGATAAGTCAGGATATCATACAAAGCTGTGACACTCTGCACAACGTTTGTCCAATTCCTACAAAAGGTTTCGGTACACCAAGGTAAAATCACTATCCACAGATTGAGTACGGTAATTATAGAAATTATCACAGAATAGAACAGGTAAGTGTTGTGAATTTGAGATCAGCAAGGTCACCTTCATGTGAGTAGCAGTAAACGCAATGCTGCTAAGTCCGAGAGCAAAGCTGGTAAGCTTGAATACATCACGCCTAGTCGTCAAATATCTGTGAGACACGAACACAACGTAATGTTGGACAATCCAGTTGACTGTTACCAGCCACACCTTGTCGCCATATCACAACTTATGAACAACAGGTTCCAATATGATCATGCATTTGCTGCCACTCACAATATATTCAGAACAACCATTGCACCAAGGACTCGCCATGGCGTCAAGTAACGGTTCAAGAATCTGATCAAGACAGACATAGTCATCATTCCTCCAGTAAGTTTTAGGTGCGTTTTTTATGACGAAATCTATCCAGTAGAAGAACTCTATAAACAGGGAAAAGTGGAGACCAACCCACTGGTAATTCATGACACTATCAGAAGTCTCAGCTCGAGTTCTCTAAAGACAAGTTCTATAATTTTCTCCGCGTTCATATCGTTTATGATGAGATTAAGATATGTAAGACGAGACCAAAGAATATACATACCCTAAGGGAAGAGCAAGTTCTTGGTCAAGGTCCATCTTTTCTCGCATGCTGTCGAAAAATCCTAACTCCGATTCCTCCCACATGAAATCAAATCCTGTATCTCGTGATCCCGAGCCAGGTTCTGCATCATCATGACCTAGTGAGCCATCCCATAACGTACTGTTGAAGAAATTTCAGATAGATGTTGATGTTGATTTCTTTGCATTTGTTAAAAATGCTGTACTTTTGGGTTTAACAGTTTGCGTGTATCAACCGATATAAGACGTGATCGACCAGAAGGCTCCCAAAGGAAGGGGACTGAAGAGTACACACCCGAGAGTTACAACCATAGGGACTCCAACCACATACAAAACCGATCCATTTCAAATGACAAGCAAAAATGACCAGAACAGAGAAGTGGCACAGCATACATGTCATACCATCTTGCTGAATACATACGAATTCAATGGAATAACATTCATAAAAACCTGCATGCGAAATGCAGGAAAGGGAAGCAGGCAGTCACAATCCATGGAAGCCTTTCGGAATTTTCACTGCAAATACTACTGCAGTATATGACTATAGGATAGCAATCAAATCAAGTGATATTATTCGGATGCTCTGTAATATGTAAGCCTTGATATATGGATACTTAGGATATCTTAGGGCTAGCATATATTTACCATTGCTACGCTCTTGGGACTAGCTCCATCCTACCAGTTTGGTTTCATCCATGTACGGCTTGATGGGGTCTTCCCCTCCTGTTTGCTATATTACTCGCAATCTAACAGATATCACGTCAACGAACGTACAAAATGTGGCAACGATAAGTAGGAGCCAGCAGCACCCTGGCACCGCAAATGAAAAAGCAGAAGCATATGTGGCACACCATCATGCAAGTCGGCACACCGTGACGAACCAGCATACAGAAGCTGATATATACAGAAATAGACAGAAGCGATTTTATTTAAAAAGCTCCCCACAAACCATAGTGGGTTTATCACAAAGATCTTCGTATACTATTGAAAATGCTTCTACAAGTATAGAAGCTGGATGGCAGAAAAAAAGAGCAGTTTATTCGAGAAAATGATCGTTTTCTCTGGATGAGAAAATTCCCGTAAAGTTATTAAAAGAGGGAATGCTTCTCGCTCAAAAGCTAGCCTAGTAGTCGAAATAAAACCTAACTTGTGAAGCAGCTGCTAGTTATCAATTACACCGTATCTTCTACTTGGTCAAGATTGGACGTGATACAGGGCATTCTAACTATGCAAATCTGGGTGTTTTCTAAGTGACTTGCTCTATCAAAATTCATATCCATGTTGTGTATGTCTTGTGTAAAGATCAGGGTGATTAAAATAGGAACCAGATGGAATTGAATTCAAGGCTATGATAGAGAAAAATACCATAGCCCGCAGCGTTAATGGAGAGGTACATACACGAAGAAAATCAGGGCAATGAGGAGATCTTCGACATGCCGCTCGATTACTAGCACATTGTAGAGTACAGAAGCTGAGACCTCCTCTTGATTGATTATACGGAGTCCGAAGGTGAGAGTTCAAGTTCATGACTGAACATAAAAGTCAGCTGATAACAACATAGTTAAAACCCATAGGTACACCTATATCTTGTTTGTAGAGAACTTGAGAGAAGTTTACGTCCAGAATGTCTAATAAAACGTCTAAGTGATTTAAGTAGTTGTAAAAAGTGATGGTTTGGAAGTAAATGTTGTGGTTTAGGTTATGATGGTTGAGACACATAAAATGGAGATCTGAAGCTGAGTATCGGGTGTACTGATGGCGTTGTAAAATATGACAATGAGAGATCAAGTGAGCTATACGTGACTTAAGATGGAATATATTATCCCAATATAGAGGATTTTCTTAGTCTCTTGACGAAGAAAATATTGCTTGTCCAGAGGAGTTCTCGTCATATGCGCCAATTAAAAAAAAACTCTGAAGTATACCTCGTATGAGAAACACAGGTAGCAAATGTGAATATGAAAAACGACAGGCAATTACAGAAATGCCTTGAACTTAACAAAGCTGATAATAAAGGCGCACAACATCGGACGGAAACACGTGTCAAATAAGGTGAGCGGGCCTACTGTAAACTACATGAGAAAACTCCAGATCCTTGAGGAAAATCCACACTCCACAAGCTCCGGAAAAAGCTACACAGTGTGTACATCGATATGTATCGATCCCTCACCCTGTAATGTAAGGATGTCTTCAAGTGTGATCTCAGTAATGCTTTTCTTGATCACGGAAGGTCCTGCTGACATAAGCTTTGGTCCAGCGAGAGTGGTGGTGACAGCTATGCACCTGCAAAGACAGGTTCGAGAAATTTACGTACTGCACAAAAATTTGACTTGCCAGCCCTTTCAAAACCACTCGTCACAAACGGACACTGTAACATTGATATTTTCTCGGATAAACACACTCTCTTCCGTGTCTGGTGACGGGTTGTTGTGTTCACGTCAATATTAACTTGATGTCACATCCCTTCTTCGTGTTCACTCATGACACGGTTTACAGTTGCTTTGATTTAGTTCGAATTCATTCACAGGCTTCACACCGTACCTCATCCCAGCTGCCCGGGCTGCCTGGACGCCAGCAAGTGCATCTTCAATGACGACGCACTGCGCAAAGCATCACAAAGAAAGGTGAGAACCTGATTGTCCAAACTGATGCCTTTGATGCTACAAGTGATGCCTCATATAATAAGATGTAATTTCAGATCGAGATGCAGCTATACCTCCTGAGGTGGAAGACCTAGAGCTTTGGCAGCGGCCAGAAAAATGTCTGGTGCAGGCTTTAAGTTCTCAAAAAGATCCGCTGAGACCACTGCGTCAAAACTGCAACGAAGATCATGTCAATACCGATCAAGACTCGACACAGGTCCTGCCAATACCGCAGATTCAAAATAATTGTCAGATTGTGTTTGGATATCGGGTCCGACAGTGTTGAGTTGAAGAGACATACTTTGTTTGAGGCAAGCCAGCGGCTGCTAGATTGGCATCCACCTTAACCCGGTCAGCGCTTGAAGCCACTGCCAGTTTGAGCCCTGCTTTCTTGCACTGCACGAAATTCAGACTAGTTTCAGGCCGAAGTGAAGCTGAGATGGATGCAAGTTGACTGAGCACACGTACAAATTTTGGTACAGACGAGACTAGTGAGTTTGAACAGATTATCTCTTTCACATTTAGCCCAAACCGATCGCAGTGTCTGATGGCTGTTAAAAAAATTTACAATTAACCAAAAACACCTCGCCCTCACCACCAAGAATTGAAGGTCGAATTACCACAAGGCTTACCTCGAGGATAAGATTCAATGCCCCCGGATAGCCGAGTCCTGAATTTGGTTGAGCATACTGTGAATTCCATATATGCAGATACACAAGACAACCCCGCCCGTGTGATGAGAAAGAGACCATCAAGCCAGCGTACAAATAATTTGCTCCAACATTATTGCATTGATGGTGTGATCACAAGCTACAGCAAAATCTCTGGGGCGCCCATGATGTCCAAAACAGGCAGAAAGCGACCATCTGATACAGGTACTAATGATCTCGCAAATCCTGAACAGTTTCATAAATATCTCATCTGAGAATGCAGCATCTCCTTCGAAGGCTGCAACGACGGATACATTGAATGCAGCAACAACTGCAAGGAGCACTACCTTTTCAATGTAAATCTCAAAAAATCGCTTCTTGAAAGCGTCGACGTCGAAATCAAGGCCGTACTTACGCGCCACTCCTCCCAAAAAGTTCGCCTCACCTGGAAAGTGACATTTCGGTGATTCTCAAAAACAACAACTAGCAGCTTCCCTCAATTCGGCAACTTGAAAAATTGCAATTGCTTCTAAAGAAGCCGGGTGATCATGATGCGAGTATCTTCGATTCTTTATGGACCAATCTCTGTAATGATCCATTCTGCTTAAAAATATTGATACACTGTGCTGATTATGATTGAATATTGAAAAGAATTTGAGATTCCAGAGGTATCATGTTTAAGAAAGCTAATGGGAGGATCTATGGTAAAGAAATTTCACTTGGAGAAGAATTCTCGCTCATAACCATCCATCACAGAAATGAGCACAAGTTCGATCACAAACCTGTGCCCATGAACGGAATGAAATCTTCCGCTGTCACAGTTACTCCTTTCTCAGCAAACAATGCCACCGCCGCGTCCCTGGATGGTCCCTCGCTCTCACACAGCACTCCGTCCATGTCGAAGAGCACTCCTCGCACCGGTGCTGCCTCCGCAGCACCGCCTTCTCCTCCTGCCATAGCCAGACATCTCTCCACCTTCCCTCCGCGCAATCCCGCCTTTCCGGCACACGCAGCAGTCGAAACGGAACTCGGAATTGGAGAAAATGGGGTCGAAATCGCAGGATTCTTGGGCGATAGCGAAGCTCTCTGGAAATTCTTCAGAGGCGCCGGAACTCTCTGCACTCTCGTCGAAGGGACGAATGGCGGGAGCCCGCGGGCGACAACCATGGCCTCCATGACTGGAACCTGCTAGCCGCGAATTCGACGAGTTTCTCGAAGCTCGATTATTGATTCAGCACGTCGGCATTTGCTGCCTTGACACTGAGAAGCTCAATCTTACGACTTCAGCCGAAGGCCGAGGGACGATGGCCGCTACTGGGTCGAAAATTTTCTCCTCGCGCTGAGCCACTCACTCTGTCACTGACGAGCTCCACAAAGCGAAATTCGAATGGAGGATTTTCGTACACTGATCTGCTCGCTCGCTGGGCACTGCTGCCGCGAGAATCCCGACGACGTGATCGACTTTGCCGATGGGTCAGTGATCGGCTGCGCCAGAATCTTGGTCCGGGGCTCCGGGAGATACTATATTCCAGATTTCCGGCTGCTGTTCCGGACAAATTCCAAAGTCCGGGGCCGGATCGAATGTCGCGGAGGAGATAGAAGATCGATCCGGAGGTGCCAAATTGGAGCCACATTGGCGACAGAGCAGAGCAGGGGGGACGAGGAGGCGGCCTTGCATTGTACACGTGGTCCATTCTCTGCTTCTGTTTTCAGATAGATGGTGACGTGGAGCACCTTCTCCTTATTTCCTCCACACGCTGCGCTCTTCTATCTCTCCCCTTCATTACCCTTCCTCCGAAGACTCACAATCTTGAGGTTCAAATATATACATATTATATACAAATTAAGGTATTCAGTAAGTCATGCTTGCCAGGATTTAAGCATTTATAAATAAATTTGTAATTAAAATACATTTTACATTTTTTCAGGTCTAAATAGCACGAAGATTGGAAAATTTAGTATTATCAAACACTTGTATTTGTAACAATTAGAAAAATGATTCCAAATTAATTGATGGAGATGCAATCTCGAATTTTCTTCTTTGATTGTGATCAATGAAGTCAATCCCAATTCGATAATATTACACATGATAATATTTTAAGACATATTCCAGCTTGTATATTTAAAATATTTGTCTTCTTGTCTTAAAAAAGTTCTGAAAAAACACGAAAATTATTAATTTATAATTGGAATAAAATCAGATTAATATAAGAGTAAAAGTAAATGATTTTATATGAAATGACGGTAAGCATCTCACAATACATGTTATGTTTATGATAATACATGTATTCTCATTGTCGGTCATGTTGAATTCACATGTGCATCATTTAAAGCAAAAATTTTCCTAAAAAAATCAAGTGATCATTGTGTCAAGATTTTGAAATTTAAGTAGTAAGCTTTATAATGTTATAAGACTTCAGAAGTTTAATGCTATAATATTTTATTTTATCAAAAAAACTGTCACATTACAATTCATGAGGACTTGTGTGAAAGTATTCGTTTCATGTGTTTTTACCTAGTCGTTTCAATTGCAGAAAATGATGGTTCTAAGTAAGCATCTTGAAATTCTTGTCAGAAATTATGCATGGTCCAGTTAATGTCTTCGTTTTTAGATGTGAGAATTATACAAGACAAGTAATTCTGACTTTGTGAGTGTGAGCATGTGATTAAACCTCTCTTGCCTTGTCTCTTGTCCTTCCCTTCCTTCTTCTTACATGGCTGACAGAGATGATTCGTTCAGGGTGTTGACGTTCTCTCTTCGTGGTGGTTGAACGAGTTCCCTACATTGCAACGATGCAAGTAATCGAACGTTTCATGGCTGTCCAGTAGATCGTTGAGAATCGACGAAGGGTGGACTCTCACATTGCCAATGTTAGCTCCATTCACAACACCCTGAAGCCTGAAGCCTACGACGGAAGAAAGACTCGTATGCACTTAATCTTGCAACAATCAACTACGACTTCATACTCTGCAGGAGGATTACCACAAACTCGAGGTCTCGCTCGAGTCCAGGTTGAGCAGTATGATGGGCTCTGGACCCGATTTCGTCCACGGCGAGACCACAGGGCAGTGCGTGGCGAAGGGACTACTTGGCTACTACGTGGCTTCCACGAAAATATGGTTACTTCAGAAAAATGAAGAAGAATTAGTACACTGTCTCTGCAAGATCTTGCTGCTTGCAGTTGATCATTTTCGTAGCAGCTGAAAAGCTTGAGTTGTGTCAATTTTGTCACCTGTCATTGATTATAAGATTATATGAATTCGTTCCACTCCATGCGAAGCGACCTTGTTCCGCGTCTTGTTGTCTCATACACCGAAGGGCACTGTCTCGGTCTGGATGGAACCTGTCACTTTAACCTCCAGGTGGTGTTTGACCTCGAAGTTCTCTTTCGGGCAATCTTGGACAAGGAACATATGGCAAAGATTGGATATGTCAAGCAGATGCGTATCCATGGTGCATAATATCCCTGACAAGCCGGGATCGTTACAGTATACCTACACAAACTAGTCCCTCCATAGCCACCAAGGTCTCGGAACGCAGGCAATGAGCCGATGGCAGCAGCTGCGCAGCCACGAACTTCAGCTAGAGAGTTTACAGCGTGGGAGGACCTTACGATCAGCGGTGTTCTCTGATTCCAGGATCTGTGATTGTTTTCCTCTCAGATGGTTCCAGCCAGTGATAGAATCTTCGCATAACAAGGAGTGCAGTTGCATTCAACACAACGTGGATTGAGATTTTAATGTGATACTACACGTCCAACATGAACTTCCATGTACAGAAGAACATGAAAGTCGTGGCCAAAGCTTCATAGAAGTTTAGTCTGGTGAAGGACCATGGCGAGAACATGCATGAGTGCAAGCCCGTTCAAGCCTTAGGATGAAACTCGGCCTAGAACACAAACACGCAGCTGCAGCTGAGTTCATACACAATCACATGTCTCTATGACAATCAACTCTTAGTCTGATCACCGAACTTGATGATCACGAACTCCGACGACAGCTCTGTGGATCCTGTACAGAGGTCGTACATACAACTCTTGAATTCGTTCTGACGTCCAGAAGTTTAATGTGATCATTTATGGGCCCGGCAATACAACGTAGAGCAATTTAATAGGAAATATTACTGTCTGGGTAATTCTCATTTCATTGTTACAGCCGGACAAACCTTAAACCCATCATCTTAGACAAAAATTACAGATTGTAACCATAATCAGACATTACAATCCAGGCCTTCACCCTGTGGGTGATTGCTCTAAATTCGAGTCATCAGTAAGAAAGGAGGAGAGCTTCAACTTAGAAAATATGTGGAGACCATGCTCCCTAGTCATATGCCATATAAGGCTCTGAATGGATACGCTAGAGTGGGAGAAAATAAAAAAATGTACATCATGTACATAAAGTATTTGCCTGACTACAAACAAACCCCGCTCCTGTTGCGTCTTTTTTTCTTTTCCTCTCTGTTCCCTTTCTATTTTACTCGAAGATATGTAGTAGTGCAGAAAACGAGACTCGCTGTAAGGGAAAACGTCAAGCATGATATAAAGAAGAAAAATGGAAAAAAAAACTATGAAAAAATTTCAAAGCAAAGGCCACAAAAGGCAAGAACAAAGGTCTAAAGGCAAAGGAGATGTATCCTTCTGGTTTTAAATGCTGTCAGGGACATGATCATCTGGAGCACATTCCAGGCAAAATATGCGACGAAGCTGTTGGTAAGTAGAGATTTGATCGGATAATCATGTTTAATGACACTGTCTGTGCTAATCTCTCGAGGTTTACAATCAAATCTCCTTCATTAACAGGGTTGGGACCGATCCAGCCCGAAGAACATTATATTCTCGAAGAGGACGATGCAACTGCCACGTGAAGCTGGACGGCAATATTTTAGTTTTGCAATCCAGATGCCTCTCTAGCACCAACCAGAGGTCCTGATATCTAGACTTTCCGGTAACTGGCACCGTGGACCCTTCCAGTATGATTCTGAAATCTCGATACGGGTGGATACTCGCATATTCAAAAGTTCCAACAAACCAGGAACATCACGGTGATGGTCGCCCTCCAAGTCCCTGCTGCACAGAGATAAGGTGATGTAACTGCCAATTCACAAATCCTCGTGGTTTACCCACGAGGAGTTGTGTGTGAACTCTCATTTCACTAATTGAAAGGATTTACAGCTCTCATACGATCGACAGCTGTCATCAACGATATGCAGACTGAGGCAGTGCTTCTTCGCGTTGACAATCCGTGCAGTCTGAAATAGCGTCATCGATCTTCTAAAGCAGGGGCAGGCCGAAAGTTTGCCCGTTTGGATGTGAAAGGCATACTTTCTTTTCCGTGCATTGCGGTGATCGTATCTCAGTCCTATCTTATCAGACGCTTCCCTATTTGTGCTTCAGAGCTTTCTATGTACAAGAATTGGACCAACTCATATGGATCTATCTTCCCGTCATGAGTTCGTATTCAGCTCTCGAGCGAATGTCAACCTAGCGAGCATCGGACCCTTTCAGCTTTGGAATACAGCAAGCATAGGGTGGTAGCCGATGAGCATCGCCTTGTTACAGCCTTGCCAATGGTGGAGGACAAGAGCGAGTGCGAGTGCAAATTGAGGAGCTCAGAAGTGTTAGAAAATGTGCTACAAAGAGTACAAGCGGTGTCTCAGGTTTTCAGTCTGTTCGTCCATTCCAAACTACGCATGGATCGAAGCATGTCCTGGCTTTGATTCTGGAACCTACTCTTCAAGCGAGTAAGAGAATGAAAGCAAACTCATCACCGAATCAATAACTTTCGAAAGTGCTCAAGCGTCAGAAATCAGCCTTCGGAATTCTCGCGGGCATTACAGAAGGCCGGACTTGTACGGGGAAAATCGTGAAGAAGTCGATCAAAATGATCCCAGATCGGCACCAAAACGAATCTCTGTACTCAACGACTCGAGCGGAAGAACCCCCTCCACCAGACTTTCCACCAGAATTTCCAATCGTTTCGATGATCACAACAAAAGCGAGGTCGCACGACAGTCACAGGAGGGAAATTAATGGCAAATACAATACTTCTGTGACAGGTACATCACATGCGTTTGTATCTGCAATTAATCACCCCCTTGTAACTCTCATGCTCAAGGTCCCAACATCAGCTGTCAGGTGATTCAAAGCAGAATCAATGGTTCCTGAGAACTGACGAAACTCGTCTCTGGAGCTGAACAACCTCTTGGCACTCCTAGCTAAATCTACAAAACCACGAATGGAGCCGTTGGCCTCGCTCCTCGGAGCCAATGGCCTCATCCATCCCAAGCCGACGAATCTCCCGTGTTGCGAGGAAATTTTATGGAGAGAGCATTAGATACTCGCAGAGACAGCCTCAAAGTGGCGAGATCGTGCGATCATTTGAGATGCTGGTTCATTACTTTGTTTAATTGAGAGACTCAATTCCCGCAGAGGTCTTGGGAGGCAGATGGCAGAGGCGGTTTCAAAGGCGGAAGGCAGATGGCAATACGATTTGGGTGTCTATGTTCACAGCACACCACCGCATGTCATCTCGACCTTGCCGCTCACGCAACGCGGATAACCTAAGCTCGGCTCCAGCTGTGAACCGATGCTATTTGGAGTCTGTGTTTGGCGCTGGTACCTCGACGAGTTAATATATACTTGACGTGTGGGTTAGAACTTGGTCTCGTCACAAAGTGATAAGAATCATCATCTTTCTTTGGATATTCAGCCGTTTTCGAATAACAGTGGCTTATGATTGCAAGCATGAGCCCCAGCTGCGAGAGAGCTGGTGTGTTGTATTCTTGTGCATACTTTTTATTTCGACGGGTACGGCCACGAGCGTTGTTCATGGCGATTCCCTAAATCTCATTCATTGATGATTGCGGTGCAATGAGCAAACTGGAAAAAGTGCTATTGATGATCATTTCAATCTAGCTGCCATGTACTGGACAACAGGTCAGCTGCAGATTCAGATTCAGATTCAGACTCCTCTCATCTCAGCTCTACAGTAGCGATTTTATCTGATCATCGTTGGAAATAAAGTACAGTACGAAACTCGGATGATGTGCTATATTAACGAGATTTGCAGATCTAACCGATCTCAGCACGTGCTGGATCCTTGAGCTTTCTCCGTTCGGTTCGAGACGGCAGCAAAGGGAAATTTGTTGTCTGCGATCTGTGTGTGACAGCTAAAGTCACTCGACTCGATCGCCGATGCAGTTCAGAGAAACACTTAGTGGTACGATCCGAGCTCTCCAGGACCGTGACTCTACTGTATGCACTTGTCGTACAGTCCAGTTGGTGCACAGAGTTACAGGCCGATGAGTGCGAGTGTGAGGCATGATACTGCACTTCAGATCGTGAGTGTCAAGACGTCAGCAGCAGCAACAGCAAGTCACGGACAGTTGATGATGGCCATCACCCTTTGCCTGCTTCGTCGGGAAGAGCAATTGCCTTCCAAGATTCGCTGGTCCACTGACATTTGTTGTTGCCTCCATGGAAGACGAGTTGATTCTCACGAGCTACTGCAACTCAACACGGGTCAAAGCTCGTAGACTACAGTTTTCGCACACCTCTTGACTCAGCAGCAACTTCAGTCAGCAGATGAGAGATTGCTCGGCGATTTTAATCAAGGTTTCGACCACCAAGATTCTCTCAGTGCCATGGGACGCCCGTTCAGACCTGGTGATGCACTTCTTACGTGCAGGGCGATCACATGCTCTTGGACGTTACAATGATTCCAATGTGTCTGCATCCAACTCGGTCACAGCATGAGTGATTCTTCTACTTTAGTACGTGCCCGTCAAATGGAAGTTGCACTTTTGATTAAAGTAAATTGTGAAGTCAGGAGGCAAGATAACCTCTGCCATGCAGCCTCTAAGATATTATGGTTTTCCTGTCAGTCTAATTCGATAGCCCAAGCTTTAAACAGAGTATGGCAATGGTCAATTCTGAACGTGATTCAAACTTCTTTCTCACGTTGATAATTGATCAAAACTCGAGTTTTCCACAATACTTTATCGAGAATCGGTGTTCACTTTGTTATCCAATCTGTGTATATATATAATATATATAGAGTTCGCGATCCTTTCAAAAATAATGAGAGAGCACCCAATCCGAAGCATGTATAACTTATCACATAGTTATTAAACGGTCTGTAAGTGAGACAGAACCCGTCACTCTAAAGTAATCTTGATGCATATCTTTCCATCGTACAGTCATCCCAGACAAATATTATGATGGCCACATGTCTATAATGTGTAGGTGATGGTGGTACTCGGTGTCGGTTCGAGTTGACCGCGTTGGCATTCTCTCCACACCACCTCCTTCATGAGTCAACAGACTATATAATTAGCAATATTTATCATACTATGTATTTAAGGAGTGAAGTGAAATAGGGTGCTATGCTACCCTGCAAAATCCGATCCAATACACAGACTTTCCAGGGGCTGCCGTAGGAAGATACTTTGTGAGTAAGTCTACAAAGTTCCATGTTGATCAAGCTTGTATCACATCAAGATTAGAGCTCAACAATTCATACGTAAAAATAACTTTAGAGAAATGAAATTTCTGGGAGCTTTTATTATCAAAAACCACATGAATCTCAAATGAAGTCATAAATGGATCTAAAGAACTCTCATTCGCGTTGATTGTAAAAACCTCGCCATCTTTGTCCCCGTTGTACACTTGTAATGAATAAAGGTTCATTGTTAAAGAAATGAACAGCAAGTATGGAATGAATATTATACAAGTAACATGCATATGCAAGATCTCACTAATTTTTCCATCTTTGAAAATAATCTATTACCTTTAATAACTTTGAGTAAACATATGACTTTTTTCTTTGTCGTCTTAGGTAAAATGAACGTTGAAGTAAATTCGTATGTTCATAACAAAGTGGATCTTAATATGGATGCAGGTATCTTATTGTATGGTAGATGAAAAAAGGGACAGAAATATTTGAATCTATAATTCAAAGTAATATATATATATATATATATATTCCATGGAAAAATGACAATAATAGAGAAATGGTTAAGGTGCCAATGATTTACCTGTATATAAATGCAATGAACTAATCAAAAGTTGTTTGAACAATGAGTATGTTCAAGAGACACAGTTTGCACGAGGACAATCACAAATTCCTAAGTGAACCAAGTGTCATTATGTACTCATGCCCAGGGACAAGTAAGTCATACACAAACCCAACCCACTCCTTCACGTAATTCATTCTAACCGTTCAGAGAGACCAACAAACTTTTCTTCCATACCAAATTCAATGCGTGTGTAGGTTTGTCTATTGACTCTTGACAACCTCCCCCAAAACACACCTTCTGTAGAATTTAGTTGAGCCAGCATCAAGTCCGAGACTAGCCTCATGTTGCTACAAATAAAATAAAAAATAAGATCGCGAACAAATCATCATATACACACAGAATATTTTAAGTGGATGTTACGAGTAAATAATACAGTAGATCGATTCACTATTCTACTTTACCTTCGACATTACGTTGTAATTCCTCGCTATAAAAAAGTGGGCGCGAATATTCCTCTAAAAACGATAATCCACGTCAGATATTGACGAGCGAGATACTAGAGCGCGGTTGCCTTCCGCACGCGGTGCCGTTCAGGCTTCGAATTGAAATTGAAATTGCACGAGGCGGCGTCGAGGCGTCGGAAGATTCGCATGGAGTTCATAATGCACAATCTTCGCGTTCTTCGAGGATGATGCGTCGGGGACGAGGCTTTGACGACGAAGCACTCGTTAGGTTTCGTTACTCGCATCGCTGCGCTGCGGGCTGTTCCTGCAGCGCTTGAGGGTCTCGTCCCGATGCAGCACAGGATTGCGCCCGACAGTCGGTCGACGACTTGATGCCCATGGCAACCACCGGGTGGTTGCACATTGTTACACCCTCCTGATTCGGAATAATTTCTCGGCTACTATTCGAGTACAGAGCCTGGAGCAAAGATTGTAGCAGTGACATTATTGTGGCTGGTCCGAGCTGGGTACTGAATGCCCGTCACCGTTAGTCTCTGGCCTCCTAAGTTAGGGTCTCAAAGTTCGACGTTTCACAAACTCCAGGTGAATATTTTTTTCGAGAGAATCACGAATGCAAATGTTCAGGAGTGAAACTTTTCGGTTCCATCCAGTTCATCCAAGAGAGTCCTCTTACTTTGCGTGGATCTAACAGAGAACTGTATCTTTAACTCTTATGAACAGATTTCGAGACGAAGGAAAGCAGGGAGGCCGAGTACGTCTGCCGGCGACAACGATATGTTCTTTTCAGAGATCATCTGTCCACCTTTTCTTCAATTTGGATCAGTCTGGCCGTATTGGGAAGAGAGTCCTAAAGCAAGAAAGGACAGAATTAGGAATCTATAGAACCGACATTTGCAAGATACATCAGTTTATAGTTTGGTGAATGATGATATAGAAGAAGAATGTGATAGTAACTACGTGGTGAGGTGAGGAGCCGTGATCGCACTAAGTGAAGTCGAGAGGCCAGAGTTAGGGATATGTACAATAAGACCCATTATCTACCAGTAAAGACAAAGCGATATTGGAAAAGAAAATCAGCAGAGTTTAATCCATTTTACGACACTTTTTACGACTTTTAAAGGTACATGTATCCATCCGTATGTAGCCTATACTTATTAAATTACTTCAAAATGGATGCACAACAGCAGGTATGACAAGTGGACTTTCACATCTGGATTGCCACACAGTGACCTGTCATGACGTATGAGGCGGGTAAGCAGAGCCATGCACCCACCATATGTGAGTGCTTATTGCAGAATCCGCAATCCACAAGCACTGGTATGAAGTGAAGCTGAAGAGGTAGTTCTAGACAAGTTATGCACATGTTGGCTTCCTCAAGCCACAGGCAGATTTCACTCCATATCACGAAAGGAGCAAATTGTGTTATCTCCATTCTCCTGACTTCAATATGAGCTGTAAATAGGAGTGACGTGAAAGCAATACGTAAATGAATAGAGGGTCTCCCACTGTGTTACATTATCTCAAGTTCGACCAAAACGTTATGGCATCAATGATAAGTAACCCAAAGTAACTGAAAAAGAGCGCAAGCTCTAAACTCCATCTTGTCTTACTTCCCTTGATCGGTGCAACGTTTGGCCTTTTCTAAAAACGCTGGCTGGTTGGTAGGGAAGACTTCTACCCCGGTGGGTGTGTTGGTTTGTAATGTCGTCTGTTGTAGAAGTTGTCACAATTTGATCTCGGATGGTAAGAATAAGTATTTGACTGTAATTTTGTCCTCCCGAATCTCGTTCAAATTCCTCTCTCGGGACCAGACAGAATACAAACGGAGTTTGTAGCCGATGATGACGTTATCAATCTTGCTGTTGTCCAAGCCGGGTATCCACGGACTCTGTTGACGGAGATAATCAGCCATGGCCAGGCAGGACGCGGGAAAGGCAACGGAATAGAAGAGAAGGGAAAGGAGAGGAGAGGCTGGGCTCGAGGATTGTGTGGCCGACGGGATAGAAGGATGTCGACTGTGTGGAAATGGTCGTTGCTCCACTTGTCAGGTGGTGAAAAGGTAATTAAAGAAGAAAACAAAGCATTGCGTGGCGTTGGAAAAAGAATGAGCAATGCCTGGATGGACTGTAATTATGAATCACTCAGATTCAACGAATCGCGTGGATTCATATCCCCGCGCGAACTATTGCGCTCGAGCTGGTCCAGGAAGAGGAAGAAGAGAGTGAGTGTCTTAAACAGGCTATGAACGATAATATCAGTTTTCTTACCTGCCGAGATTGAGCGATAGTCTTTCTGTCCGGCAAGCAATTTTGACAGCGGCACCCGTGATGGCTCCTCTATCGTACGTCACCGCTAGGCCAGGAACATATTTTGGGTTTCAATCTGGTCCAGTAGCCCAACGGAGTCTCTCGAGATGTTGTTGCGATTTGGCGGGGAGCTTTGATGCCAGGAGGAGCTTCGGGTTGATAGTGGAGGCAAAGAAAGGCAGTTTGACGAGATTTGAGCCTCGAAATTATCAGAGGAGATTGACAGGAGTTGCCAGGTGTCAGAAATTGAACGTGGTGTCCAAAGAAGCTCCTCCAGTAGATCTTCAGGACTTCATCTGCAGTGGCGTTTTGGCAAAGAAGGTGGGAGCGACACCTGAGAGAGTTGCCGAAAGGCTAGATGAATGGTATAAGTTGGGAAACCAGCTTGCGCATTTTCTCAAATTTGATGAAGATGGAAAGCTGTCGGAGGATGAGAAAATACGCATTTATCAATACTACTTGCCGGTATACTTTTGGGTTCGGGATCAGTTGACAGATCATCGATCTCGTTTTGCTTCCGGTGCTCCAATTCCTCCCTTCGTGGTGAGATTCTTTCTGCTGATTCAATTCTTCGATTTTTACTTGTTCCTTTCGAAACTAATTTGATTTTCGATTGAAAAGAGGCAATGTATACAAATTGGATCACAATGCAGTAAGTGATTCCCGGCCAGGTCTTAATCTTTTCCATGTACTTTAACAAACAATTCTATGTGCACGGAGGAATGCGCTTGTTAAGGTGTGAACAATCCACGTTGTAATTAACTGCATCTGCAATAGGAATAGAAAGCATTCGAAGCAATTGCTATTAAGATGAAAACAGTTTAGGAAAGAAAACACTAGACACAATAAGATTTTCGAATCAAAGGTTTTCTGATAATAAATGCTGCATGTTCTTACTGATTTCCTCGTTCAAGAAACGCTTAATTTTGCTAGTTCTAGAGGTTTTAGCAGAAATAGTCTTGGTATTCTTCAAGCATTCATGTATCTTATTTGATCCGAGGATCTAGCCGTGTTAGCTGTTATAGTTTTAACATTGGAATTGACAGCCCAATGATCTGTAGAGTTTTATTTGCAATTAAAAATGGTTCTTCCTGGATAATCCCACACATTTTACAACAAGAACAATTTCTATTCCTTATTTCACAATTTGACATTCAAATCACCTTTGTATCTTCAGGTTGGAATAAGTGCACCCCAGGGTTGTGGCAAGACCACCATAGTGGAATCCTTGGATTACCTGTTTAATGCAACTGGATCGTAAGCACCTTCTATCTGCTGCGGCTTTGGATATCTGGCTTATACATCCTTCAAATTTGTTCAGGCGATCTTTAAACTGTACATTGTGTGCCAAAATGTTATCTTAGTCGCATCAGTTGATTTCAAGCGTTTGACGAGTCGTATTACCCTCTCATTCTATCACTCAGTGCCCTTTTTCTTCTCACTTCTAAATCGATATGCTGTCGAAAAATATCATCTTTTTGAAATATGTATTTTCTTCAAATAAGACTGCCGACGACTGTATTAACCTTTCTGTTTGGACAATTACGAAAACTCTGAAATTGTCCTGTTTTTATTGTATGATATGTCAGTCCAGCTGCTGCTATGTCGATGGATGACGTTTATCTCACAGCAGAGGGTCAGGTGAGATCTAATCTTGACAAAGGTTTCCGCTGGAATTTGTGAAAGTATTGTGTTTACTCGGTGATGTCATAAGTGTGTTGAAGTCTTCAAGTTGCTTACATAGAAGCTGTAGTCCTATCAAACTGTTACAAGTAATATTTTCGACGAGCAGTCAGAAGAACACAAAATACATAGATTTACTTGAAATTGTGCCAGACAAAACCTCTTTCTAATGTGGAAGATAATTTTCTGTCACGGCCACAGGATAAGTTAGCAGCAGATTATGCAGGCAACTCTCTTGTGGAGGTACGAATGACAATCACCCTTTCAAGTACCATGCGTCAATCTTATTGTTTTCTCTACATCAATTGCAGCTTTATGTCGTGTACAGAATATAGGTTCATGGAAGCTCACAACCAAAAATCGCTTGAACAACTGACTTCTTTATCAACTTGGCATATTGTTATATTCTTCTTGGTGTATGAAAGATCCAATTACGTGTGAATGTGCCAGTTACGGGGTAATGCAGGGAGCCATGATCTACAGTTAGGAACGGAGACCTTGAAGTCTCTGCTCAAGCTTACATCAGATGGTGTGGCTCCCTTTCTTTTGTGTTTTGGTGGGCGGGTTGTAGCACTAATGTAGTTGAGTTACAGAAGCGTGGAGATTGTAAAAATTATATGGCATCGATAGGATATAAGGACCATGTGATGTTGTGTGTAGTTTTTACGCTAAAAATGACTATAGAATGTGGCATCAAGTTTTTGGAGATTATGTTAGGCTTAATTTATTAATAAGACGCCAACCAATTTAACCTGATGTGTTTCAGATACAAAAACGATGATCCCTCGTTACAACAAGGTATGGACCTTGCGCAGTTCCTATACTTTTAAAACTGCTTTTGATGTATATGTCATCAAGTGGCAGACGTCGTGTACATAAGATGTATTCTGATAAAACTTGGATGGTATCAGGCTGCCAGAAACGGACGTGGAGACAGAGCAGATCCATCAAAATGGACAGAAGTGAAGGGTCCCCTTGAGGTATCTTCGGCCTCAAATTTTCAAGTTTATTCGCCAAGGAATTTTGATGCAGTGGGCCTTAAAATTTCAGATATCGTTCATGAATTGCACTGAACTATTTTGTATCAGCAGTTCACACGAAGATTAGAATCTTCCATCATCACTAGTATGTGATCTGTGACTCACTTCGATTGTGATTACGATGTTGATTGAATTGGCAACAGTTGGTGCTTTTCGAGGGCTGGATGCTTGGGTTCGAACCTCAGCCCGAAGAAGCTGTGACGGCTGTTGACCCCGAGGTGATACTTCCGGAACGATTCTGCTTTATCGTTTATCTCTCTCTCCTTCATGTACATGTTAATGGACTGCGTGACTTTTATAGATAATAATGTTTGCACTTGTGAAGTTAATGTATCAATGGAAGATGTTATGTCCCATGAGGTCAATAAGCATCACATTTCCAGAATGGATGTCTCTATGTAGTAAAGCTAAGAAATGCTACGCTTGTACAGTTTTAATCTTTAGGTTTCTAGGAGTAACTTCTCCTTCTACTCATCCCATCCTACGCGTAGCAATATATTAGCAATATATTAGTTAGCCTGGAGTTGAATCCTTTCAAGAGATGTCAAACAAACTTGGGATGCGAGTCAATAAATATCGTACTGATGCAAACAAATCGTGATTATCTTGTTATTTACAGTTAGCATTGGTGAATAAGATTATGGAGAAGTACTATGACGCATGGTATCAGTACATCGACTCCTGGATCATTGTTCAAGTAGGAGATGTAAATTGGGTGTATGACTGGCGACTACAGGTATAGTTTTGGTTTGTGGTTCACTTATTTTTCCTCAAAAAGAAGAAGCATTTTTATCAGGTTTCCTGAATTCTGCGTATAACAATTCAGTATTAGATATTATGTTATGATCCCAACTTAGATCAGAGTGAAGAGCGTGATGGCCAATAATTGTGCTGTAAAGCCTCCAATTATATTTCAATTATAACCAAATTCAAAAGCGAAGCCAGAAACTTGTTGAGATGTTTTAGATCCAATTATCCGTGACCTTCTTAAGTACGTTGGAGGTTATCTGGGCGATACAGCATGACAGCATACAAACTGATGCTAGCCTTTCAGGATGTGTCCGAGATGTGTAGTAGATTGATGGAAAGCTATGAAATACTACTGGGTCTATTTACGTTTGGATAGTTCAAAGCAGCATCCGTGTTAAGAACGTCGTAATCGACACTGATGCTCAATACCATTATGAGTTTGTTTCAGTACCTTATGAGGTATCTTTTTATGACTTACAGGCTGAAATCCAAATGAGAGCTAAGGGAAAAGGAGGCATGACAGATGAAGAGGTAACAGCAAACCTTTTACTGCTTCAACTCTTGATTCAACGGTGTGGCTTGTTTGTCTGTAGGCTTGTATTTATCCATAGCAGCCTTGCTTGCTCAAGGTAAGATAATTTGTTTCCTAATTCATACACTTGACAATCTTGCACATCGCCGTTACACCTACTGCTAATTAGCGGTGTGTATATGATTGACATTGGTTGGTAGAAACCCATGGTTTCTTCCTACTTAGTGATTCAAAGTTATGAACTCTTGTGGTTTTGCATAATATATTTGCCATTCTTTCTTTTCCGATGTTTTTCTTTAACATTTGCTCCATGATAGGGTGGACAGGAATAGTCACGTCGCGTTGCCTTTGATGCTCAGTAACTAGATATCTCTTGTTTGGAAATTATAACCATTTCTCGTTTTATCTTATTGTTTATGTTCTTACAGTTTCTATTGAAATCACTTGATATGCTGATGAGTTGTTGGAATCAAAACACAGGTCCAAGATTTTGTGTCCAGGTACATCCCTGCATACAAGGCGTATTTACCTTCCTTATACAAAGATGGACCCAAGAATTCCAAACCAGAGAAGACGTTAAGGCTGGACATCGACCAGAACAGAAATCCAATCGGATAAACATTTTGTAAATGTAGTCATCGACCCTAATGTCATGAAGGTGAAGAAGTACCAGTTGTAGGCCACCCATGACCTCTGTATTTTTGAATTTCATATCATTGTGATGGGCAATCCTCTCGACAGCAAATCTGCCGATGAGTCTGATTATTTGAACGTAGATGGTTTCCACTGGTAGTCACCTTGTAACCTCAAACTCATTCGTATTAGTCGTAGTTAGGGTTGGCATGTCTTGAATGTCCGAGATCTGGTTCAAAGCTCTTAATGGACGCCAGGTTACGGACTGGGCTGCATATAACATGTAAGCGTATGATTAATTAAGAGCAAGGCACATTGCCCATTTCCAATACCGACTGCAGCTCACTGCGTTGTCTCTCGACGTGTAAGTGGTGTGTGTATATGTCGTCGCTGCGTAGAAGCTCTGCAAATGTATTGCTGCTGATGGTTGGGATCATTTTTCGCTTGTTTATTGATTGTTCTCGACGACAGCACAGTAAATGGCCCGTTGTTTTCAGGTGAACTTGGATTGGTGTAAAGGTTACACAAGTGGATGTACAAATCTCATTGGATGCTCAATCTGATTTTCGGTGCCCTTCGTAGTTGCCGTATTAGAAACTGAGAATGCGGTTTTATTACAAATATTCTCGAAATGAGAAGAAAGTGCATACTCTTCGATAAGCAAGAACAAGGCGAAAGCTCTCGGACAAGTGACAGGTGCAAGCCAAAGGACAGCAGTATGGTGGGTTATGTCTCTTCGGGTGCTCTTAAGAACAATCACACGGTTCAAGAGTCAGGTGCAGAGTGACAAAGTTATAACTGCGATACGACCGTGAAACCCACCTCCTCCTTTCCGTGTAGATCTACGGAATCTACAGAATACTCGATGGGGCTTCCCACCCTTTCCCAACCAGGTGCTTGTCTGTGTCATGATCTCTCGGTAGAGACATGAATGATGTGGTGAGCATCTTGCTACTTAGCAAAACCTTTGGTCCCCTTCGTACATGGAGTTCGATTATGCGGTCACTTGGATCCTGTGTCGGACTCTCGAACGTGCAGATCAGCAGCGCATCGAACGCAGTTCTTTCTCCCAGTTCTCAATTCGCGGATCTTCTATACCACGTCGCAGTACGTCGTGGTGCAATCTGAAACCTTGGTTCCTCCCTGCAGACTGCAGCAGCTCCTACTACGTCGAACAAAGCCGGAGGCATACTATGAGAAGAATTATTGATTCATTATTCATTAACTCCACGGATTCCCTCCAATCAAATTGAACGTGGATTGATAGTTAAATTTGATGTATGAGTTAGAACCCACGGAGAATGTATATACTTTGATTTCCTAAATTTGATACTTTACGGACAATAATAATTGAACATTCTGCACAATAATCTAATAGTTTTCAAAAAATTTGTGCATTCTCTCGGTCATTCAGTGATTGGAATTTATCATATATATTAGAAAATGAACTGTTTTAGCATTTTTCTGAGCTATAGTTTAACGAAACTTATTTTCTTAATGTAGTTATTAAAGCGAGTGGCCAGTTATCACTCAGGTTTAACTAATGTGCACAACTTCTCCGTTACTCTGTGCCACGAAGACTATATTACGGAGCTGTAGTAAACATAGTGATAGCTCTGTTCAGCGGGGTGAAGGATAACTAGACCAAAGTGAGTGATAACTTGCCGTTCTATATTTCAATTGATTTTCGCTTGACCGAGACCTGAAATACATATTCTAGAATTCCATTGGAGTAATCGTGGGAGCTGCACATTTTCGGGGACAGTTTCTGTCACGGACCTCGTCCAAGAACCCATGCACGGGAATCTCCCGCGGCGGGGGGGGGGGGGGGGGGGGGGGGGGGATTTCAAATTTCAGAATTTGAAATTGAACCCTCGACCCTCCCGCTCCTCGTTCCTCTTCGTGGCACACGAAGCGTGAGTCTCAATTCTCGACCCGCCCATCGCTCCCTTTAAGTGCCCCAGCCCGTCGCCTAAACCTCACAACATTGCCTATCCGGCTCACGAGTTTCTACCCGACTGGAGATTTGGATTGTCGAGGACTCAGCTGCTGCAATTGGACGTAAATTGGAGCTGAATTTGAAGATCGATCGCAGACCTGTTTGAGGATCTGCTCTTCGGCTCTGTTTGTGGCCTCTCATCATGTCAGGACGAGGAAAAGGAGGAAAGGGTTTGGGGAAAGGAGGAGCCAAGCGTCACAGGAAGGTCTTCAGAGATAACATTCAAGGAATCACGAAGCCTGCCATCCGAAGGCTGGCGAGAAGAGGCGGTGTGAAGCGAATCAGCGGTCTGATTTATGAAGAGACCCGAGGAGTGCTCAAGATCTTCCTGGAGAACGTGATCCGTGATGCTGTCACTTACACGGAGCACGCCCGACGCAAGACTGTCACTGCTATGGACGTCGTGTACGCTCTCAAGAGACAGGGAAGAACCCTGTACGGGTTCGGAGGGTAGATGCTCTGTTCCTCGTTTCCGTCGGCCCCGATCGTGTTCATGGTGGAGGCTGCGGTAAGATTGTATAGATGACTGATGACAAATGATCGAGAGTTCTTGCCGCTAGCACAGGGCTTTTCCCATGTGGAATTTTTAATACTTAGTGGTTCTCCTTTGTGACGCCTCAGAAATAGCTGGAGCGACAAAGTTTTGTAGTTGTGCTAATGCGTCACAGGACCAATTTCCTCGTGATCCGTTTCTCCGCACAGTAGAATTGACTGACCATATCTGGCTACGCCAAAAATTGTATATTGATGGTTGATCCATCCCTCCCGAGAATAGCAATAAAAATTGCGATTCACAGTTACATTTCTTCGTGACGTGTGTTTGCATCGGTAGTAACGGAATGTGAATACAGTCCAACAGTGTAGTGACAGATGTCTGTTTGACAGAAGGTCATTTGCTCTGGTGCACCGGGTGTTCATTTTGGCTCGGGTGATTGGAAATCTCCCTCACGGAGTCATCACGGCGAGCCGTGTGATATACCTCCGTGTTTTAACAAATGGATTGATACTCCGTGGAGATGAAGTACACATCTGTTCAATGATCACAGTTGCCCGTCTGAAAATTGTACCGACATCCACGAGGCCAAGTTTCAAACCGGCCTCTATTCGCAGAAAGGAAGGGTGAGTGCGAGTCACGTATCGGAAGCTTTTAACACCCGGGACTCCATCTTCAAATTTTTCCACATCGTTATTATGATGGACGATTACAGTTTCCGCTATCATTCGTGCTGCCAAACTGTTAGGGAGGTCACGATGAAGTGGAGACTTGTGATGACACAAGCAAACTTTACTTAAACCATCACAGCTTATCCTCAGTGGGAGGGGGAAGATAAGGGGATGATGGACGTAGAATCATGGCAATGTTCTAATATGTTAAGAGTGAACACTCCGCGCAGAAGGCAGCCTTCGAATCGTACTCCGGCGTGGACAGATAGATCATCAGGTTGGTTCTCGGAGACATGCTGGAATATCATGATCCTTGATCCTGTCACGCACATGGGGCATGCTTCTCGCAAGAAAGATAGTCCTTTGGTTTACCTGTGTGCGCTAGAGAGAACAAATTCTCTGTGGTTCTGGAGGTAAGAGCGCCGTCGTTTCCTATTTCCTCGATGGACATATGAAAATACTGAGCCTGACTATGAAACTATCGGACAAATCTTTCGACGGGGAAGAACTCGTTGTCAACGTGTGCCTGCCATTTTAGCCAACTGAAAGGTCTGCAAAGGTTACACTGTACTGACAGCATCTCATTCCAGGTTGCGAAACTTTCGTGATTAGGCAATCAGGATCATAGCAGGCGAAATTGAGTACTCTCGCTCGCATACCGTCGATCAGATCTGTCATATGCCAATACAGGGAATGCCGTGGGCTGCCAAGAGCATTGCGAGGATCAGATTGCTGACCACCCTTTACTTTGCACGCAGATATCGAACGGGGATTGTCGATTCTTCTTTTTCTTATCAACGTAGCACAACGTGAAACGGTTTGATTCATAAGTGCGCTATGTGACTTCTTTGTCGGCGATGAGCATATTTCTTACTGCCGAATTCACCTGGTCCGTCACTTCCACTCTGTGCCATCACCTCGCAGAGGCTATTTTAGTTCCCCGTGCAATTCCGATGTCGGATTGCATGTGCACGAATAGGAGAAACTACATTGTTATTTCGATTAAGCTTAAGCTCAAGTGTATCGAAGGCAAGCTAGTTTGATTGATTGACAGTAATCGCCTATTCTTTCTACGATGAACACAAACTCAATGACAGCGCCAGCTCGTTAGCCCTCGACGTCGATTTCGCGTCAAACACACAAAGAACCCGAGCAGTCGCGGTATGACTTAACATGATCATCGTCTGATACAAGAGGTCACCAACACAGGGCAGAGATCTTGTTTCCTGGAGGATCAGTAGTAGTCTACAACGACGAATTCCTCGTATATCATCAACACTTCATTGTTGGCCAAACGTCAACTTGAGAATCAGTTTCGTCAGACAACCTCAATTAAAAATGTAAACCTGTGTGATCGGAGAACTGCAGGTCCCAAACTGCAGGCATTCTCGTGAAGTTGATGCGGATAGCACAACACAGCAACAACACTCTGTCACCAAAACTCTTCTGCGCTACCAAATCCGAAGAATGGTGAGAACCAGGTCTGTGCTATAACAGTTCGTATGACGCCAGCACCTCCAACCACCCTGCGGCCCCCAAGTTCCTACTGTCGAATCAAACACCAGCAGCGATGCGTGTGAGTAGGCAGGCCATGAGTCCAGATGGAAGAGTCATGCGATCATCGGTGGGAAAAGACAAATGCGCAGGTGGGAGCATAATTCAGAATTCAAACCGGCGAGTGAGCTTGAACCATGGTCAACGCGGGAAAATCGAAGGATCACTGATCGGATGCTCCAGGCTAGGGTTCCACTTCACCCTCCAGCTCATCTCGCAAGGCTTTATAATCTCGAGAAACTCATTTCAGAGAGTCATTCTAACTCTTCCTCTTTCCAGAGTTCTCTCCACTAGCGCGTATTCCTGAGTCTCGTAGTTTCGAGCAGTAGAAATTCTGGTCCGCTTCTTGCCCTCTGCAGCTGAGTCTGATTGCTCTGATTGTTGGCGAGTTGATTCTGAGTTGCTGGAGACGAGGGCCTTTCCGTGAGGCATCATGTCAGGAAGAGGGAAGGGAGGTAAGGGATTGGGGAAAGGAGGAGCCAAGCGTCACAGGAAGGTCTTCAGGGATAACATCCAAGGAATTACGAAGCCTGCCATCCGAAGGCTGGCGAGAAGAGGCGGAGTGAAGCGAATCAGCGGTCTGATTTACGAAGAAACCCGAGGAGTGCTCAAGATCTTTCTGGAGAATGTGATTCGTGACGCTGTCACCTACACCGAGCACGCCCGACGCAAGACTGTCACTGCCATGGATGTCGTGTACGCCCTCAAGAGACAGGGAAGAACTCTGTACGGGTTCGGAGGATGAGTGTCAACCTGTGACACGTCGCTGAGATTCACCCTCGTGGTGATTTCAGTCCCCAGTCGACAGTTTCATCGTTCTCCGATCGGAACCAGCTGCTCCCACGTCCATGAAGGTGTGAAACTGGGAGTAGTCGCCATGTCGTCCGATACAGAGCACGCTCGTCTGATTTTGTATAGATTCCCCGCAATAGTTCGAGGGTGAAAGGAGCCTCCTAGTTGTCAAAAACATTATGGGAACAATCGGAGAGAGCTGCTAAAGCAGCCCATGTAAATTACTCAGAAGATCAGGTATTCAATATATAATCTTTTTGACGTTCTCAGTCAAATTTTGACCCAATCTTCGGTACTCTGTCCCTCGTGCTCGACCTGCTATCATTAAGTGCGTCCATTCGGTCACAGGAGAATTCGTCGACATTCATGCCCAATTGTCGATCCAGTTCCTCGAAAGCCCGAATTCGTTTGGAAAACATGATTCATTGACTAGAAATTTTAGCTCTCTGCAGTCATCCCTCTGTATGCTTGCCAGTGAGACTGAAGTTGGCTCCATTCCGATTGTTCTTTGATGCGCCGAGTTGAATGTATGGAACTCCTTAAATTAACGCTTCCGGTTCAGACACTGAATGCGGCACCACAAACGTCACCTCTCGAAACTTGTCGCATTTGAATTCGTTTCCAGTAAGTTACATTCTAAGTTACGAGCTTTCAAACAGAGGGACAAGCGAGTTCTCAACTCTCTTGTTTCGTTGAGAAGTCTGTTGCCCTCTGCTTGAAAATCGCCCAAGTAATCTAACGTAAACCATAAAACAATCTGCACGACCATCGTAAGATGACATACAATTTTTCAAATTCGAACAAATTTGACACGTTGGAAAGTAAATCATACCTTTGCTACCGCAAATAAATAGGAATCATCGATGGTATGTCGATTTTTCACGCTAGAAAAATCGGAAAGTGCAAGTTAATAGAAGACGGTATAATAGGACTTTTCACAAAATGACAGTAGGATTATGCCCATACCCTACTACTGTTAGTGCGGTCTGACAAAGCGAATTATGGTTTCAAGTTCGAAAGCGGAAGTTCGAATTTCAGAAGTTTTGGTTTCGAAATCGCAAGCGTGCGGAGGGAAAGTGGGAACGCGGGAAATGTCAGAAATTCAATACACACAGCTCCGCTCGTGTGCTTGGTCCTCTGCCTTCACTGGTAGCGTTCGTCGACCTCGTCCATTCTCAGCTAGATTAAAGTGCTCCCTTCGCCAGCGCAATTATTTCACGCATTGGTAGTGGAAGCATCGTCACACCGAGTTCTCCGTTTTGTAATGTCCATCAGCTTTGTGCTCGGGAATTTGAATCGTTCGGTTTGAGCAATGTCATGGCGAGGAAGGAAGGGGAGGAGAGGAGAGGTTTTCCGAGATTACATTCAAGGAATCACCGGGTGACGAGAAGGGAAGGTCTGATATGTGTTGGTGGTTTGATTTACGAGGCTAGTGGTGTTCTAACACCTCTGAGGATCACGTGATTCATAATGCGGCTTCCTTTACAGAGCACGCTTGCCGCAAACTGTCCCTGCGATGGATGTGGTTTGCGCGTTGAATTGGAAGCAACGAGCTCTACTGTTTCGTAGGGTAAAGGTATTGCACCAAATTGTAAGGCCTCTGCGATGGTTCGGCCGAGTTCAGGAAGGTCCATCCAGCACGACATTTCACAAAGGAATCATGGGCGATACAGGGTTGTGCAGAGATACTGTCGAAGAATTAGGACATTTCGGGTAGGCTACGGGTCCGAGGGTGAGCCCCTCTCTTTCCCGATTTTTCTTGCATCTTCAAGAGTTGAGCATTTCCGTCACATTTGTAAACTGGCTCAAGAGCTCTGGACTGTCACTCGTCACTCTTGCCTATCGTCCTTTCTGGAGGGCCAAAAGCAATTTCCTGGTCCATGCGCCACCTAAAACATCGAAGATGCTCAATTTACTGATGAGTCGATACGGAGCGGGTTCACATTTTGACGTGTTCAGCATTAACGTCTGACTGTGATCCCGAATGTCGCCGAGAGTACTGAGCATGTGCTGCAAGACGCAAATGTTGGCAGCTAACAAGTCTCGGTCAAATTCCCAAAATACGAGCTTCTAAGATCACCAGTTCCATCCCTCGTCCAATTTTGGTCGATCCAGGACCTCTGTTTCTCCATTGTCGTTCATCGTCACATTCCAACTTTCGAAAGCCCTGAATCAGTAGAATCGAGTCAATTGGACATCAGACTAGAGGGGTCTCCGGCGAGAGAAACAGACTGGCGGAGCAGCGAGATCTCTGATCATGAAAAGTCGATCTCTTGGACTAGAAAGGACAGATCGCCTGGATGTTGGAGGCCTGTATCAGCCAGGTACTATCTATGGCGCGATCGCCCCTAAAACTAAAACCTCCGATCATTTCCAATTTTCTCGCACCTGGCCATGATGTTCTTGCCAGCATTTGTACTTGGCAGCAGCAGAGGGACCTGTTTCGACTCACACAAAGAATACAACTCACGGTTGCGATCATGCAGTGGATAGACACGCAATTATATCATGTACCTCGAACTCGCAAACCTCGCCGGTTCTCAGTGGTAGGAATCGTTCCGTGGACACGGGCGGCTTGACATGGTGCCCAGCAGCTAAGACGATCCAATGAACCGACTGTTTGATTTTCTACGAGGATAAAATTATCCCCGCTTCAATGCGAGAGCTGATGAGTTCCATACGACCACTGTGCAGGTACGAGCGTTTACCTCGTGGACAAGATTCTGAGGAGGATTCAGTGAAAACGACGAGCTCACTTCACTGTCTCCGTAGCGAGTGACAGTACCACCAGCAGGGGAACTTTGCAAGGCCACATCTACGGAAGCCCAATGCGGAAACGCACAATTGGCACCCCTTCTGACCCAACGGATCACTGCAGATTCTCATCCAGGAGAATCGTCCGTCACGGACAGATCATGTCGATTCCATTCAGACTTTTGCAGGCTCCCCAATCATGACGCCATGGAATTCTTATCTAGACGAGTGTGGTAGTTGCGAGGCCTCTACAGCCAGAACTGTCATGAAAAGATGTCTGCATATTGCGAGGGTAGTATCATGAGGTTTAACTAAGCATTACGGATGGAAATGTTGATGAAGTAGACAATTACTCATGTACATGAAGTCAGTTACTTTGCATTGTAATCGTTTAGCAATAAAAAGTGTGGACATGTTATTTGCTATGTGATCTAACGAGACTCTTGAGCAATAAGGTCTTGGGATTTATTGATTTTGGTTTTGGCCATTGGGAACTTTTGTTGTTCCGTTCATTTCTTTTAGTACTTATGCGCTTTTATCATAGAAAGAGAAAATTCACTCACTTGTGTCTACAATTGAGCTCATAGAATTAGAACTTTGGCACTGTCTTTATTTTTTAGATTTTATTCACAATTAAGTCAAAAGTCCGTAATCATTGAAATAAAATATCTCTCATCAGTCTTAAATTATTCATCAAAATAAATAAATAAATTTATTTTGATCTCTACTGAAACCACATCAAATGTTTAACCATGTAATTTTTTTCAACTCTTCAGTTCATATATAGCTCATCTTGGTTATAACTTAAGAATGTCACTTTTTTCCCAAATGTATTAAGACATGTTGAAACTACATAAAATGTCAATAAATTACCACTGAGGTATATTGAGAATATATCAACTTTTTTTCTGATGTAATGATTTAAAATTGAGAGATTCACTATAAAACGTTTTGAATATGTAAAATTTTAAAAATAAGATATGGAACATTTAACAAGATTGTATATTTGAAATGATATGAATTGATTGAAATGATATGAATTCTTAGATCCTTAATACTATTTTAAAGTATGTTGATGACAAACACCTATAATTTAGCTATATGATCATTGACACAATAAATATATGATTTTTAATATTAAGGATTTTATAAGTTTAAGATGGAGTTAAGATCAAATATATATAATGTTAATATTTTTATTCACTACTCGAAAGTTGTGAGTAATTTTTTTTATAATCTATTTTTTCTGAAAATGTTATAAAACTTAATTCATGTTTTTAATTTTATACTGTGAAAAGAATTAGATCTGACAGATTTAATTGAAACAAAAATTATTCAAATTTTTTATAGTTTATTTGCATTATTTACTTTTGCCCATATTATTGAGAAGTCTCTTACAATGAAATTAAAAACATGGTAATTGAATAAAGTATCTCATAATGTAATTTTATCAATTTTATTGATAATATTTTTTATTTGACTCATATATAAATTTATTTCATATTTATAAATGTATAAAAGAATTATGTGATTTATTTAATTTTGATATCGAATTGAAAGTTAATTATCATCAGTTGACTTCTTAGTACATCAAATCATATTTTTTTAATTTTTATCTATCTTGCAATTTATATCAATATTTTTCTTTTTGAAAATCTTGACAGCTATAAGATAATTTGTACTTTCTAGGACAGTGCTTTAGTAGAAAAGACGATTTTATAAACACAAAAATTCCAAAAAATTGATACAATGTAAAAATAGTATTTTGATACTATTTTGATTGTATATCCAAAAAATTTTAAGGTTTTTTAGGGTTAAATTTATCGTCAAATTTTATTTTATTAAAAATTTAATATAATTTTTTAGATTTAATAAATTTTATATTGAATATCAATTTTACTTAATTTATTATTACAATATTAATTGATGTACACGATAGCTTTTACATAATTCCATTATGAAATAAATAGTTTTAATTTAAAAATATTAAAGATAAGTTTTTGCAATTAATTTGTAAAGAAAAGTTGAAAATGTTCTTAACATTTATAATTGAATGATAAGAACATTTGAAAAAATTGAAAACTATGGGGTGAGAATTTGAAAGTAATTATCTTCTATTCTAATATTCAAATTTCATTTAGTGATGGTTTGAAAGGTGTGATCGATTGTAATCAGAAAGTATGATCAAAGATGTTTTGAAGGATGAAAAATATTAAACACAAAAAGATAGATAAATATTATACACAAACATTGAGAAAGAATTGACAGTCCCAGTTATGGTTGTGAAGATCTTCCCTCGTTAGAATGTTCTTTCAATGGCAAACATTAAGATATAAAGAAAAAGCAAAAGAAAGGGAGCTTTCACACACGAAGTTGAAGCCAATCTACTCAACGCCCTAGCAATATGCTTAGTGCAAATAGTTACCATTTCGTTTCATCCCCGTGCTATATTACTTGGTCCTTTTGTTTTTTCCTGGTATAAAAACTTTGTAAGACAGTGTAAACCGGGCACTCACTTTGCGAAACAAGTAGTCTGCATCACGATCCCACAACGGAGGATAAGGATCGAGAACCACCGTGCAGAAGACATCGGTGTACATAATCAAAGATAGATAAACAAAAACAATAAAAGCAGTAAAAGGAAAAATAATAGCGCGAGCGTGTAGTTCGCTTGAGACCACTTTAGTCAGCAGACAGCAGAAAGCCGGAACCACATCCGGAAACGGACGCGGTAACGTCGGAAGCGTCGTTCCCAACAACGCAGTCGTGTCATGATGGCCGGAATGGAAACTGTGTCGAGTCTTGACAGCCAGGAGCTTT